GGCCCTGTAGGCCTGGTGTGGGTGGGGCAGAGACAGCAGGAGAGAGTAACGTGGGGTGTGCCCAGGAATGAGACAGGCCCAGAGTCAGGGCCCTGCTGGGACAGGCCCACATGCCTGAGGCAGAGGAGAAGCCAGTTGAAAGAGTTTGAGTCAGGAGGGACATGGCATGATCTGCTTTTACCCAGAAACTGGAGTTAAGGTCTGGCTGGTTTGTCTCAATGCGGGCGAACTTTCCTTGAGAAAATAATGCTGGACATCAGTGTGGCTAGGCCTGACTCCAGATGAAATATTTCACTGAAGTATTTCAAGGGCACATGGCCTCTTGGCGTGGGGGTCATCAGCAGCGGAAGAATAGGATCAAACTTGGGTGCTTACAGGTGCCCTCTGGCTGCCATGGGGGGAATAGATGGGGGTGGTGATCCAGGGTGGAGCTGGGAGATCACGGAGAAATTGGTTGGGGCTGGACCAGGTCGGGGCCAAGGAAGTGGTGGGTAGTGACTGAAGATGTATTTTGAAAGGAGACCTGCCCAATGTCCCTCCAGAAAGTAGCCCTACTGTTTTAGGAGTTGTTGTTTATTTCTAAAATATTTATTTATTTATAAACCCATTGAAAGGTTGCCTTTAGGGATGGGAGGGGAGTAGGAGTGTTCGTTTCAGGTATTTATCTTGAAAATTTCAAAGCTAGGGCTTTCCAGTGGTCTAGTGGTTAAGAATCTGCCTTGCAATGCGAGGGATGACAGTTTGATCCCTGATCCAGCTCGGGGACCACAACTCTAAGCCTGTACTCTAGAGCCCTCGAGCCACAACTACTGAAGCCCATGAGCCCTATAGCCGATGCTCCACAACAAGAGAAGCCACTGCAAAGAGAAGCCTGTGCTGTGCTCTGCTTATTCGTTCAGTCGTGTCTGACTCTTTGCAACCCCATGGACTGAAGCCTGAATACCACAAACAGAGTAGCCCCCACATACCACAATTAGAGAAAGCCCACGCACAGCAAAGACCCAGTGCAGCCAAAAATACTTTTTTTTTTTAATTTCAAAGCTTAGAAAACTTACAGGAATAGTAAAGTGATACCCATATTCCACTTTCCTGGATTCAGCAGCAATTGTTATTATTTTGTCATATTTGCTTTCTCTATCTCCCTATATGTTCATAGGGATGTATACAATATTATAATATTGTATATAAAATGTTTTATACTTGTGTAATCTTTTCTGAACCATGTGACAGTTGCAGGCATCATGAATTTAACACTTAGTAATTCAGTGTTTGGACTTCCCAGGTGGTGCTAGCAGTAAAGAATCTGCCTGCCGATGCAGGAGATGAAAGAGACCCAGTTTCAATCCCTGGGTCGGGAAGATCCCCTGGAGGAGGGCATGGAAATTCACTCCACTATTCTTGCCTGGAGAATCCCATGGACAGAGCAGCCTGGCGGGCCACAGTTCATGGGGTCGCAAAGAGTTGGACATAACTGAAGCGACTTAGTGAAAGTGAAAGTGAAGTCGCTCAGTCATGTCCGACTCCTTGCGACCCGATGGACTGTAGCCTACCAGGCTTCTCCATCCATGGGTTTTCCTGGAGTGGGTTGCCATTTCCTTCTCCAGAAGATCTTCCCGACCCAGGGATTGAACACAGGTCTCCTGCATTGTAGGCAGATGCTTTACTGTTTGAGCCACCAAGTGACTTAGCACACAAGCAAATCAGTGTTTATGTCCTAAGAATAAGAATATTCTCTTGTGTAACCACAACACAACACTCACACTTAGGAAATTTAACATGCATATGGTATTATTATCTAATATTCAGGCAACATTCAAATATCCTAGACTATCCCAAGAATATCCATCCTAACTCTTTTACCATTTTTTGAAATTTTTATCAAGGATCCAATCAAGAATCAAAGACCGATTTTAGTTGTCTTCTATCTTTTGTCTCCTTCAACCTAGAACCATTTACCAGTCATTTATTCATTTAATTAATGGATTGAATTTGCCTTTCATGACATGGATCTGTTTGAAGAGTCCAGACCATTTTGTTTTTGTTTTTTAAAGAATGTCCCTCCATCAGGTTGTGTCTGTTGTTGTTGTTGTTGTTGTTGTTTTCCTAGTAATTAATTTGAGCAAACTCTGGGAGAAGGTGAAGGACAGGGAAGCCTGGCATGCTGCAGTCCAGGGGTTGCAAAGAGTCAGACACAACTGAGCGACTGAACAACAACCATCAAATTCAGATTAAACACTTCGGGCAGGACCAGGTTCTTCAAAGGTGATGTGTCTTCCTGAGTAATACGTCACAGCAGTTAACAGTGAGGACAGCCTATTCTCTCAGTGGTCATACCTTTTTATCACTTGGTTAAGGTAGTGACTTCCAGCTTTCTCCACTGCACCTTTTCCAAGGTAACTTTTTCTCCACTGAAATTAACAAGTGATATGTGGGCTGGTTCTTTGACAGTGAATATCTACTGCCCCATTTAACAAAGCACTGTCTGAATCAATCATTCCTCTAGTGGATGACAAATGGTGCTTTTCTAACCTGATCTTTCCTTCTTCATCTATTAGTTGGCATTCCAGAACTACACCTCCAACTCCCCACACACAAGGGCAGAGGTAGCATTCAAATCTGAGCTCCTGATGGGGGCATGGGGGACGAATTGAGAGAGAAACACTGACACATATACACTATCATGTGTAAAATAGACAGCCAGTGGGAAGCAGCTTATAGCACAGGGAGCTCAGCTCAGAGCTCTGTGACGACCTCGATGGGTGGGATGCGGATGGGTGGGAGGAGGCTTAGAGGGACAGGATATATGTATACTTATAGCTGACTGTTGGACAGCAGACACCAACACAACATTGTAAAGCAATTATCCTCCGATTTAAAATAAATATTAAAAAAAAAAAAATCTGAGCTCCTCGCCAGCTGGGCCTCCCAACCTCTTGAGCTATAAAATCAAGAAGGAAGGAGATACCCAGTGTTGCTCTGTGCCCTTGGGCAACCTGTTCACCCCTCCCTGGGCACTTCCTCATCAGTCAACAGGTGGCTTCAGGTGGATTCCACTCAGGACTCTGTTGTCCCCATGTCTCACATACCGTCTCTCCAGCTGTGTAGAAGGAAGCAGCCCAGATGTCAGGCACAAGCAGCACAGTGGACACATTCCCACAGAGGACACTGGCCTAGCCAGAGGCAATCGATAGCTCAGTGGGGGTGGCAGAGGTCAGCAGAACAGGAAGAGAAGGACAATAGCTGTGCCTGCTGCCACAGCAGTTTCAGTATTTGCCAGCTGGGTGGGGCTGGCTGGGCAGCCCTCAGCAACAGCCCAGGGCCCACTCTCTCCTTCACTTTATCACTCTGCAGGCCCTAACCCAGCTGGAATGTGCAGCAACTCACCTCACCCAGGGAACTGCAAAGACTCAATTATTCCATGAGGCTTGAACAGTTGAAGTCTCCAAGAACTAACTACAACTCCCAGAACACACAGTGAATCCCTGATCTGGCCCCAGCTGTCCGAGTGGCTGGGTTGTTTCTAGAACAAGGAAATCTCATCTGTCCTGGGAACTGACTGTCCTGGCCTGTTGTAGCTGACTCCTTGCAACCCCATGAACTGCAGCACGCCAGGCTTCCCTGTCCTTCACTATCTCCCAATAGTGAGATCATCAAAATCATGTCCACTGAATTGGTGACGCCATCCAACCATCTCATGTTCTGTCACCCCCTTCTCCTCCTGCCCTCAGTCTTCCCCAGCATCAGGGTGTTTTCCAGTGAATCAGCTGTTTGCATCAGGTGGCCAAAGTGGGGATTCAGTATCAGTCCTTGGAATAAGTATTCAGGGTTGATTTCCTTTAGAATTGACTGATTTGATCTCCTTGCTGTTCAACAGACTCTCAAGAGTCTTCTCCAGTACCACAGTTCAAAACCATCACTTATTCAGTGCTCAGCCTTCTTTATGGTCCAGCTTTCACATCTCTATATGACAACCAGAAAAACCACAGCTTTGACTATACAGTCTCTGTTTTTTTTTTTTTTTTTAATATGCTGTCTAGGTTTGTCCTGGCCTGGGAAAGGTACATTTGTGTCTTTGTTTCTTGTACCTGTGTCTGCCTAAGAAATCCCAGTTACAAGCCAAATCTGGAGATGGTGAGATTACCTAGTTCTTTCATCCACATATGTATACTGAAACACTGCTCTGTGCCCTTCTCAGGACTGGAGGGTGGGGGACGGAGGGGCAACAGAGATGAAGGAGACAGACTCGTGAATGTCAGCTCCCTGAGGGCTGAGACTTGGCTTGGCTGGGTATCCTTTGTAATCTAGCACATAATATGTGCTCAATAAATATTCGCTGGTCAACCAGCAAGCGAACAGACCGTTTTGCCTTTGTCTTTCGTTCCACTGCAACCTAAAGATGCTTTGCTAGCTGCGTTGCAAGCTCCTTCGCTATTGTACTCTCCTAAAGAGTATTGTATCTCTCTGTCCGCCCTCCTAGCCTGTTCCCTTTACCAAGAGAACATTCATTCAGCTTACTCGTAGACGTATCTGTTGAGATAGGACAGAGCCTGGCACGGAGCAGGAGCGACTTAAATATTTGATGAGTAAATGAATGAATGAATGCCCTTGTCCATTGTCCATCCAGGACGCCGGACACACGGGACCCTCCCTATTCATCTCAGTCCCCCGCCCACCCGCCCAGAATGAATACATCTTTTTATCCGCCCTGAGGATGGCCAAGCTGGGTCATCGGCAGGCCGAGTGGAGGACTGAATTAGGGATCGCCTTTGGCTCCCTCCGAGTGTCCTAAAGGGTTCCCTTTTCTGGACTTTGGAAGTTTGTATCCTTTCCCCCCCACCCCCAAACTCAGTATCGGTCACCTGACTTCCACGACCAGTCCCCCGCCTCTTAGCACCCACAGCACCCCACACGGACACTTAGCCAAGAACACGTGGTCCAGGGGCCCAGCTTCTCATTGGTCGCTGGCCTCCTTCCTCCCAGAGATTGGCTCGGGCTCGGTCTCAGCTCCCCCTTCCGCAGCCTCGCGGTGGTACAGCCCGCCGCGGCTTAGGAGGGGCGGGAAGGTCCAACGCTCCGCGGCGCGGGGGAGGTGTGGTGAAGAATCGAGTGAAGCTCAGGGATCCCTCTGGAATGTTTCCTTCGGGTTCCACCCGAAGCGGGGCGGCGTGGAGTGGATTGGCCGCGAGCGCCGAGCGGCCGCTTCTGATTGGCCAGATGCGGTGCCGGCCCCGCCCCCTGGCGGTGGCTGCGGGAGAGGCCCGGGCCAGAGTTTGCGGAGGGCCGAGCTGGGCGAGCCGGGCGGCGGCTAAGGAGGCGCAGGTGAGTATACACTGCGAGGCGCGGCGGGGCGGGGGGGTACATCGCAGCCGCTCGCGGGGACCCCGGAGCAGACCTGCGAGATCGCGGACCCGCGGGGATTCGGCCGATCCTGCCGGGTAGGGCCGGCCCCACGGACGCGGCTGGAGGTCTAGGCAGAGCGAGGTGGAGGGGCGGGGCGGGGGGAAATCTCAGAGTCCCCTTCCCCGAGGACCGCCTGCCTTCCCTCTAGGGGCAGGTGTGAGCGCCTCCCGCCGCCGGGATGGCATCTCCAGCCGCACCCCAGCCCCCTGCACCTCTGGAGAGTACCCGTCCTGGCAGGGACAGGCGCAGGGTAGGTATTTCGGGCAAGTCCCCGAAGCTGGCCTTGTCCCAGAAGCTGGCCTTGTCCCAATCGTCCAGGGCCTGGGGAGGGGGTGGGGTGCGCCTTGGGAGAACCGAGGTCCCGATTGTAATAATGAAAAAAATCACCCGGGCTAGCATTCATTGAACACTTCCGTGTCAGGTATTTACCATGCGGATCATTGAATCACCCCTCATGGAAGTTGCTGTTACTTCTTTCAGAGGTGAAGCAGCAGGCCCAGAGAGGTGGAGTGTCTTGCCTAAGGTCACACAGCGAGTAAGTGGCAGATGTGGGACTCAAACCCATGCCTCAGAGTCCAGAACTGGAATCTCCGCCACTAGACTAGGTATCCAGTGGCTTCAGGGCTCAGGTGTTCCTGACGAGCTCCTCCCACTCCATTCCCTCCAACCACACACACCGTCTGGGGCAGACCTGCTGGTCGTTGCTTTCACCAATTGTTCAGACAGGAAGCTGCCCCCATATCCCTTTTCCCCAAAGCTGGAAAAGCAAGGCCAGAATACTGGGTCCTGAGAAGAGAGTGGGAGAGATAGGTGGGTGACAGGGAGCCACCAGGGTCCTGTGGCTGCTGGGCCCCCCAGGAGGCCTGGGCCCCAGATAGTAGGCATTCTCCCTGGGAACACCCATGAGCCGGTTTTTCAAGACTGATTCAGAGGCCTCCCACCCTCCTCTTCCAAGCAGTACACTGCCGAAAAGGAGAGCATGGGCGTGGTGTCCCCTCCCCTAGCTTGCGTGAGCTCTCAGGAACCCCCTTCCCCATTTCCTGCTCCTCCTATTGCAACTCTGTGTGGCTGTAGGCTTGTTAAGTTCCGGGCCCTTCCCAGTGAAGAGAGGGTAGGGATGTGGGATTCCAGCCAACCTGCTCAGTGCCACGAGCTGAATTGAAGCTCATTTTCTCCATACCTGTGTTCAAGTTTAAGGGGAGACTGGGAGTGTGGTGGGGAGGTGGCAGCTTGAAGCTGTACAGTAGGCATGTTCTGAGGATAGGGGGGCTCGGAGAGTAGTCAGAATGCAGGCATAAGACACATTATTTGTTCATTCTGTACATATTTATTAAGCATTTACTATGTGCCAGGTGGGCTTCCCTGGTGGCTCAGTGGTAAAGAATCCTCCTGCCAACGCAGGAGACACAGGTTTGATCCCTGGGTCGAGAAGATCCCCTGGAGAAGGAAATGGCAACCCACTCCAGTATTCTTGCCTGGAAATCTCATGGACAGAGGAGCCTGGTGGCCGTCGCATGAGTTGGACACAAGTTAGCAACTAAACCACCACCACCACCACCACCACAGGCCAGGTACTGTTCCTGGCATAGAGGATACAATAGTGACCACAACAGAAATCCCTGCTCTTGGGCAGCTGCCATTCTGCTGGGGGGAAGCAGGCAACAAACAATTTGTTAATAACAAGTAAATAAGAAAAACACTTACAGAGGTTGATAAATGCTATGAATAAAATATGAGGGAGTGGCATGGTAGAATCTGTAAGAAAGGGGGATCTCAGAGGAGGTAACTTTGGAGCCAAGATCTGAATGACAAAAAGAAGCCGGGCCTTGTAAGGATCAGGTAGGGGGCACAGCCAAGGCAAAGGCTCTAAGGCTGGGCCAAGCTTGGCATGGTATGGCTGGAGCAGGAGAGAACCCAGGGTGTGATTCTGTGGGGATCTGTGGGTCACATTAAGGAGTTTAGAGCTTTTCTTCCATCACGTGGGAAATTGATGTAAGATTTGAGGCTGGGGAGCAACACGATCTGGTTTATGTTTTAAAATAGAGACATAAAATTAAATAACAGCCTAAGACTGGAAGACAAGAGTTCTGCCAGAACAGCATGTAATTAAATCCACGGGCCTGAGTTGTCTGGACCACAGGGGTGGTTGTAACAGGCAGGGACAAGCCGGGAAGGCTGCTTGGAGGAGGTGGCCTGGAGTAGGCCTTGACAGCCAGAGAGGACTGGGATGTTCCTGGGCAGGGCAAGGGAAGAGGCAGTAATAACAGTGAGAGTAATAATAACTTTCTTAAATGTCAGGCAAAGTGCTAATTGAGTTACTTGCATAAACTTTTTGGATTCCCGTAAGCACTCTGAGAGACAGGAATTCTGCCCATTTTTCAGATGAGGAAATTGAAGCCCCGTCAAGTGAAGTGACTTGCCCACAGCCACTCAGCTGGTAAGTGACAGGGGTTGGATTTGAACCCAGGCCACTCTGCCTCTTCTGGCCTGGAAAACAAATTCATAAGCCACCCACTTTCCTTACCACCATTATTTCCCTGTCCTGGGTAAGACATGAAGCCAGCCTTAACCAGGGCATCAAGTGTAGGCAGAGTAAGGAAGTTGAGAGTTGGTGAGCAGGATGTGGGGTCCCTAGATAAAGGAGGGAGTTTGAATCTTGGCAGCTGACTAGAGATGATACAGATAGAAATAGTAGTAATTGTCACCAGCATTTGTGGAACCGTTATTGTGTGCCAGCAACTGTTCCAAACACATGTATGATTTCTTTGGAACTCAGAAAGGTTAAGACATTTGCCCAAGGTTGCACAACTAATAAGTGGTGAATCCAGGTTTAATATTTATGTTCTTAGCATTCTGCTAAGATGTATGGGGAGTGGTAGGAGGGGAGCCTGGGGAGGTGATGATGTGGGGGGTTTTGTTGTTTTTGGTAGCATCATTAAGTGAGTATAGTGAAATAACTTGACAGAGCAGTACTGGTTTATTCATTCAGAATGTGTTTTGTTTCTAGTATCTAGAATATATAGAGTTCCCATAAATCAATAAGAAAAAAGACTAGGCATTGCAATTAAAAACAGACCATGTGGTTTTAGAGAATTCCCTGGTGGTTCAGTGATTAGGACTCTGCTCATTCACTGTTGAGGGCCAGGATTCAGTCTCTAGTCAGGGAACTAAGATCCCATGAGCCACGTGGCGTGGCAAGAAAAAAAAAAGTGGTTTTTAAAAATGGGCAAAGACTTAAGTAGACAGTTTACAAAAGGGCAACTCCAAATGGTTTCAAATGTTTTAAAGGTTGTTTAGTATCACTGATTAGAAGGGGAGTGAAAAAGGCAAAATCTCAATGTCTCCGTGGTTAGATGAAGCACCTACTTTGTGTCCAGAATTATGCTGGGAAGCAAGGAATAAGGGACCCCAGAGGTAGGACTTATACTGTTGCTGGGGAGACAAGATCCTACTGAGGGCAGATGCTACGGCCTGTGCTTCTTTGTTTCCCCAGAGCTGGGTACAGAGACTGGTGGGCAGGTGAATATTAGATCCATTAATCCATCCATTAATTCATTAATTCTCCACTCATTAATTCCACAGTATTTAGTAAGCAGCTGCCCTGTGCCAGGCCCTGTTCTCTGAGCTAAGAATAGAGGAATGAGTAAGACAGGCAAAGTTCCCTGCCCTTTTTGGCAAACAGACAATGAACAAGCTAAATGAATGAAGTATGGTTTCCACCTGAAAGAGGTAAGAGAGTGAGTTGTGTGGCTACCAGAGGGCACAGCCAGTGCAAAGGCCCTGAGGTTGAACTTCATCCAGTGTGTTGAAAGAACAAGGAGGAGGCCATTGTATCTGCAGGGAATGAGCGAGGGGACAGAGGCAGGAGATGAGGGCATATGGGTGATATGGGCTGGTCATTTGGGGCCCATGGGCCAAGGGTAGGACATTGACTTTTACTCCAAGTGAGGTAGGAGCCCTGGGAGGGGTTGGAGCGTGGACAAATGTGACCTGACTTATGTTTTACAGGATCACTCTGGCTGCTGTATTAACCACTGGAGGCAAGGGCGGAAGCTGGGAGTCTCAGAGAAGGCAGCTACAGTCGTCTAGGTGAGTTGTTTTTGTTTTTAAGATTTATTTATTTATGGTCACTCTGGGTCTTCATTGCTGCACTGGGGCCTTCTCTAGTTGTAGTGCACAGGCTTCTCATTGCAGTGTTTTCTGTTGCGGAACATGGGCTCTAGGACATGTGGGCTTCAGTAGTTGTGATGCATGGGCTCAGTAGTTATGACACATGGGCTGAGTTGCTCCATGGCATGTGGGATCTTCTGAGCCCAGGGATCAAACCCATGTATCCTGCATTGGCAGGGGAACTCTTTACCACTGACCCACCTGAGAAGCTCTCTGAGTGTTGATGGGATTGAACCAGGTGATGTTAGAGGAGGTGTTGGAGAACAGATGAATGAATGAAAATGGGTCTAGCTCAGGGGCTCTACTGAATCCAGGACAGCCCTAGGGAAGAGGTGATCTGAAAGGAGGGAGCAAGAAGTCCCCCTTACATACAAAAATATAATTTGGCATAATCTGATCCTTACCACAACCTGGCCAGGTGGATGGAATGTCCCCATTTACAGGTCAGGCATCTGAGGCCCAGGGAGGTTGAGTCACCTAGGGGAGAGCATCACTGTGATGAACTTGGGCTTGGGAGTCAGACCTGAGGGTTGGGGCCAGTTTCTGTGACTTTGGACATGTGACTTAAACATGAACTCTCTTTCCTAGTCTATAAAGGCCTATACAGTTGACCTCCATTGCTTCTTTTTTTTTTTTTTCTTTCTTTCTTTTTTAGTATTTATTCGTTAGGCTGCACCAGGTCTTAGTTGCAACACTCAGGCTCTCTAGTTTCAGCATGCAAACTCTTAGTTGCTGCTTGTGGGATCTATTTGCCTGACTGGGGATCGAACCTGGGTCCCCTGCGTTGGGAGCATGAAGTCTTAGTCACTGGGCCACCAGGGAAGTCCCCCTCCATCACCTCTTTTACCTGCCCTCTTCGTATTCTCCCACTGCTCACTCCACTCTAGCCACACTGGTCTCTAGCTTAATTGTGAATCTGCTCAGAATCTCCCATGACTGCCATTTCACTCAGATCAAAAGCTCAAGTTCTGCCTCTGGCCCACAGGGCCCTGCACAGTCTGCCTGTTACCTCTCTCAGTTCAGTTCAGTTCAGTCGCTCAGTCATGTCCAACTCTTTGCAACCCCATGGACTGCAGCACGCCAGGCTTCCCTGTCCATCACCAGCTCCCAGAGCTTGCTAAAACTCATGTGCATCGAGTCAGTGATGCCATCTATCCATCTCATCCTCTGTCGTCCCCTTCTCCTCCTGCCTTCAGTCTTTCCCAGCATCAGGGTCTCTTCCAATGAGTCAGTTCCTCACATCAGGTGGCCAAAGTATTGGAGTTTCAGTTTCAGCATCAGTCCTTCCAGTGAATATTCAGGACTGATTCCCTTTAGGATTGACTGGTTTGATCTCCTTGCTGTCCAACGGACTCTCAAGAGTCTTCTCAGCACTACCAAAAGCATCAGTTCTTTGGTGCTCAGCTTTCTTTATAGTCCAACTCTCACATCCATACATGACTACTGGAAAAACCATAACTTTGAGTAGACGGACCTTTGTCATCAAAGTAATGTCTCTGCCTTTTACGTCTCTACCCTCACCTTTTCCCACTGTCCCTCTTATTTGGGGATCCAACCGTGCAGGCCTCCTTGCTGATCCTCAAACATGTCAAGTAAATCCCCACCTCAGGGCCTTTGCACTAGCTGTTCTCTCTGCCTGAATGTTCTTGCCTCATATCCTCCTATGAATATTTCCTCCTGTCTTTCAAGTCTCAGCTTCGCCTCCTCAGAGAGGCAGGTCCTCTGTGACCTTGTCTGTAAAGCTTGTTTTATTGTCTTTATAGCTCTCTTAGAAATTATATAGAATATTTACACATTTGCTTGCTCACTGTACATCTTCTCTGAACTGTATGCTTCTAGACAGTATGGACAGAGCCCCAGCTAGCTAACCTCTGCAGCAACTAGGAGTGAATTCGAAAAATGCAGCCCTGAGTCTGGTGCTTTTGCACAGTGAACAACCTGTGTAACTGCTCATGATGGCCCTAGTCAGGGACCTTCAGATTATCATTTTTTTTTAAATAATTGAAGTTATTTTAATATTTGCAGCATATATTTTGCTCAGTGGTTCAGTAATGTGCTTGAGTTATTCACAGAGATTTTATCTTACCTTCACAGGTATACTATTTAGCAAACTTTTATGAAATTATTGATTACAGTTTTGAATTATATTTAAATAAAACTTTGTTCTTTTACTGCACTACATGCTTGTGGGATGTTAGTTACCCAACCAGGGATTGAACCCATGCTGAGTCTTAACCACTGGACTGCCAGGGAATTTCCTAATGAAAGTTTTTAAAAAATATACACCACACATACATGCATGTATCCACTTAAACACATACACCCATGGTGTATATATATATATACACACACATACATACATATGTATGTGTATTTGTAAACGCTTAGAATTTATCCATATAAGATTGTTTTCTTCATCCATTAACCTTTCATCACAGGCTCCTTATTTACTCTGGGTAAGGAAATGTGGGACCTTGCTTATCTTATTGAAGGCAATATCTACAATGGTGCATGGAATATAGTTAGTGCCCAAAACATATTTGTTTGAAGGGAGGGAGGGAGGACGAGAGAGAGAAAAATAGAGTGGAGGGAGAAGAAAGAAAAAAAGTGTATCAGTCAGGATAGGTTTTGCTGCAGTAACAAACATCACCCAGAATCTTAGCAGTCATACTCTACAGTGGTTTATTTTTTGTTCCTGCTACATGCCCACTGCAGCTTAGCTGGGGGGTTTCATTCACTGTAATCACTCAGAGCCTGCCCTGACGGGGTAGCCACCACATCAAATGTGGCTGGTCACCCTACCAGGAAAATTAGGTCTGTGGAGGTTCTTGCTCCAGTAATTAAATGCTTCAGCCCAGAAATGTCATGTGTCACTTCCTCTCACAACTCAATTGTCCAGAACTGTTCATATGCTTACCCAGTCATAAAGAGGCCAGGAATGCCATCTGCTTACATACTTTGAAAGAGAAGAGTCAGAAATTTTTTGTCCACAGCACTAATGACTGCAACCGATAGAAAAATAGAGAAACGTAGGCTGTGAGCCTCCATTTTCTCATCTATTAAACGGGCATAATCACATATTATGGTACATCATGTAATCACATTGGGACAATAATATGGTCTCCATGATGTGACGTGAGGATAAAGTAAGATCACAGAGCATTTAGCAGTTATGGTCGATATTAGCTGATATTATTATTTCCATGTAGGTGTGTAAGTGCTAGGACCAGGTGGTTTGTTTTTTTTTAAGTGAAACAAAGTGTTTATTAGGAGGAAAAAATGTGAATAGGCACACATGAGGGACTTAGAGTGTCATGCCCTCGTGGTAGTTTGAATCACTTATATGAGGCATTTTTTCCAGGTTCCCTTTGGCCAGTCATCTGGCTGGGTGATTGCCTGGCTCTGAACTGGGACCCAATTTTGAACTGAGGCCAGCCTGTTCTGTGAATAATTTCATTGGGCCTGTAGGGGCAAGGCAGCCTGAGGCTACAACCCAGGCCCTGAGCACCTTTTCTTGTCCTGCAGATTTCCTGGGTGTGCCCCCTCTTCTCACTGCTCATGCCACTAGGACTGGGGCGGCGGAAAAAGGCACCACCTCTGGTGGAAAATGAGGAGGCTGAGCCAGGCCGTGGTGGGCTGGGCGTGGGGGAGCCGGGGCCCCTGGGTGGAGGTGGGGCGGGGGGGCCCCAGATGGGCTTGCCCCCTCCGCCCCCCGCCCTGCGGCCCCGCCTCGTGTTCCACACCCAGCTGGCCCATGGCAGTCCCACTGGCCGCATCGAGGGATTCACCAACGTCAAGGAGCTGTATGGCAAGATTGCCGAGGCCTTCCGGCTGCCAGCTGCCGAGGTACCCACTGGGGAGCCGGGCACCGGGGTTCCCTGATGGTGAGCTAGAGAGAGGCCGGAGCGTGCATCCTGTTTGTGAGCTATGGCTCAGGTGCTGAAGCTGCAAATACTGAGGCTTTACCCCAGTGAATTATGGGGAACTGTAGGCAGGGCTGGATGCTGAGTTTCATCAGGCATTGGGAGGCCTGCACCCCATTGCTTTGTGGCAATCTGGAGGCCATAGGCGGATGTAGCATTTCCACCAGGCATTGTGAGGCCTGTGCCCCAGTGGATTATGGGGGCTGGTGGCCATAGCTGGATGCTGAGTTCCAGTCAGGCATGCATTAGGGGACCTGCAGCCCAGTGTATTGTGGGTAACTGGAGACCAGAACTGGGTGCTGAGCTCCCATCAGCCCTGGGAGGCCTCAGCCCCAGTGGATTGTGGGAATGGACAGCCAGGGCTGGATGCTACATTCCCATCTTATATTGAGGGATTTGTAGCCCAGCGGATTATGGGAGCCGGAGGTCAGATGCAAGATTCACCTCTCTATGATTCATTGGGAGGTCCAACCCCAAGGATTTCAGGGGCCAAAGGAATGGAGGAAGCAAGGAGGGTGACAGTGGGATCGTGCAGGAAGTAGATGCAGGGGTCTCAGTAGGCAGAATGTGTATCTGTGCCCCTTCATTCATTCCAAAAGCATTTTCTGATCACCCATTGCATGCCAGGCTCTATGCCCTGGAACCAGTAGGGAGTTTATTCTAGGACAGAAACCCAGCCCTAGCAGAGCTGACATCCTAGTGGGGGCCTTGACTGGGCTCCGGGGTGGTCAAGCACAGGGAAGGATACCTCCAGGCCCTTCCCAGCGCTCCTTTCTTCCCCCTCAGGTAGCAGTTGGCAAAGGGCATGGGAGAGAGGTGAGGGTTGAATGTCTCCCACTCCTGCAGGTGATGTTCTGCACCCTCAACACCCACAAAGTGGACATGGACAAGCTCCTGGGGGGGCAGATAGGGCTGGAGGACTTCATCTTTGCCCATGTCAAGGGGCAGCGCAAGGAAGTGGAGGTGTTCAAGTCGGAGGAGGCGTTGGGGCTCACCATCACAGACAATGGGGCTGGCTATGCCTTCATCAAGGTACCTGGGGGTGGGGCACCCAGGGTCTCAAGGGTAAGGCCTAGCCTATGACGGTAGGACCCAAGGGTGAAGCCACAGGGGCTGACAGCTCCTATCCCCACAGCGCATTAAGGAGGGCAGCGTGATTGACCACATCCAGCTCATCAGTGTGGGTGACATGATCGAGGCCATCAACGGACAGAGCCTGCTGGGCTGCCGGCACTACGAGGTGGCCCGGCTGCTCAAGGAACTGCCACGAGGCCGCACCTTCACACTGAAGCTCACAGAGCCTCGAAAAGCCTTTGGTGAGGGGCTGCCGCCTACCCCCCCTCCTCACCGCGCTCCCGCCTGTAGTACCAAGGACCACCAGTAGGTGGTGCCCAAGCCCAGCTGGTGGTAACGGGTGGGAAAGGGGGTGGGGCAGCCCCACCCTTCGGGGAGAGGATGTTGGCTCACTGCCCAGCTCAGGAGGAGGATGGAGGCAAGGAGGAAGTTGCCCCCACACCCAGCTTCCAGGAGCCATTAGCCTAGCCAAGCGCCCCCAACCTGGCCAACCCCCTAGCCCCAAGAAGCCAGGCTTGGCTGCCCTGTGCAAGCCCGCCTACTTTTTTGTCCAGCTTCATTAACTCTCAGGAATGGGCTCAAGGTCCCTGGCTTGGGGATGGGGGACTCTAAAACACTTCCCCAGGCAGATAGGGCTGGTCTGCTACCCAGCAGCTAAACCCCCTTGGCCTTGGGGAAACTAGCTGGAGACCCAGGACCCATCCCCTTCCTGTCCCTCCAGCCCCCAGGACAGGAGTGGTCCCCTCCAGCCTCCCAGCCCTTTTCCATACCTAGCCCCTGGCTGCGCCTCCTACACCCCGGCCAAGCCAGAGTCAGGAGACCTACCCTCCTGGGGTCATCTCAGCCCACAACGCCCCCAAAGCCTACAGAAGCTTGGAGAAGGTAGAGGGTGGTCTGAGGCCGGGATGCCTGGGTTTCTGCCCAGAACATGCTGGAACTGGGCTCCTCCAGTCCTCACCCCTCCCCCTACCTCCCACAGACATGATCAGCGTGCGTTCAGGGGGTGGCCGCCCTGGCTCGGGTCCCCAGCTGGGCACTGGCCGAGGGACCCTCCGGCTCCGATCCCGGGGTCCAGCCACAGTAGAGGATCTGGTGAGTGTTCCAGCAGAGCCTAAGTCCCTCCCCGCCCCCACCCCACCCCCGCCCCCACCACTTCCCTGTGAAATTTATAGGTGGCAGCATCACTCTTAGCTGAGGGCCTCTGGGCACTGGATGTCCATCCACCGCTACCACCTCCCAGCTCTGGGACCTACCCTGGGCAAGTGGACCTTAGTTTCCTAATCTGTGAAATGGGGCTAATAATACTGCCACTTTTGGGGTTGTCATGAAGAAGAACCATAGGTTTCTATATCAAAAGTGGTTAAAAAAAAAATTGCACCCAGCGCTCAGTATAATTACAGGTATATTCACATTATTATAATGTCGTCATCCCTCTTCCTGCCCCCAGCCTTCAGCCTTTGAGGAGAAGGCCATTGAGAAGGTGGATGACCTGTTGGAAAGTTACATGGGAATCAGGGACACAGAGCTGGGTAAGTGAGGATGGGGTCATTAGGGTCTGGGGATGGGTGGGTGTGTGGGAGAAAGGGGCTTGTAGGTCCCGTGGGGCTGAGTCTACCCTGAGCCCCTCTGTCATCTGTGCCTCCATTCTGCTCCCCCATCCTTCCCCCTCCAGCGGCCACCATGGTGGAGCTTGGAAAGGACAAAAGGAACCCGGACGAGCTGGCTGAGGCCCTGGATGAACGGCTGGGTGACTTCGCCTTCCCGGATGAGTTTGTCTTTGACGTCTGGGGGGCCATCGGGGACGCCAAGGTTGGCCGCTACTAGGCCTTCCGCTGGACCTCGAGATGACTTGGGCCGGGCCCGGTGGGAGCCTCTGGGGCGGAGACACCAGAGCCCGGAGCCCGGCGTCTAGCTTGGGCCCAGCTCAGCAGCCCGGAGATGACGCGGAGCGGAGGTGGGGCCGGGCCTCTGCCCCGCCTCCAGTCGGTACACCCCCTTGCCAGTTCCCAGCCTGGCTGGGGTGCCCAGCCCCCCACCCCGCCCTCCTCCCCACCTACCTCAGCCAGGGTCAGGCACAGCGGCGGAGAGGGACCCACCAGATTGGGCGGCCACCCCCCCTCCCCGCCCCCAAGACTTTCCGCCTCAGCTGCCAAACTGGTCCCTCCTATCTCCCTGGGGCCTCGGGTTCTGTTTGGGGGTTGTGACCTCCCTAGTTTCCTGATGCAGGGAATGCAGGAGGGGGCTGTGTGTCCCCCCTCAGCAAATGCAATAATACCCTCCTCTTCCACCACCCCCCATCTCCCCAGAGGAGCCCCCTCACTGTGGAGTCTGTTACCTCCGCATTTGAAACACTAGTCTGCTGTGAAACCCTCCCAAACTCCCTCCCTCCCCGGCCCCCCTCATGTCTCCCTCAGCTCAGCCCCAGACCGAAGGGGCAGGAGGGAGGGATGATGGCGGTGGGCTTTTGTACCTGAATTTGCTGTCTGGAACATAAAGAATCTATCTGCTGTTGGATCTGTGTGGCGGCTTCTGGGTGAGAGAGGAGGGTGGGTCGGGGCTGGGAAAGAATGTAGCAGCTGAAATCCATCCTCTTCGGCTCCAAATTGAATTAGGAGCTGGCCCCAGCCACCCGCCCCCTCCCATCCGTTCAGCCTGATGAGGCTCTTGGCTGCAAGCCACCAGGCTTCCAGGCAAGGCCAGAGCTTCTTCGCCTACTCAGGGTGCAAATCTTGCTCCCTTTCAAACAAAGCTTCCTGCCACCCTCTGGCCTGATGTGAACAGTGGGCAAGAGGCTGCGGGCCCTTGTCTCTTCCGACCCAGTGGCCCCGAGAGCCCCCAGGCCAGAAAGTGAAAGTGTTACTCTCTCAGTCCTGTCTGACTCGTTGCGACCCCATGGACTGTATAGCCCACCAGGCTCCTCAGCCCATGGAATTCCCAGGCAGGAATACTGGAGTGGGCTGCCGACCCAAGGATCAAACCCCAGTCTTCTGCATTGCAGGTAGATTCTTTGCTGTCTGGGCCAGAAGGCATGGAGAAAGAAAGATGTGGTAGGCTGAAGATGGGGTCTCAGCCTGGCCCAGTCAGTGCCGATGGGGAGGAACCCACCCCAAGGCTCGACGTTGGTGGGGGAGCAGTCACGATGCACCCTCACCCACCCTACCCCCCCACTCTGCCCAGGCTGACTCTGGATGTGTGGGGTCTGTCAGCGTCCAGGGCACACCATACTTCTGTGCTGGATGTAATAAACCTGGAGTGCTTTTTTTTTTTGGAGTGCTTGTTTTGACAACCCACTTCATCCTTGAGGATTGAGGGGGGACCAGGGCAGGCGGGGGTGGGACCCTCGCCAGACCTGGAGGGAAGATCAAGGATTGAAGCAAGGGGAACCCAGCCAGAGGTCCCCACAGGAATGTTTCAGGATGAGCTGAGAGGCAAGGTGTGAGCCTGTTCGCTCCCCACTTCCCACATGCAGGCAGTGGGTCCGGGGAGGGGGGCGCGGGGACAGGGGTTGCTCCAGGATTCCCTGGGCACCTGTGGGCACTTTGTGTGTCTGTGTTAATCGCTCAGGTTGTGAAGGGGTGAAGCTGTGAGTCTGGGTGTTGAGAGGGGTAGGACATCTCTCTCGGTGTTGGTGGTTTGTGACTGTGTTGAGGGAATAAGGTATGACAGCTGTCTTTACGTTCCAGGGTGTTTGTAACTGGCAGGGCTTCTGTGTGGAGTGTGGCTGTGTGACCGCATCTTGGGGTGTCCAGTGCCATAAGCGGGTTTCTCTGGCTGTTGCTGTTACTAGGGGTGTGACTGGCTAGATCTTGGGGTATCTAGGGGATTACCACTCCTTATGTCTCAGGCACATGCAGTGTGTACCTGTGGGGCCTGTCTTGGACTGTTAGGGGGCATCTCTGGGTGATTTGGGGTGTTGCTGGGGGGCTCTGTCAGTGTTAGCGGTTGTGTGCACTGCTCAAGGTGCAGGGTGAGACTATTTGATGGCACTAACGGGTGTGATGGACTTCCCAGGTGGCTCAGTAAAGAATCCACCTCCAACATAGGAGATGGGGTTCGATCCCTGGGTCTGGAAGATGCCATGGAGAAAGAAATGGCAACCCACTCCGGTATTCTTGCCTGGGAAATCCCATGGACAGAGGAGCCTGGCGGGCTGCAGTCCATGGAGTTGCAAAAGAGTCAGACACAACTTAGTGACTCAGGAACAACAAGGGGTGTGATGGTCCCTTTCACAGGGGCCTGTATTTCAGGCTGTTGGTGTCTGTGACTATGGGGGTCTGGTGTTGGGGGTGACACTGTCTCAGGGTGACGGTGGCTGATGCCAAGGGTCTGAGGAATGTGGCTGCTGCTGGGCTGGAAACAGGCCATGATGGTGGCGAGGTCTTGGAATGTTAAGGGATACAATTGTGTATGTTTGGGTGTGAGACCGTGTGTGTGTGTGCGATTCTCAGGGGTGTGATTCTATTTCTTGGGGCAGGAGGTGAGGATGCAGCTGTGTGCCCACAGCTGTGGCTGTGTGTGACTTGGGACCACGTCCTAAAGCAGGATCTAGGAGACCGCCTACCGGTCACACCTCCCGGTCCCCCTGCCCTACTTCGGCCTCCTCCCTCTCCTTTCCTGGGGGATGACTGGCTGTATGCCTGGGCTTTAAGCCCCTGTGTAAATAATGGGCGGATCTCCTAGGCCTCCTAGGCCGGCTGGGCCTGATCCAAGCTGGTCCACCCAAGGCTCTGCCCACCACCACCCACCCAGCATCCAGGAAGGCTCTGGCAGGGCAAGAGGCTGCCGCTGGCCCCACTCAGGGCTCGGTCTCCCACCTCGCAGCCCTGGTGGGGGTAGCGGCGCCCCCCCTAAGCCGCCCCCGCCTGCCCTGGGCGACACTCACATTTTCCAGTGTTTAGATTTTATCCACTTTATTAATGAGGCAGGCAAGAGGCCCACGCCTGGGGGGCGGGGAAGGGGGCTGCTCCCGTCCCACCAGGGGAAGAGGGTCACGGGGCAGGGAGGACAGGCCAACTTCCTGGAGGCCCCCACTTCCTCGTGAGGGGAGCTAAGGTCTGGGAGTGGTCCCGGACCATTGCCAGGAGTGGGGGGGGGGGTGGTCCCTGCCAACCCAGGTGCCCTGAAGGCATACACCCAGTGGAACGGCCCCTGGAGGCTGGAGTGGGCAGCTGGAGGAGGCAGGGAGTGGAGGAGCCGCCCCAGGAGGGAGGGAGGGGGAGGGAGCGGCCTGCCGGAGAGCTCGGCCGCAGCAGGCTGGGGTGCAGCGGCGCAGCGGGGCGGCAGGGGCCAGGCGGCAGGCAATGGGGACCCTGTGTCCGAGGCAGCACCGGGTAAGAAGGCTTGGGCCAAGGACCGTCAGTGGGGGAGGCAGGCGTGGAAGGACGGGGCTCCCGCAGCCTGTGCTTCGTGTGTTCTTTGACTCTCAGCCCATCTGTCTGTCCCAGTGGATCTTATCCTCTGTCCAGCCTCTTTTTCCAGAAGACCTAGCAGTTCTGCCCTCTCAGCCCTCACCAGGGGGTATCAAGGAATGGATAGTGATGGGTCACCCTTGAGGCCTCTGGGGCAGGGGATGGGGAGCCAGCAGGAGGAAACTGGGCATCCAGGGGGAGCTCAGGGATGGCAGTGTGGGGCACAGGGCTGAGGCTCTGTGGACAGGCCAGAGGTGCCCAGGGGATGGGTCTGTGGGCACAGAGATGTGGCTTTGAGGACAGAAGTGGGGCTATAAGGAGAAAGACGGGGATTGAGGGAACAGGGATATGGCCCGGGGAAAAGTGTGGTGTCCATGGTGGGAGAGGTGGGGCTGTGAGCATGTAGGGTGGGACCGGAGTAAAGGGGACATGGTGATGGTCAGAGATGGGGCAGTGAGGTCAGGTGGGGCCCTGGGATCAGAAATGGGTTAATGGTTATCAGAGAGGGCTGGGGGCCCAGGAATGTGTGGTCGTGCCAAAATGGAAGGTGGGTGTCAGGTGGGTGGGTAAGGCTCAGAAGTGGGGTTGGAGACAGGTGGATTGAAGCCAGGTGAGCCCTGATGATCAGGGGAGGTGTGCAGTGAGGGTCGACTGGGGCCGGGAGCAAGAGATCGGCTGATTAGGGGCAGCTGAGGAGAACTGGATCAGGCATGGGGCAGCCAGAGTCATTTAGAGTTGCCATGGGTAAAGAGAACTCTGTGAAGTCAAATGGGTCGGGATGATGTGGGAGGGGAAAACCAGCTGGTCCTAGGCCAACGGCGGGACTTCACCTTCCCCTCCTCTCCTCTTCCCAGCCCCACCTGCAGCACCTGACATGAGCCCCTGCGGGCCCCTCAACCTGAGCCTGGCGGGCGAGGCGACCACGTGCACGGCACACGGGCCCCCCAACACGTCCGCCGGACCACCGTTGGGCCTGGCGGGCGCATCGCCCGCGCTGCCCATCTTCTCCATGACGCTGGGGGCCGTGTCCAATGTGCTGGCCCTGGGGCTTCTGGCGCAGGCCGCGGGCCGTCTGCGGCGCCGCCGCTCAGCAGCCACCTTCCTGCTGTTCGTCGCCAGCCTGCTGGCCACCGACCTGGCGGGCCACGTGATCCCGGGGGCGCTGGTGCTGCGCCTGTACGCGGCGGGGCGCGCGCCTGCCGGCGGCGCCTGCCACTTCCTGGGCGGCTGCATGGTCTTCTTCGGCCTGTGCCCGCTACTGCTGGGCTGCGGCATGGCCGTGGAGCGCTGCGTGGGCGTCACGCGGCCGCTGTTGCACGCAGCCCGCGTCTCGGTGGCCCGTGCGCGGCTGGCTCTGGCAGCGCTGGCCGCCGTGGCCTTGGCCGTGGCGCTGCTGCCACTGGCGCGCGTAGGTCGCTATGAGCTGCAGTACCCCGGCACGTGGTGCTTCATCGGGCTGGGCCCGGCGGGAGGCTGGCGCCAGGCGCTGCTCGCCGGCCTCTTCGCCGGCCTCGGCTTGGCTTCGTTGCTCGCCGCGCTCCTGTGCAACACGCTCAGCGGCCTGGCCCTGCTGCGCGCCCGTTGGCGGCGGCGCCGCTCTCGACAGCACTTCCCAGCCGGAGGAGGCCCCGACAGCCGCCGTCACTGGGGAGGGCGCGGACCCCGCTCGGCCTCCGCTTCGTCCGCCTCGTCCGTCACTTCGGCCTCCGCCTCCCCCGGCAGCTCTCCGGCCCGTGGTTCCTCGCGCAGAGCCCGCGCCCACGACGTGGAGATGGTGGGTCAGCTTGCAGGCATCATGGTCGTGTCGTGTATCTGCTGGAGTCCCCTTCTGGTGAGGGGCGCACAGGTCCACTCCAACCCTGCTCCTTCCCACGCCCTCCGTGACCCCTCCCACCCTCTTCCATTCCTGAGTCCTTTCTCCCTGGCCCAGCCAGGGCTCTGCCCTCTTGAGGCCCCCACCTGCCAGAGTCCACCCTTTGCTCTCTCCCTCTGACGTCCCACTCTTCCTGGCCCCTTGTCTTACTCCTTCTGGGGTCTAGTATAGTTCACCGAATCCAGGCAAGCCTCCCCTTCCAACTCCCCCCCTCCCAAGTGCCTTCACTCCCTAGCTCCCTTCTAGCATCACCACCCCTTTCCTTTTTTTCCCCTATAATTTTATTTTTGGCTGTGCTAGGTGTTAGTTGCTTCTCGGGCTTTTTCTCTCATTGTGGTGCGCGGGCTTCTCGTTTGCTCAGTGTCTTACTGCCCGGTACGGGCTCTAGGATGTATGGGCTTCAGTACTAGAGGCATGTGGGCTAATTATTGCAGCTTCCAGGCTCCAGAGCACAGGCTCAGCAGTTGTGGTGCTCTGGCTTAACCTCCCAGCTGGCAATGTGGGAAATCTTTCCAGACTAGGGATCGAGCCCGTGTCTCCTGCATTGGCAAGCAGATTCTTTACCACTGAGCCACCAGGGAAATCTCTTCTTCAACACTCTGTCCTTTGGCATATCTGGGACTTTTCGCCTGAGCGCACACCCAATGAAGCCTTTGCTTCTGCCGTGCTCTGTGAGGCCCCGCTTTCCCCGCCCCCCTCCACAGCTCCTTCCCAATTAGACTCCCACTTACTTTTACATTGCGTTTCTTCTCACAGCCCCCTTACTTCCCCGGCACGCTCCCACACATCCCAGCCCTACCCTTCCCCAGACTCCTTTTCTTACACCGCTCCACCACTCACACCACCTTTTCCCGCAGGTGGTGGTGGTGCTGGCCGTCGCAGGCTGGGGCTCCAGCTCCCTGCAGCAGCCGCTGTTTTTGGCCGTGCGCCTCGCCTCGTGGAACCAGATTCTGGACCCCTGGGTGTACATCTTGCTGCGCCAGGCAGTGCTTCGCCAACTGCTTCGCCTGCTGCCTTCAAGGGCTGGCGCCAAGGGCAGCCATGCGGGGCTGGGCCTAACCAGGAGCACTTGGGAGGCCAGCTCGCTGCGCAGTTCTCGGCACAGTGGCCTCAGCTCCTTTTAGGCACGCCTGGCGTCTAAGCCAGGCCACCCGGGACCGGCCTCAGGTCCGCAGCGCAGAGCCTTCGGGGAATGAAAGCTTTTTGCGGACAAGCCCAGGGCGGTGGGTCCCGTCCGGGTTGCGGCACCCTAGTGGCTGCGCAGAGGCGGCATAGGCGCTGTGTGCGCCTCCGGGGCGTGCAGTTCTTGAACTTGCCACGCGGGGGCGTAGAGCAGCAGAGCGGGAGTTGCGGGAGCATGCGCAAAACTCCAGGGTCACAGTCCCGGGTCGGGGGCTCCGCTGGGAGCAGAGCAAGAGGGTTTGGGGGCGCTAGTCGCCCCTGCCGCCATCAGGAATGACTCCCACAACCATTCGCTCATTGTGGCTCTGACCGTCCCCAACACAACCCCCAAGTCCCTACCCACAAGCCACGCCCCATTACGGGCCTCTGATTCCTCTACACAGCTTCCATGGCAGCCCACCTAGGCTCTCCACCAGTCACAGGCCTGAGTCTCCACCACCCCTTGTCCCCTCCTATGATCCCCCACCATAATCCAGGGCATCTCCCGATCACTCCCTACGCCGCCAGTCACCCACTGCTTCCCTTCCCAACTCTTCCCACCTCCAAGCACTCCTCCCCGCCCCCATCATCACCGTGCACAAAAAGAAACGGAGGATACATGGGCGGGGCAAACCCCAAAGGCCTTTTTAAAAACTACTAACAGCTCGGTGACGGCAGGGGTGGGGGGAGGGGGCTAGCAGCCCCCGGCCACAAAGTCGAAGTCCCGGAAGGCCGCCTGTTCTGTGGCCGTGAGGGGCCGTGCGTCGCGGGGTGGGCTCAGCGTGGGGGCCTCCCCTGTGAATTCCTCGTCGAAGTTGCTGACGTCAGTGCGGCCGGCCAGCGTGGGTACGAAAGGTGGCGGCAGGCGCCGGGCCAGCAGGGCATCCCAGCCCAGGGTCTGCAGGGCGAGGAAGGGAGAGGTCACCGGGGGAGGTTCGGGACAGACCGCAGTAAGGTCTGCTCCTTGCGACCTGTCTGAGTCTGGTTCTTTGAGAATCAGCGTAGAGTCACACGACAGAGGTGGGGGGCGGCATGCTGGGGGCTCAGGACGGATTACGGTATGAGTGTATGGCGGGGGCGGCGTGGGGGGCGGCTGGGCACATACACAGCAATGCTCCCCAACAGGCCAGGCTGCAGTTAACTTGGCTGGGTGTAGGAAGGTCAGTGGGGGTAAATGGGAGGAAGCAAAGGCAGGTGGGTGTTGAGGGGAGGTAACAACGTTGGAAGTGAAGCCACTAGGTCTTGGACATGAGGGAATGGGTCCTGGGGGTGGGAGACTTCACCCTGAAGAAAGGCTGTTTTTTCACATCCTCAGCATCCCTCTCGCTGGATCCCAGCCTCCGCTCTGGATTCCGCCGCAGCAGCTGGGTGGAGGGTGTTCCGTGTCAGCGTTCCCCTTCCCAGCCCCAGGGTCACTTCCCCTGGCTCACCCCGAGTTGGGTGGGAGTCCTTACCCTGCGCATGATGCCAATGGCTTCAGCTGACAGGAAGCGGGGGTAGCGAACCTCATCGTTGACGATGCTGTCAAATACCTCCTCCTCATCGTCCCCTGGGAATGGGGACTGGGACAAGGAGAGCTTGGGGGTTAGGCCCCTCTGACCACACCACACCTGATTCCATCCACCCAGGGCTCCAGCTGTACTCTGACACGGCTCACTTGGGAGGGGAAGGCCCCCAATTTACAGATGCAGAAACTGAGGCCAAGGAGGCAGAGCTACCTGTCCTCAATCAGACAGCACATAGTGGAGGGTGAATCTGACACCCTCCCCCTACTGGCTACCCTACTTGGATCAGGGGCAAAGAACCCGCCTGCCAATACAGGAGACGCAGGTTCGATCTCTGGGTCAGGAAGATTCCCTGGAGAAGGAAATGGCAACCCACTCTAGTGTTCTTGCCTGGAAAATCCCACGGGCAGAGGAGCTTGGCAGGCTACAGTCCACAGTGTCACAAAGAGTTGGGCATGACTTAGTGATTAAACAACCCTCCCACCTCACCAGCACACATGTACGTTACCAGGGTGGAGACACCTGGGATCTCACCTCACCAACCAGCATCTCATAGAGCAACACGCCCAGTCCCCACCAGTCCACCGCCCGAGTGTACGATGTGTCCGTCAGCACCTCGGGCGCCAGGAACTCTGGGGTCCCGCAGAAAGTGCTGGTCCGGTCCCCATAGCCCATCCCTGGCGGGGGCGGGGGAGGCAGCAAGGCCACGTGAGGTTATGGGGGAGGTCACAGCTCTAGCCCAGCCCAGCATGGGGTGGCCTAGACAGCCAGCCCTAGGAACCTGGTAGGAGTAACCCAGGTGGGGATGGGGGACTCCATTCCCTCCCCTCTCTGTCTGAACCCGAGAGGTCAGCCCCTTAGATCTGAATCCCCACCCCCTCACCCTCCTTGCAGAGGCCAAAGTCTGCAATCTTGACATAGCCCTCGGTGTCCAGAAGCAAATTGTCCAATTTCAGGTCCCTGTGAGAGGGGGTGGAAGAATGTAAGGAGGGATGAGTGGGGACGTGGGTTCTGCCTGAAGCCTGAGGGCCCCCCAGTGGGCAGAGCGGGTATGTGCATGTATGCACAAGCCCACAGGCGTGAACGCGCACGTGTGCGCGCACACACATGCACACACACCTGTAGACAATCTTGTGTTCATGGAGAAACTGCAGCCCCAGCACCACACAGGCCGAATAAAAGCTGCAGAGAGAGGCTAGTATGAGGGAGCCGGTCTCCAGACAAGATAGGAGGGTCACAGAAGGCTCCCACATTGTCAAAAGCCCCCCACAGTCGCCCGTAACTCCAGGAGGTATTGGGAGGCAGGGTGCCAGGCTCACACAGCACGGGGCTCCGAGAACACATCACTGTGGATGTGCAGCATCAGGTCCCCGCCAGCTGAGTACTCCATCACGAAGCACACATGCTCTGGTGTCTGGAAACAGCCAAACAGGTTCACCAGAAAGGGGTGTCCCGCGTTGGTCACAGCTGCCAAGATCCGTTTCTCACACATCAGGCTGAGCAGGGCGGGCAGGGGAGTGGGGTCAGAGAACGCAGCAGCTCACCACCCCTGACTCCCGTCGTTCCCTAGAGTCCTCAATCATCAGATGTTTGCTCAAGGGCCTTGAATGGCTGTGCACACTTGGGCAAGTTGCTTAATGCTTCTGAACCTGCTCAAGAGGTACCCAGAATCCATCCATTGTCCTAGTAACAGTCCCCTGACTTCCTTTTGGGAAACTGCCAGGGGAACTGTTACTTCCCTTCAGAGCACCCCATCTCCCAGGCCAGGAATTGGTTCATGAATGGGCAAGCCAAGCCAATGGATTCAAACTCAAGATTTCTGCTGGAATGAATAAGGGAGAAGGGCCAAAGCTGGCAGATGAACCTTAAAGTGCTAAAGTTAAAAAAAAAAAAAGTAAAAAAAAAGTGCTAAAGTAGGAGATATCTCTGACCCTATGAGGCGAGTACAAGCAAAGCCCACACAGATATAAGCAGAAGTGAGAGACGTCAACTGAGCACCTGGATACAGGTGCTGCCTGAAGGCAGTCCACCCCTGGACTTTTCCGATCCAGAGCAATAAATTCCTCTATTTGCTTAAGCCTGTCTAAGCTGAATTGCTGGTTAATAAAAGGATGTCAAGAAAACGGACTATCTCAGTGCCTCTACTGGGCATTTACAGGGTGCAAAGGCAGTCTGCAGAATTATCGAGAGACATACTCCCATTCAATCCATCCAGCAACCCTGCAAGAAAGGAATTCTTACTCCCCTTTTACAGATAGGGAGGCTGAGGTTCAGAGGGTAAAGTGACCACTCTAAGGTTTCTATGCACATCTGTAGCAGAGGCAGGATTTGAACTCAGGGTCCTGAATCCAAAGCAGAGGCAGTACATGGCTCCATTAATCGCACAGGCTTCAGAACCTGAGTCCCTAAGTTCACATCCCAGACCTGCTGCTTACTGGCTATGGGACCCTGGGCAATTTGCTCAGTCTCTCTCTTCCATCAGCAGAACTGGGACTATAACAGGGTTGACCTCTTAGAGCTGTTGTGAGTAACGAGCTACTGAATGTAAAGGACATGACGGGTGTTTGCTAAGAGTCATTAAATACTGGCAGCTCAGTAGGTAAAAGAATATGCCTGCAATGCAAGAGACTACCTGCGATGCAAGAGACCTGGGTTTGATCCCTGGGTCGGGAAGATTCCCTGGAGAAGGAAATGGCAACCCACTCCAGTATTCTTGCCTGGGAAATCCCACGGACAGAGGAGCCTGCTGGGCTACACGGGGTCGCAAAAGAGTCAGACACGACTTAGCAACTCAACGACAACTAGCTTAGCAAGTAGGAATGATTGTTATCAATCATTCTCACAGCAACTCCCAGGAGGGAGTGCTCCATCTCCCACTTCCCAGAAGAGAAGACTGAAGCTCTCAGAGGGTATGAGCAGGCTCCCCACCTCTCCACTTCGTCTCGGGCCACAATGTCCCCTTTCTTCAAAGCCTTGATGGCGAACAGCTCCCCGCTGGGCCGGAATTCGGAGAGCAGCACCTGAAACCACAGTGGTCACAGGGGTAGCCTTAGTGGCCAGTTCAAGGACCTGGGGGTCTGGACCCCCCAGCCCCTTTACTCCTTACCCCCCCATACCTCACCTTCCCAAAGTGACCCCGGCCCAGCACTGCCAGGAACTTGAAATCCTCGAGGGTCAGGGGTGACTTCCTCAGAGGGCTGCAGAAAGACGGGACTGGTGGGAAGGAAGGGACAGTGGGCAGGGGTGGTGGGTGGGGGCCAGGGGAGGGGTGTCACCTGCACAGGGTGGGGCCTGGGGTCTCCTGGGTCTCCGAAGGCAGCTCGGGAGTGGTAGTAGTTGCTGGGGCCGGAGAACTCTGTGACAGAGAGAGGAGGTCAGAGTACAGTAACTCATAACCACAATGGATATGCCCCATCTCCAATCTGACCTCTCCTCTCAGTATAGTCAAAGCAATGGTTTTCCCAAGAGTCATGTACAGGTGTGAGAGCTGGACCATAAAGAAGGCTGAGTGCCGAAGAACTGAAGCCTTTGAATTGTGGTGCTAGAAAAGACTCGATAGTCCCTTGGACAGCAAGGAGATCAAACCAGTTAGTCCTAAAGGAAATCAACTCTGCACAGTCATTGGGAGGACTGTTGCTGAAGCTCCAATGCTTCCAACCTATTGCCTTTATTGGTAACAGCCTTATGGAACAACCTAATTCTTTACAACATATGCATATATAATGAAGAATGAAAATTAAAAATTTAAGTGGGTGAAAATTTACCTACTGGTCCATCATTCCCCACTATAGACATATTTTTAAAAGTTCAACCAGTGCAAACAGGTATACAGTAGGAAATAGTTTTTCCTGCCCTAGCTGCTCTCCCCAGAGCCAGCTGCTGTTAATAATATCGTGGGTACCTTTCTAGATGTATTTTATACCCATTCAAGCATTTTTTTGGTGCATGTGTGTGCATGGCCATCACAGATGTCCAGGAGTGGAACATCTACGTCAAGATAATACCCATTTTTAACTCAACCAGCTTGCCCTCCCAAGAAGATGTAGTGATTCACATGCCTCCCACTGACTGACTGCCTGTTTCCCTGCATCCTCTCCAGCATTCAGTGTTATTCAACTTTTGGATTTTTTTTTTTCCAAATTCATCTATTTAATGAGGTATCTCATTTAACACCATGAAGCATATATTATCATTGCTGCCATTTTTTAGAAAATGAGGTATAAAATGCATTCAGTGGGGTGGGTAGACATTATGTGTCTACCCAGATGCGTGTGAACTAGACCAGGGGTTGGTAAATTCCGTGTTTTGTACAGTCTGTAAGCTAAGAATCATTTTTATGTTTTTAAAGGGTTGAGGAGAAAAATAAAAAAATAGTTCATGATTCTTGAAAGGGATATGACATTCAGTAAGGCCTTCCCAGTGCACAGCCACACCCCTTCACACCTCTATCACGTGTTGCTGCTTTCTATGAGAGTAGTATTGACAAGTCATCACTGTGCCCCGTCTGACCCACAAAGCTGATGATACTAACGATATGGTCCTTTCCAGAAAAAGTGTACTGCCCTCTGACCTAGATCAAGCTTCAGAACATTTTCATCAGGCTGGCAGGCTCTCCTGAGTCCACCCTCCTGTCAATAAAATGCCCAGAGGAAACCACTAACTTGACTCCTGTCATCGACTTGAGTTTTAAACTTGATCGTTTTACAGGGTGGTGTACTAAGCACCAAGAGGCGAAGCGGCTTGGCGGGGGTCACACAGATAGAAGGCAACAGGGCAGGAGTGGGACCCAGGTGGCCTGGCTCCCGAGCTCATGTTTTTATCTGGGATAGAAAATGAGACCCTAGCTCTGGCAGAGATGTGCTGTGTGAGCAAGGAAGTTCTTGGCGAGAGCTTGGAGCTTGAGCTGGGCCAGGGGGGTTGCTCACCAGACTGGATGGGCTGGAAGGAGGACCCAGAGGGCTCTTCTGGGGTGGGCTGTCTGTCTCAGCCCCGAGGTTCAGCTTCTCCACAGATATGTCACTGCAGCACAAGGAAGAAGGGCGCATCTAAGACCCGGCACCCGGGCAAGCAGCCAGGGACAGCCAGCCTCCCAGGGCCCCGCCCCTCGCTTACCCTGCGGACCGAGCCTCAGGTCCTGAAGCCCCCGGGCTGAAGGTACCAGTGGCTGTGGCGTTGGGGATGAGCCTGCGGAGCAGCCGTACCCAGGTGGCGACGTCGATGTTCATCTGCCGAGCGCGCTGAAATGCCTTCCCTGGGGAGGGGCGTTGGGGGGGACATTAGCCTCCATGACACACCCGGCACCCCTGGTCTCTGCGCTGCCCTGGTTCATCCCCTCACCTTGCTGCTTGGAGAAGATCTTCTTCTGTCGTCTTAGCCGGGGGATCCTCTCAATGACAGGGTTGCGAAAGGTGACCTGAGGGGAGGGGCTGGCGTGAGGACCCTGGCCCACCTCTAGCATCTCGCTGGGGGAAGCCTCAGGGTCATAGGCGTGCACACCCGTACGTTTCCGGGGTTCCGGTCACTGTGGCATCGCATCCAACCACAGAGTACCATGCAGCATATTAAGGGGTCACAAAGCCAATCCATCCTTTGACAGGATCACCTCTTGAAAGCCACCCTGGAAAAGCAAGAAGCAGGCAAGCAGGCCCTCTTCTAGGGGTGGGGAGCAGCTCTGATCCAACAAGACCTACGGACGATTCCAGCAAATGGGAACTACCCTTCCTCCAGCATCCCACCTCCCCACCTGTGCTCACAGACCAGCATCACCAGCATCACCTGGGAACCTGCTGGAAATAGAGATTCTCAGCACCTCCACCCACTCTGGACCCACTGAATCAGAAACCCTGGGGGTGGAGCCCAGCAGTGTGTGTTCTATCAAGCCTTCCAGGTGATGATGCTGGTGTCCACTCATGTCGGGAAACCACTGGTCTCGTGTAATTCTCCCAACTGCACCGCATCTTCTGGAAGGTGATGAAGTCACAGAACCGTGTGACTTTCTGGGTGTCCGATCTGGTCACCTCTAGCCACGTGTGGCTACTGAAATGAAGTAAAATGTAAGCTGACGGAAAACGTCAGTCCCACATTCACACTAGTCAGACTTCAAGTGGCTAGCGGCTACTAGATAGGAGGACACAGACACCGAACAATTCCATCTACGACAGAACTCAACTATTGTGGCTCATCGACAACAGAACTGCAGAAGGTTCTATAGGATGGTGCTTTGGGGAGAACAAAATAGAATGTTGTAAGTATACCTTGGGGGGCTTCCCTGGTGGCAGAGTCCGCCTGCCAATGCAGGAGGCACAGGTTCAATTGCTGATCCAGGCAGACCCCACATGCCGCCGAGCAGCTAAGCCTGTGAGTCACAACTACTGAGCCTGTGCTCTATCACTAGAGAAGCCATGGCAATGAGAAGCCCGCCGGCCACAACTAGAGAAAAGCCCGAGCAGCAAGAAAGACACAGCCAAGACAAAAATAAAAATAAGTAACATTTTTTAAAAAAGAAACAACAATCTTTCTTAAAAAAATAATAAGTAAATCTTGAAGACAAGCAGGACTGCCTCAGAATTCTTACCCCTGGCCACCCACCACTATTGTCCACTTGGGTTTTGGACAATCTTCCTAACAGAAGAATAATTTCATGGCCCTGCTATCTGAAGTCAGCTCTTCTCTGTTCCTTTCCTTCTGTGGTCCTGGATTATGAGACCATGTAAGAATTTTCACCCAGATAGTAAGATAGCTCTTGACTATTTCAAGAATTTTTCTAGATATTTTTAGGAATTAGTGAATTAGTTAGAAATTAGTGCTAAGTGACTAATGTTTTGAAATTCTGAAAGCATTTTCTAGTGAAAACTTAGTAATATAGATTTTTGGTCTCTATAGGCTTCCCTGGTAGCTCAGCTGGTAAAGAATCCACCTGCAATGTGGGAGACCTTGGTTCGACTCCTGGGTTGGGAAGATCCACTGCAGAAGGGATAGGCTACCCACTCCAGTACTCTGGCCTGGAGAATTCCATGGACTGTATAGTCCATGGGGTCGCAGAGAGTCAGACACAAGTGAACGCCTTTCACAGCCAAGGAAAAGCTGCTTTCAGGTTAATCTTTAAACTCACTTGAACCCAATGGCTCTCTTGATATTTATCCTATTCCTGAAAACAGAGTTAATTATACAGCTGGGTTGTTTTTTTTTTTAATATTGTGCACTGGGAATTTTTTATACTAGGGTTTCCCAGGTTGAGCTCGTGGTAAAGAACCTGTCTGCCAATGCTGGAGACATAAGAGATGCAGGTTTGACCCCCGGGTCAGGAAGATTCTCTGGAGGAGGGCATGGCAACACACTGCAGTATTCTTACCTGGAGAATCCCATGGACAGAGGAGCCTGGTGGGCTAGAGTCCATAGCATCGCAAAGAGTAGGATACGACTGAAGCGACTTAGCAAGCATACGCTGGGAATTCTGTTTCTTTTTCACATTTCTGATCTTTTTCACATGGTCTGATCTTTTTGCAAAGAAAACTAGTATTTAAAAATCTAAGCAAGTGGTGGGGACTTCCCTGGTGGTCCAGTGGATAAGACTCCACACTCTCAATGCACGGGCCCCAGGTTCAATCCCTGGTCAGGAAACAAAGATCCCACATACGGCAATCAAGTCTACAAACTGCAACGACTGAACCCAAGCACTCTAGAGCCCAGGCACCACAACTAGAGAAGTCCAAAAGCTGCAATGAAGACCTAGCACAGCCAAAATAAGTAATAAATTTAAAAAATAAAGAATTTGCCCCTACGGTTAAGGACATGGGGAGATATATCTATACATAAATACATACATATATGTACACACACACACACACACGTGAAATTCAAGTGTTAGTCACTCAGTCATGTCTGACTCTTTGTGACCCATGGACTGTAAAACCCACAAGGCTCCTCTGCCCATAGAACTCTCCAGGCAAGAATACTGGAGTGGGTTGCCATTTTTTCTCCAGGGGATCTTCCCGACCCAGGGATTGAATCCAGGTCTCCTGCATTGCAGGCGGATTCTTTACCATCTGAGCTACCAGGGAAGCAATTCATATACGTGTGTGTGTGTGTGTGTGTGTGTGTGTGTATTGGATTGGCCAAAAAGTTTTTTTTCTATAAGATCTTATGAGAAAACCCAAATGAACTTCCTGTTCAGCCCAATACATAAAACAGGGTACATGAGTATTTTAGGGGCAAATTTAAAGAATTTCTGAGAATAATTCTGGTTAAATGAGGGGGCCAGTGACTTTCTTTCTCTGTGTCTCAGTTTCCTCCTCTGTCAGACGTAACTAATCACCGTCCCTCTTGTACGGATTCTTGTGAGGATTTATAAGTCAGTGCCAGCACTGCACTTAGGACAGGGCATGGCCATACAACAAGGGGTCAGCTAGGAATGTCATTTAGACTATGGGCTCTCAATCAGGGGCCACTGGCCAGGTCTGGAGGCATTTTTAGTTGTCACAACTTGTGCGGGGCTGCTACCAGCATCCCATCCCGTGGGTGGGGACGGAGGATGTGACTCAGCATCCTGTAGCACATAGAGCAGTCCTGCAACCAAGAACGATCCAGCTCAAATGTCCATTGCACCAAGGGTGGGGCATGGGCTCCCCTCATGAGGACCCTCACGCTGATGGCACTGGGGAAGGAATCTCTCTGCTCAACTGTGGCTCTCGTAGCAATGCCCATAATACATTGCTTGGTTTTGCTTTTCTTTTTTGGCTTGAAAACATTTTGCTGTTTCTTCTTTTTTTTTTACTACCGGCAGCTTCCGACGGCAGGATGTCTCACAGGAAGTTCTCCGTTCTTCTTTTTTTTAATATCTTGTTTCAGAATGAAACCAATCCCAAGTTTAGTCACGCATCATGGGACTAATTATATGTACTTTCCCATCAAGGTTCAGAGACTAAGGGGAAAACACATCTTCCCCTTCTAGAAAACCAGGAGAAAGAGACTGAAACAGCATTTTTTCTGGGCTTTCCTGGTGGCTTGGCAGTGAAGAATCCGCCTGCCAGGGCAGGAGACACGGGTTCGATCCCTGGTCCGGGAAGATCCCACATGCCGCAGGGCAGTTAAGCCCTTGTGCCGCAACTGCTAAGCCTGCGCTCTGGAGCCCGGGAGCTATAACTATTGCGCCCATGTCCTGCAATTACTGAAGCCCATGCACCCTAGAGCCCATGTTCCACAACAAGAAAAGCCAGTGCAATTAGAAATCCACATGTGCCGCAACTCGAGAGTATCCTGATCAGCAACGAAGACCCAGCACAGCCAAAAAAAAAAAAGCATTTTCTCAGGGTGGGGGTCAGGCTGTACCTCAGCCACCAGGCAGCCCTGAGGTTCCATGTCCAGCTGCACCTCATGCCTCTCATTGTCCAAGAAATCCTCCAACTTCAGGAATTTGAGGGCACACAGGCCCCGCTGGTCCCGCCAGAACACAGCCAGCTCCAGTTCCCGTGCCTGAGGGAAGAAGGCTGTCACCTGGGGTGCCTGAGACCCCAGGCCCCGCCTTCTCCCAGCCCTCTCACTCCCCAACCTAACTCACCCTCTCCAGTTCCAGGGTAAAGCTCTGGTCCCAGGCGTTGGGGCCACATGGCTTCCAGGATGTCTGTCCCACTACTGTGTTATCCAGCTTGAGCACAGTGCTCACCTCATCTGGAACAGGGGTGAGGGGAGGGTGTCAGGAGATTCTGGGGAGGAGGGTAATCTCTTATATCTTATTAATAAGGAAATTCTCTCTTCCCCTATAATATTCTGCTATGCTATCTGACCAAGCTCTACAGTCCTGCCTTTCACATTAAGCCCTTCAATCTATCTCCAGTTGATTTTGGTGTGTGGTGTGAGGCAGGGATCCAAATTCACTTTTATTCTATATATAAATTCCAACAATATATTCCTAAGTATTCACTCTAAAAAAATGCCAGCAAGTATACATTGGGAGATGCATAGATATAATGCCTATGTAACAGCTCTGAACTAGAAACATCTGTCTATGAATTAACATATAAATGGTAATATAGGGTTATTAGCTAAACCATGAAATCTCTTATATTCAACTACTTTTTACCTAAAAAAAAAAAGACAGCAATTTGATATGGCTCAGTCTAAGACAATTAAACCGGGCTAAAAATGAATGAAGTATAATTTCATGCAACAGTATGAATAAGTCTCCCACACAATGTTGAATAAAAGAAGCTGTTACCATGGAATACATTCTGTATGATTCCACATATGTGCAGTTCAAACACAGGCAAATTAAACTGCATTGCTTTGAGATGGTACATGGGTGCTAAAACTACAAAGAAAAGTGAGGAAATGATAATGGTAAGAGTGAGGAGAGTAGCTACCTCTAGGACAGAGGAAGGGGCTGGAATTGAGGAGGGGGCATGAGAGGACTTCCAGAGAATTCTATTTCTTGACCTGGGTGGTGGTAACATAGGCAGTTACTCTACTGTTATTCTTCTTTTGTTCATATTTTTACATGTGTGCATTCGTTTCTTTTCACATTGTGGTAAAACTCATAACATAAAATTTACCATCATTATCATTTTCAAGTACACAGCTCACTGGTACCAAGTACGTTTACACCGTTGTGTAATCATCACCATCATCCATCTCCAGAACTCTTCATCTTTCCCAACTGAAACTCTGTCCCGGGTAAACAATAACTCTCCATTTTCCTCTGTCCCAGGTAAACAATAACTCTCTGTTTTCCCCTCCCCCTCAACCACTAGCAATCACTTTTCTTTCCATCTCTATGAATGTAACCAATGTAGATACTTCGTATAAGTAGAATCCTATACTACTTGTTGGCTTTCCAGGTGGCTCAGTGGTAAAGAATTTGCCTGCCAATGCAGGAGGCGCAGGAGACAAGGGTTGAACCCAGGGATTCAATCCCCAGGTGGGAAAGATCCCTCGGAGAAGGAAATGGCAACTCACTCCAGTTTTCTTGCCTGGGAAATCCCATGGACAGAGGAGTCTGGCAGGCTACAGTTCATGGGGTCGCAAAAGAGTCAGACACAACTTAGTGACTCAACAACAACAAAAAGACAAGAAGCATCCCCATGCTCTGTTGCTAAGTCGTATCCGACTCTTCTGTGACCCCATGGACTATAGCCCGCCAGGCTCCTCTGTCCATGGGATTTCCCAGGCAAGGATACTGGAGTGGGTTGTCAATTTTTTCTCCAGGGAATCTTCCCAACTCCAGGATCAAACTCGTGTCTCCTGCACTGGCAGGCGGGTTCTTTACCCCTGAGCCACCAGGGAATTCCACTTGTCATTTTACAACTGGCTTATTTCACTTATGTACTCAAGTTCATCCATGTTGCAGCATGTTTCAGAATGGCCTTCTTTTTTAAGGCTGAAAAATCCAGAGAATTCTGTTTTTTGACCTGGGTGGTGGTAACACTGGCAGTTACTCTAGTGTTTTTCTTCTTTTATTCATACTTTTAAACGTGTGCATTCGCTTCTTTTCACATTGTGGTAAAACTCATAACAAAATTTACCATCATTATAGATGTATTTCTATAGAATAGAATCCATTTCTACAGAATAGACTTCTCTGGAATCCACTGTGTGTCTGGACCACAATTTGTTTATCCATTCATCCATCAACAGACACTGGGTTGCTTCTGCCTTTTGACCACTGTGAATAATGCTGCTATGAACAAGGGTGTATACCAAAATCTCTTTGAGATCCGGCTTCCACCTCTTTTGAGCATTTATTCAGAAGTAGGAATACTGGATCTTATGGTAATCCTATGTTTTATTATTTGAGGACCTGCCATGCTGCTTTCCACGGTGGCCACACAATTTTACATTCCCACCAACAGTGTAGAAGCCTTCCATCTTCTCCACATCCTCCCTAACACCTGTTATTTTATCTTGTTCTATTTTACAGTATCCATCCTAATGAGTGTAATGAACGACTTTTTCAGAATGTTACCAATGTGGGAAATCAGGGACCACCCCCAGCCTACCCCACCTCATCCCTCCCAGACATCAGTGCCACTCACTGGTGTTCTCGGCTTCCGCTTTGAGGCTGCTCCTGCCACTGAGGCTTCCAGTTCTGCTGTAAAGACCTCGGGCTGGGCGGCTCAGGAAGGGGGTGCGGCTGTCAGGGGTCCCAGGCCCCCCCACCGAAGGTGAAGGGTTCCAAGGGATGGTCTCTGGAAGGTCTCTGCAGCCCACCACACGCACCTCCAGGGTCCCTGAGAGAGGGGCAGGCTCATGGGATGGGTTACCTCTGGGGCAGGACGCGGGCAGCGGGAGCAGGTGAAGAGGACGTGTGCAGAAGTGGCCAGCATGCAAGTGGGAGTTGGTGAGGGACAATCGGGGTGAGGCAGGGGGTCTGATGCAGAGATGGCTGTGCCCAGAAGAGAGAAACAGGGGACAAGGGGGAGGGGTGGGACAGTCTGGGGAAGGACTCTAGATGCTGAGGTTTAGTGACAGAAGAGCAGTTCAGAGTGTAGGCTGGAGGTCCAGCCGGTGGTGAGCCAGGTAGGACTGAGGAGTCCCAGGTATGATTTGGTAGGCTAGTCTGAGGTCTGACACTGGGGCTGGGGTCTATGGTAGGACTGGTCTGGGGAGGTAGTGACTGATGGATCTAAGAAGGGAGGAGTTGGTTAGTCTGGGGGTGGGGGGTCAGAGGTTCAGGACTGAGGATTCTGAGAGTGAGGGACTATGAGACTGAAACTGGGGACTTGGGCTGGAGAGAGAAGACAGGGCCCTTCAAGGACGGGTGGGGAAAGTGAAGATGGGACTGTTGTTGATGTTGCTGTTTGCTCACTCAGTTGTGTCTGACTCATTTTTGTGTGTGTGTCTGACTCTTTTGCGACCTTGCGGACTAGAGACTACCAGGCTCCTCTGTCCATGGAATTTCCCAGGCAAGAATACTAGAGTGGGTCGCCATTTCCATCTCCTGGGGATCTTCCCCACTCAGGGATTAAGGATGGGGAGACAAGGGCAAGAGTCTCTGGGAGGGCAAGGTGGGGTGGGAAGTCTACGGCCCACGGGTCTGTCTGGCGTGAAGAAATGGGGCCCAGGGCTACAGGGTTGGGGTGAATGGAGAAGGGAGGGGACAGTGGGATGTGAGTCCAGGACTAGGGAGAATGAAGATCCCAGTGGCGGGTCTTGCGGCTAGGGGATCAGAGGGGCAGGAGTCTAGAGCTACGAGGGTGGGGTCCTGATTTGGGGCGGGAGCGGCGGAAGACGCGGGAGGTGTTGGGACCCACCTGTGAGTGGTGCAGGCTTGCACAAGGTGCTGTAGTGCGTGGCGGGGAAGGGCCCGGCCAGGCGGGCGCTAAAGGCTGCGGACGAAGCCGCGGCGAGCTCCTCGCGCAACAGCCGCCCCTTCGGGTGGTCAGCGGGCAGCTCCCCAAGCCGCCGCTCCAGCGCCTCCCGAAGCAGCCCCAGCTTCTGGCTGGACTCGGTCAGCTTCTCCTGGGCCTGAGGTGGGAGAAGCCTGGCCGGGCTGGGGGCGGGATCCGGCACGCCCCGCCCCCAGGCTGGCTAAGTCCCACCTGGAGCTCCTCCCCGGAAGCCCGAGCCCTCCAATCATCTGGGTCTGACTTGAACCATGAATCCCCACCCCTTGCTGAAGCCCCACCTCTCCGGGCCGACGCCCCGCCCCTCACCTCGCTGACGGCTTTGCGGTCCGGAGCCTTGGCGGCGCTGAGCAGGCGCAGCACGTTCTTGGCGCCCTCGGCCACCGCGTGCTCCACTCTGAAGTGGTGACGCAGCTCCTCGATGCGCAGCTCCACTGCCCCCAGGTCCGGACTCCCTGTGGGCGTGAGACACGAGGCAGTGAGGCCAGCCTGAGCCCCGGGTCCAACCATCCTGGTTCCAGAGACATGCAGCCATCTGTATGAACAGGCACTGGCCAGAGACAGATAGCCATCAACAAGCATTACTTCCTCCCAAGGTAGGGGGTCATGGGGACAGTCACACTGTCACCCACGGGCAGACAGCCACACACGCACCCGGATGCTGTCACTCTTTTATCCAGACACCATCACCCACAGAGCCCGTCCCAGGGATGTAGTTAAGCTGCCACCCAGGGGCAGTCTTATACACAGACACACACTTAACACATACTTAGGGAACTTCCCTGGTGGTCCAGCGGTTAAGAATCTGCCTTCCACTGCAATGGATGAAGGTTCAATCCCTGGTGAGGGAACTAAAATCCCACATGCTCCAGAGCAACTAAGCCCATGTCCCCGCAACTACTGAGCCTGCACACCTCAACCTAGAGATTCTGTGCACCACAAGGAAAGATCCCACATGATGCAATGAAGACCCTATGTGCCACAACTAAGACTCGGTGCAGCCAAATAAATAAATAAAAATAAAACATACACTTAGGAACAGACATGTTGCTGATGGGAACACAAGTTGCTTTCCAATGGAGGCAGTTTGGCGATTTCTGTCCGAATTACAAATGTATCTACCTTTTGATTTAGCAATCCCAGTTCAGGTACTTTATCCCATAGAAACAACTTTGCACTTGATACATGTTGGGTTTTTCTTTTTTTTTTGGCCATACCATGCAGCTTGTGGCATCTTAGTTCCCTGACTAGGAACTGAATCACAAACCCCCTCTCCTGCAGTGAAAGTGCAGAGTCCTAACCACTGGACTGCCAGGGAATTTCCCTTGATATATGTATTATATGTGGTTATTCATAGCTTTTTTTTCAAAAGCAAAAGATTGGAAGATACTGCATTTCCTCTAGTAGGGGTCTGAGTAAATGAATGGTGACCACCCACACCATGAAATACAATGTAGTTGGAGGAACAGGAACAGGGTGAGATAGATGTCATCAGACTGTCAGAGGGTGACAATGGCATTGTCAGTTTGTCACAGGTGTAGGCCTTGGAACACACATACCCACACACACTCACAAAGATGCCATCACGCTGCCACACAGGGACGCTGCCACGTGGGTAAGACTGATGTTACAGACACAGATAGATACCTTGTCTGTGCTGTGCTACGTGCTATCGTTTCAGTCCTGTCCAACTCTTTGTAACCCCATGGACTGTAGCCCACCTTCCTCTGTCCATGGGATTCTCCAGGCAAGAATACTAGAGTGGGGTACCATTCCCTTCTTCAGGGGATCTTCCCAACCCAGGAATCGAACTTGCAGTTCTTATGTCTTATGCATTGGCAGGCGGGTTCTTCACCATTAGCGCCACCTGGGAAGCCCTATACACCCTGTCAACTCTCAGCATCTCCCTCTGTCACAGGGAAAGTCACAAAGCATAAACACCCGAATGGGACAGAGTCGGTCAGTCAGTCCAGTTGCTCAGTCGTGTCCAACTCTTTGCAACCTCATGAACCACAGCATGCCAGGCCTCCCTGTCCATCACCAACTCCTGGAGTCCACCCAAACCCATGTCCAATGAGTCAGGACAGAGTCACACAATAGCAAAACTCCCAGGGCTCTAATTCTAGCCCAGGGAGGATCATGGCAACACAGTCACACTGCCACACAGATAAGGCACAGGCAAAGAAATGCCAGCACGGGACTTCCCTGTTGGTCCAGTGGTTAGGACTTTGCCTTCCAGGGCAGGCGGTTCAGATTTGATCCCTGGTTGGGGGGTGAGGGTCCCACGTGCCTCACAGCCGGGGAATCAAGGCATGGAATGGAGGCAGTGTTGTAGCAAATTCAGTGAGGACTTGTGGACACAGTGAGGGAAGGAGAGGGTGGGACGAATAGGAGTAGCACTGACATATATACACCACCACATGTAACATAGATAGCCAGTGGGAATTTGCTGTATGACGCAGGTACCTCAAACCAGTGCTCTATGACAACCTAGAGGGATGGCATGGAGTGGGCGGGAAGGTTCAAGAGGGAGAAGACATATGTATAGTTATGGCTGATGCATGTTGATGTATGGCAGAAACCAACACAATATTGTAAAGCAATTGTCCTCCAATTAAAAATAATTTTTTTTTGAAGAACAAAAAAAATGATCCACATTGAAAAAAACATCTTTAAAAGAAATGCTGTCACAACATCATACAGTCAGGGTAGCGTGAACGATACTCATAGACACAGAGACCCAATGTCACAGGGAAACAGGCTGGCTTCACGCTCAGAGCAAAGTCCCAGGGACAGAGCCACAGCCCAAGAGAGGACACAGCCACAGTCACCCAATGGCACAGGGATACACTGTCACCTAGATACAGGAAACCTGTCACCCGCAGACACAAGGTCACAGTCATGCTTATCCACGGCTGTAGACCTCAAGGACAGTCTTGTGGTCCCATATGACGACCTAGACTCAGACTCAAGCATTCCTACAATCACTCTCACCCACAGCCGTGCAGCACCCACCAAGACCTTTGTCATATGTGCCCAGATGGTCGTTAAGACTTTTACACTCACAGGGACAAAATCAGGCTGTCACCAGAAGTTACAGTGCCAGGACATGGTAAGGAGGCAGCCATCTATGAATCTGGAAGAGGGCTCTCACCAGACGCTGTGTCTGCCAGCGCCGTGATCTTGGACTTTCAGCCCCCAGCACAGTGAGAGATAAATGTCTGTTGTTTACATGCCCCCTCCTCCCCAGTCTGTGGTGTTGTGGTGGAGCAGCCCAGACACACTAACACCCACCAACAGCTGACGCACTCTCATGGCGACACAGGAACTCTCAGTTATGGGGCATGTGTCCAAACTCTGGTCCCCATGGCAAATACCACATTAACACTGACAAACGTCACTAGTACAGTCACCCCTGCACTTGAGACCTGGAGAATTGACGCATACAACACAGCCTGTCTCAAATTCAGGTTGGCAACTGGGTTGAGACATCCTCAGGCATTCAGACACTGAAATACACAGGAAACACACACATGCTGTGGACTCCCACAGTTTCCTATTACTGAGGCCAACATGGCAAGGCAACTGCCTAGCCCGGGGGTCCACACATGTTTTCCATCAAGAGCCAAAGGGTAGGACTTCACTGGTGGTCTAGTGGTTAAGAGTCTGCCTGCCAATACAGGGGACGTGGATTCAACCCCTGGTCCAGGGAGATCCCGTATGCTGCAGGGCAACTGAACACCTTCTGCACAACTACTGAGCCTGTGAGCTAGAGCCCATGAGCTGCAACTACCGAAGCTGGAGAGCCCATGCTCCACCATAAAAGAAGCCACTGCAATGAGAAGCCTTCACACAGCAGCAAAGAACCAGCACAGCCAAAACTGAAGAAATAAATAATTTTTTTTAAAAGAGCCAAAGGGTAAGTATTTTTGTCTCAGTGAACCACAAGCTCTGTTGCCACCACTTGGCCCCACTGTCACAATGCAGAAGCAGTCGTAGGTGACAGTAAATGAATGGGCATGGCTGGGTTTTCAGTATTTCCAAAACAAACAAACCAAAAAAGGCAGTAGCAGATTTGGTCTAAGAGCTGTAGTTTGCCAATAACTGATCACGTGCAAATCCTGAGTGGGACAGAATGGGGAACTGGGGCCCAGAGAGGGTCAGGAACGCATTCTAGCATGGTCAGTCATACCCACCTCCCTGCCTTAGAAAGGGACCCGTTGTGGGGCTGGGAGCTGAACTCTGCAAGGTGGAATGCAGGGGAGGCTGTCTCAGGGTGAAGGACTCACCTTGAGCCTCCTCTGGGGCTGCCTGGCTCTCCAGCTGGCAGGCCTGCAGTGCCCGGCGCAGTTGCATGCGGATGATATCTATCTTGGTCTTACTGTCTTGCAGCATCTGCTGGGCCGTCAGCAGCAGCTTCCGGTCCTGATGGCAGAGTCAGGCCGTGAGGGGAAGACTGGGCGGGTGGGGGTCTGACCACCCATCCTGGTGTCCACCCCAGGCAGGCTCTGGATGACACAGCATTCATGTGTGGGTATGACAGAACGTGTTCCTAGGTGTTGAAGGGAGATGGAGCCTGTGGCATATGAATCCTGACAGTTGCCACCTAACAGCTGTGTGACTTTGGACAAGCCGCTCAACTACTCTGGGTCCATCTGCTCATCTGTGGGAAGGGGAGTACCAACAGCACCAACCACCACTGGGCTGAGGATTAAAGGAGGTAATCTGTGTGCAGGGCTCAGAACTGTGCCTGGCACCAGCAGGCACTGTATTTGTCAGCTGTTAGAATGGTGTACGTGTGTGAGTGTTCCCCATGGTGGGCATAGCCTTGCCTGTAGCCACACGGGTGAGTCCAAGGGTGACTGGGTGTGAGACAGTTGTAGGCAGTTGCAGGAAGCAGGGTCCTGATGTTGGTGTGTGCAGTTCAAGCTACAGGGTTGATTGGGCATAAGCCAAGGACCCTATGTGTGTACAAGTGCCAGGAACTGGTGGTGGATTTTTTCATCGACTTGGTGCTATGCTCAAAACCAGGCACTGATAAGACTTCCCTGGTGGTCCAGTGGTTAAGAATCTACCTGCCAATGTAGGGGACACAGGTTCGATCCCTGGTCCGGGAAGATTCCACATGCAGCAGGGCAACTAGGCCCATGAGCCACAACTACTGAGCCTGCGCACCCTAGAGCCTGTGCTCCATGACCAGAGAAGCCACTGCAACTAGAGAGTGGTGCCCTACTCTCCACAACTACAGAAAGCCTGAGCATAGCAATGAAGTCCCAGAGCACCCAAAAATAAAAATAAATAACATAAACTTTTAAAAAGCCAGGCACTGCCAATCTGTGATGCAAGACTGGGTATTGACTGAAAGGGGCAGGAGGGCCCTTCTGGGTGACAGGAAAGGTTCTGTAGTTCAGTAAGGGTGGTGGGTACCTAGATGAAAATTCCCTGGCTGTACACTTCGGTTTTCTGCACTTGATGTCCATTTGTTACACCTTAATAAAAGGTTAAAAACAATTCTGCATGGTCTGTGTCCTCCTGTGTAATATTCCCATTTGTGTGTGCACTCACAGGCATGGGTGCTCTCTGGGTCTCTAGCTGTAGGTCTAACTCTGCCTGTGGGTGTGTCTCTGGGTGTTGCTGCAAACCTGTGACTGTGTACTTGGTGTTGGTACAACCGGGGGTACGTCTGTGTGACAACTCTGATCTCTGGGTGTGAAAAACTGATGATGTGTGTGTCTGTGTGTCCAGGTGTCCTGTTGGCCTGTGCTGTGGGTCCTGGGTGTCCTATGATGGTGTGTGTCTCTCTGTCTAGAGGTGACTGGTGGTTTATCCTCCAAGTATTTCTGAGCGTTGTTACTGCTGTGAACCTAGATGTTGTGACAGTATGTGTGTCTCTCTCAGTGGTGATATGCCACTGTGTGTCTCTAGATGTTATGATTATAGTATATGTGCATCTGGGCTTCCCTGGTGGCTCAGTGGTAAAGAACCCGTCTATCAACGCAGGAGACATGAGTTCAATCCCTGGGTTGGGAAGATCCCCTGGAGGAGGAAATGACAACCCACTCCAGTATTCTTGCCTAAAAAATCCTATGGACAGAGGAGCCTGGTGGGCTACAGTCCATAGGGTTGCAAAGAGTCAGACACAACTGAGCCATTAAACAGTAACATGTGCATCTAGGTGCTGATCTGTGTGTACATGTCAGAGACGCCACCAGCAGTAGGAGGCTGCATGTTGCCCTGTCTCGGGGGATAACTGAGTATGGGGGGGGGGCAGTCTCTGCCATGTGTCTATCTGACATCACCCACAGTCATCCAGTTTCCTATCTGCCCCCACTCCAATCCTGCTGCAGAGTCACTCAAGAGCCCTCTGTCCACAGCCCAGAGCGCCCCAGTCTCCTGGGGGGCAGACGGAGGTACCACCCAGGCCCCCACCCCACGCTCCAGCCTGTGATGCACCCGCAGGTGTACATGCACACAGGGGGGTGTGCACGCACACTACTCCCACCTTGGTGCTGCCGTTGCTGTACGTCTGGATCATGTTCTCTGCCCCCTGCTTCACCTTCAGCTCGATGGCCAGCTGCTTCTCCAGACCGGCTACGCGGCTCAGGTTGGTGGCTGAGCAGGCGGAGTCACCTGTGCCAGGGGACTGGGGGGCATCTGGAGGGGTGGATGGGGCAGAGTCACCACGGCCCTCCTCTCCAACTGCCCAGGTGATTTTGCCCCAGCTGAGGGGATCCACCCCTGGGCCTGGGAGGAGGAAGAGCTGGGGGCCAGGGACCACAGGGCCCACTCCCCAGCAGCCCTCATAGGGAAACCCTTTCAGGGCTGGGGCAGGACCAGTGTGAATGAACACAGGTGTGTGTGAGTCCTTGGTGTGACTCTATGTATCTTTGTAGAGAAGGTATCTATACCCCAACGATGTACAGGGTTGTGTAGGCGTCAGTGGGTGTGGCTGTGGTTAAGTCTGTGACCTTCAGGGTGTTGGCATAACTGAGTGTGTGCCTCCCCAGGTGCTAGTGTAACTGCGAGATGTGAGGTGTTAGAATGACTTTGTGAGATTCTGGGTGATGGGGATGACTCTGTGCATATGTTTGCTACATTCGGCACAACTGTGCATTCAGATCTCCTGGCACTGGTGTGACAGCGCCCAAGTGTTGGAACAGCTGGACATGTGTGTCTCTGGAGGTTGGTGCAGCTCTGTGTGAGTCTCCAGAGAGTCGTGTGACCATCAGAGGGACTCTGAGTACAGCTGTGACAGGATGAGGTTTTTGAGCGTTGGCTGAACTCTTTTTCATCATCTCCAAGTGTTGATCTGATAGTGTTAGCCTCCAGCTATTGACACACCGAAGTGGTGTGTGGGTGTTGGGCTAAGTGGTGTTGAGTCTCAGGTCTTGTCCAGTTGTGTGTTTAAGTCTCAGGCTGTTTGCTGCTGCTGCTGCTGCTGCTAAGTCACTTTAGTCGTGTCCGACTCTGTGCGACCCCAGAGACGGCAGCCCACCAGGCTCCTCTGTCCCTGGGATTCTCCAGGCAAGAACACTGAAGTGGGTTGCCATTTCCTTCTCCAATGCATGAGAGTGAAAAGTGAAAGTGAAGTCGCCAGTCGTGTCCGACTCTTCGCGACCCCACGAGCTGCAGCCTACCAGGTTCCTCCGTCCATGGGATTTTCCAGGCAAGAGTACTGGAGTGGGGTGCCATTCAGGCTGTTTATGGGTTGGTAAACACCTGTGACAGCAACTCTGTGTGTCTGTATCTCTGGGGGTTGGTGTGAGCCCTTAGGTTTTGTGTATGTGTTGGTGTGACTGAGTGTGCATTTATCTGGGTGCTGGTTGGCAGCATGGAAGTCTCTGGGTATTCACAGAATAATGCTGCTATTGTTTAGTCACTCAGTTATGTCCGACTCTCTAGCAACCCATGCAGTGTAGACGGCCAGGCTCCTCTGTCCATGAGATTTCCCAGGCCAAGAATACAGGAGTGGGTTGCCATTCCCTTCTCCAGGGGATCTTCTCGACCCAGGGATCGAACCCACATCTCCTGCACTGCAGGCAGATTCTTTAAAGCTGAGCCACACGGTAGGCCCTTAGAGTTGTCCGGGTGCTGGTGTGACTGTGTGTGAGGGTCTCTGGCTACTGATGTGATATGTGTTACATCTTTGTTTTTAGTTTTAAGATGAAAAAGTTCTGCAGATTCCTTGCACAAAAATGTGAAAATACTCAATACCACTGAGCTGTATGCTTAAAAATGATAAATTTTCTGTGTTTTTTTCCCCCAAAACCTTTTATTTTATATTGGAATATAGATGATTAAGGGGCTTCCCTGGTGGCTCAGTGGTAAAGAATCTGCCGGTTAAGCAGGAAATGCAGGTTCAATCCCTGGATTGGGAAGATCCTGGAGAAAGAAATGGCAACCTATTCCAGTACTCTTGCTGAAAAATCCCATGGACAGAGGGGCCTAGCAGGCTGCAGTCCATGGGGTCACAAACATGGGGTCTAAACAGAAGCAATAACAATAGCCAGCTAACAATGCTATTATACTTTCAGGTGCTACTACGTGTTTTTTTTATCACAATTAAAAGATTTTTTTAATCAGTTGGAGCCTTTAGGAGTTGTCCAGGTGTGGGTGTGACTGTGAGTCTGGATATTTGTGTGATACCATGTAAGCCCTTTGGGGTTGTCCAGCTGTGGGTGTGACTGGGTGTACCCTTCCCTGCGTGTTGGTTTTGGCCTTTGGTCTGCCTGTATTTGGGCTTCCCAGGTGGCACTACTGGTAAAGAATCTGTCTGCCAATGCAGCAGACGAAAGAGATACAGGTTGAATCCCTGGGTTGTGAAGATCCCCTGGAGAAGGAAATGGCAGTCTACTCCAGTATTCTTGCTTGGCAAATTCCACTGGACAGAGGAGCCTGGCGGGCTACAGTCCATGGGATCACAAAGCGTTGGACACGACTGAGCACTTGTCAGCAGTATAGCAGCTGCCTGCATTTTCAGGTTGGAAGCTGCCGTGACCGAGTCTGTCTCCCTGGGGGTCAGTGGCAATGGGCTGGCTGGCCTCACTCTGGGACACAGTGGGTGAGCCCTGGGCACGGGAGGCCCCCAATCCCACACCCCCCACCCCCCACCCCAGGGAGGCCTGGCTTACCATGCACGCCCACCGCAGGGTCGGGCAGCACCACGTGGGCATGCAGCTCCTGCAGCTGCTGGTGCAGCAGGTCGAGCCTGCGTGAGGAGCCGCGCAGCACCAGCTCCACGGGGCCCAGGTTACGGCCCAGGTCGGTGGTGGCTCGCCGCAGGTTCTCTGCACCTTCCTTCAGCTTCAGCTCCTTGCGGATCTCCCGCCGCAGACGCTCCCGCTCCAGCTCCAGCTGCTGCTGCACCCCCGGGGCTGCCAGGTCGGCACCCGCCAAGCCCAGCTGCTCCAGCAGGGACCAGCTGCGCGGCTCACTCTGCAGGGGATGGAGCAGGGTCAGTGGGGCCAGGGGGCCTCTGGGGGTGCAGACCACATTCAGCTGGCCTGGCCCGGCCTCCTCCTGGTGGGGGGACTGCTGACACAGGGCCTGCTCCATGTCCTCCAGTGGTCCCCCAAAACTGGGAGGTGAGACAAGGCCCTATGCCTGCTTCCTGACACCCCCGAACTGTGAGGTCCCAAGGGCAGGGCCTTCTCCTTGCCTGTCCCCTCAGACAAGAGGACCATAGGTACAGTTCAGCCTCCCTCCCTCTGTCCTCATGCAGTAGGATCCTGCAGGGCAGATTCCACTGCCTCATCACTGGGTCCCCACAGCTCGGGGTCCCCAAGGTCAGGCCCTATCTCTCCTTCCACTGTCCTCCCAAATTAGGGGGGCCCAGGACAGGCTTTGTCTCCCTCTGTTGCCCCCAAATGACCAGGTCCTGAGGGGAGACCCTTCTCTCCCCTCTGCTGCCCCCCTAAGCTAGGAGGTCCCAAAGGGAGGCCCCCTCTCCACTCCCTGCGCCCCACATTAGGAGGGCCTGAGGGCAGCTCTCATCTTCCTTCTGCTGCTCCCCAAATGAGGAAGTATCAAGGGCAGGCCTGTGATGCCCCCCAAACCACAAGGTTGGGGCTCCAAGAGCAGGTTCCTTCTCCTCATGGCTGTGCCCTTGAACTAGGAGGACCCAGGGACAGGCTTTGTCTATTCCCTGCTGTACCCCCAAACTAGGAGGGCATGGAGACAAGCTTTGTCTATTCCCTGCTGTACCCCCAAACTAGGAGGACCCAGGAACAGGCCTCGTCTATTCCCTGCTGTACCCCCAAACTAGGAGGACCCAGGGACAGACCTGATCTATTCCCTGCTATACCCCCAAACTAGGAGGGCCTGGAGACAGGCCTCATCTATTCCCTGCTATACCCCCAAACTTGGAGATCCTGGGGCCAAGTGCCATCTCCCCTCCTTCTGTTGTCTACAACTGGGACCCTAAAAAGCAGAGCACTGTTCCCTTTCTCCTCTATTTCCCCAACCTGGAAGCCCAACAGGCCCCAAACAGTTTCATCTTTCAAACAGAAAACTCCAAAGCCAGCACCCCACCTCCTCCCCTCAGTCCAAAACCAAGAGGTACCGAGGGCAGGGCCCCTCCGGCCTGTGCCACTTGGGGTCCTCTTCTGCTGCCCCTCCCCCCCACGGACCCCAGCCCCCACCTCCAGCTCCCGGTCCAAAGGGGGATCAGCCTCCGCCATCCTGGGTCCCCGGCTGAGGGCCCCGCCCTCTTCCTGAACCTCAGCCCTGCCAGGGCCTCTCGCCTGATACTTCCTCTTTCCTGCTGGCTCCCAGCAACCCCTGCGGAGGCCAGCTCTGGGGCTCTGGGGCACCAAGAGGACCTTCCTCTCAGCCCCCACTCGAGGGCTGAACCTGCTTCTCTGGGGTCATCCCAGGGGTGGCCCCTCTGCTCCCTGTCCTGAGGATGCCCCAGGTGTACCCAGCAGGCACACAAACACAGGCCCGCTAGGGTGGACACGAAGAGCAGCCTTCCCCACGTGTACAGCTTCCCCACGACACACTCTTACACACCTCCAGGCATGTGCAGGCATCACAGGCTGGCCAGTGTGTGCCCACCCCCCAACCCCTGCATATACTTATACACCAACACCCACAAGTGCTTACATGGGCGGCCCTGCCCCCTTCCTGTCCCAACTTCCGGCTTCTTCTCAGCGCGGCTGCCTGCTGCTGCTGACCACAGCTTGGAGGCCGGGGGGCCCGGCCGGCCCTGCGGTACCTCCCTGAGGCTCACATCATGAGGAGACAGCTCTGCAGGGGTGGGGTGCGAGTGTCTCCACTCAAGCACAAGTATGATTATTAAGAACCATGGCGGTTACTACAAGCTGCACGCCAGGTCAACTAATGCCATTCCAGGAGGCGCTATTATCACTCCGTTTTCCAGATGAGGAAACCGAGGCCTGGGGCGGTGACCTAACTTTGCCCAAAGTCCCACAGCCAGCAGGAGACAGAACTGAGATTTCCAACAAGTGCCCAGAATCAGAGTTAGTTGTCAGCCAGGCAGGAAGAGCCCCGTGTATATTATCTGCCGCCACGCTGAGACCCCATTCCAGAGATGAGGAAAGTCGGGGGTGGCTCTCAATAACTTCAAGGGCAGCTGCCTCCAGGGAAGACTTACTTCAGGCCCGAAGTGTCACTCCCATGACCCTACTGACCCCTCATTTCTATCCTGAGCAGCTGCCATATTTCCCCTCCCACTTTACAGGTGAGGAGACTGAGGCTCAGAGGGATGGCAGCAGCAGTTCTCAATGGCGGAGGGGATTCCCAACACTCCCACCTCACTTCTGGGGGCATCTGGCAATATCCAGAGACACTCTGGGTTGGTTGTCATAACTGGGGCTGCTACTAGGCTCTATGGGGTTGAGTTCATGGAAACTGCTTGACATTCCACTGTAAACATGAGAGCCGCCACCTCCAAGAATGATTCAGCCCCAAATGTCAATAGTGCTAAGCTTTAGAAACCCTGAATTAAAGGACACAAACTCACACCCTGAACTGATGACCATGATCACTGGTAAGGATTTCACAGCAGCCCCACCTGCAAGGGGCTGACCTGGTCCACGTCCTTCCTCACCGTGAAAACCCTCTTGGCTACACTTTTTTTTTTCATTATTTTGACGGCAGAACCAAGGCTCAAAGAGGGAATGGTGCTGGGCCTAGGACACACCATGAGGAAGTGACAGCTCTGGAATTTACACCCAGGGTCACCTACTACCACCTGCTATCAACCAGGTCCCACTGGCCACCCAGCCCCACCCTGTCCCCAGCAGGCAGAGCAGGGGTACAGCCAGGAGTAGAGCCAACTCGAATGAGAGGAGTCCCGGGGCAGGGGGCAGGGGGGAGGGAGGAGGGAGGAGCAGGATCCCTCAGCCCCACCTCCTCCAGCAGCTGAGGGCTGTGAATATGCAGAGGAGGAAGAGAGGAAGGCCGGGCCTCCCTGGTTCTCCTTCCTTGGGTGACTCACTCCTATCCAGGGCAGGGGTCACCTGAGGGCCAACGAGATGAACCCATGAATCAGGAGACTGGCCTGGCCTTGGGGAATCCCCAACACCCTCCAAGAAGCAGAAGATGCCTCCCGCCTGCCCAGGTCCAGAGGGTCCACCTCCCAGAAATTCCCTCTTCCTAGAGTGACCAGGGATCTAGACCCCATGTCCGGAGATTTCAATGCGCTGGGCGTTTCTGGAATCCGGACAGGACATCCGTTTGCCGGACACAGAACAGACAGGCACATACACTGGGACAGACAGAGGGACAGGGGTAGCAGACCCAAGCAGCCATGAGAGGAACAACAGGGTGGGGGTGGGGAGGGTAGGGGGAAGACAGCAGGCAGGAGACAGGAAAGGGGACCAGGGCGCAGGTCCAGCCTCGTTCCAGGAATCACAGTCTCCGTCCGGGTCATGTCTGCTACATGCCAAACGCATGCATGTGCCAGGGGAGTCCTACACTGTCCTCCCAGGGCTGACGGGGTAGAGGCAGGGACCCAGGCCCTCCCCAGCCCCCAAGGTCTGACCTTGTGTGATCGGCAACACCAGATACGCCCAGCTCCTCGGCAAGGCTGGCAGGCCATCAGCAGGACTGGGGCGGGGGACAGGGGGTCACGGGGGAGAGACACAAAGGGGATGTGGGGGCAGGTGCAGAAGGAGATGAGAACCCAGTTACACAGCGACCACAGGACGATGGAGAGCTGATGAGGCACTAGTGGGGGCACCAGAGGTAGAGGACATGTCTCAGATTTGGGTCACTGACCCAGAGAGGTTTCAGAAGTCACCCTGGCCCTGCTCACCAGAGGCAGGGAAGGTGAGTCCCAGGCTGTGATGTCTACACGGTGGCACAGGGAGAACCGGGGTGGGTGGCATGTCGGTGTCAGTCACCTGTGCCTCTGTGTGTGTTGATGTGTGGGTTGTGGGGTGACCCAGTCCAGGCAGGATTCCAGGTAAAAGAGAATCCTCCAGTTCACTGACATGGACACTCCCCACCTGGAATCCCAGGATAAGGTTCCACCCGGCAGCCGAGTGGCTGTGTGGGTCCCTGGTCCCCAGACCTAAAGAGGTGACTCTGGCACTTCCGCCAACAGGTGCCAATCTGTAGCGTCGCGACCATCGTAAAGCTCAGTCCGGAGGTGGGGGTGCCGCCGGAGCTTTGTAGTGCGTGGGGGAGGGTGGGGGAACGGGGCGGGTGGCCTGCGCCCTTCCCGGGGCATCGCGCCAGGCACTTGCTCAGGTGGAGCGGCACCTGCCGGAGAACCGAACGCTGGAGAGAGGGAGCGAGCGGCAGGGTCGACTGGCACCGGGATGCCCAGCTAGCCATAGACACCCGAAGTCGAGCCGCCGCTGAGCCCCCTCTAATTCTCGGGGAAGGGCGGAGTTGGGGATGCTGTAGGACCCCTCTCGTTCCCCCACCCTCCCCCGTGCGTACCTCCACCTGCCGAGGAGACTGCGCGGGCTCCACGGCCCCGGCCCAGGGAGGGGGCGCCTAGCGCTCGGGGGAGGTGGGGACCCGCCCTGGCCGCCCAGATCCCGGGAGCTCCGGCGGTGAGCGGGCGGGGGTCCCCAGCGCCGGCTGGCCGCTGGGCGGCTGCGAACGCAGGTGCGCCTACCTGCACAGCGTCGCTGGCCATGTCCACACGCAGCCCGCCAGGGGTCCCCGCGCGGAGAAAGGGGCGGTGAGAAGAGCGCGCGTGCGCCCCGCGCGGGGCGGGGAGGGGGGCGGGCGCGGCGCGACGCCCCCCCCAAGGCGCAGGGCCGGCTCCGGCCTGCTCGGCTCAGGCCGCGCCTGGCCTGGCCGCCCAGTCCGCGCGCCGCGCCCTCCGGCCCCAGCGGCCGCCGGGCCCGGTCACGTGATCGCCGAGGTCGGCGCCCGGGGAGGGGGCGGGGCCGAGGGGGCGGGGCTCCCGGCGGCCCCCGGGGCTGCGGGGTCCTGGCCGCCGTGCACCGCCCGCCGGAGGGGAAACTGCCCGGTCGGCTTCGCTCGCCTTTCTTTTTTTCGGAATTCTCCCTTTTCCCACGGGTCTCCCGATTGAGCGCGAGGGAGCCCAAAGGAAAAGAGGGAGCCACGTTAAAGCGGGGAGCGGTGGAGGCCTTTGGGCCTCCGGGGACCTCCACTCAAAACAACAAAAACAACTCATTTTCTCTCTGTGTTTGCAAGTTTGGGCTTTCTTGGAACGGACTGTCATTCAAGGCCACCGGCGCTTCCCCCACAGGCTGGAGACAAGCTGTGAGCAGACTTGTGTTCAAATTCCAGCACCCTATGCCTTAGGGGAGTCCCCAACACCTAACAGCCCTTTATCTGTAAAAAAAAAAAAAAGGAGAGAGAAGGATTGACCTACCCACCCCTTGGACATGTTGACAAAATGAAATAAGACAATGCATGCCAAGTGCTGTGAACGCAGTAAGCGCTGGACAAAGGTTAGCTGCTGTGATTTTTAGTGTTTTTGCCGTTGTTGTGTAAAGGAATTTGAACCCTAAATCCGTCACGGACTCGCTGTGGGCCCTGTAGCGTCTGATCCTCAGTTTTCGCCTCCGTTAAATGGGGACACGCCTGTTCTTCGGAGCTGCTGCGTGCAGGTGGCGCTCCACCGTGCAGACTCGTGCCTGGTCGGAGGCAGAAGGTGGAGACCTCTGAGGAGCTTCTCCAGGGTCTCCGGAGTCCCTGGAGCATGCAGCCTGGCTGGTGGCAGACCGGACACTCCCTTTCAGACCCGGTGACTAAACCAAGCTGCGGTCCCTTGGGCGCGGGGCAGAGAGCGCTCCTCCGCCTTGGCGCCCTCCGGGGACCCGCCAGAGCGCCGGAGGCTACCTTGGTTACCCGCAGCTTTGCATGGTATACGCGGTCCCAGAGATCGGGGCGGGGTGTTTTCTCCTTCCCTTTGGGCGACTCTCTGGGGCTGGGGAGTAGTAGTGGTGGTTAACAGAGGGGAAGAGGAGGAGGAGAAATTATACCAATCTGAATCCACCCACTTCCCCCCTCCACGGTCTCCACCGGGTCCATCTTCATCATCGTTCACCTGGACCAGTGCAATCGCCTCCTGTCAGGTCCCTGGGTTCCTCCCTTGACCTCATAGTCTCTCTTCCCCACAACAACCCAGGGATGTCTAGGAATGTCTAAGCCAGGTAATGTCCCACTTCTGCCTAGAACCACCTTTGACTCCCACCTTCCTCAGAGTAAAAGCCAAAGTCCTACCAGCAACCCACAAGGCCCTTCACCTTCCTTCTCTCCTCTTCTCCCACCTCTTCCCCTTGCTCACTCTTTGCAGCCACACCTGTTTCCTGGCAGTTCCTCAAATATTTTTTTCATTGAATTAAAGAAAACTTTGAGCCAGCTCTTTTGCTTTTGATTTAAATATGAGGAAACTCAGGCCCCTCACCCTCAATGAGCTTCCCAGGTGGTGCTAGTGAGAAAGGACCTGACTGTCAATGCAGGAGACACAAGAGATGCAGGCTCCATGCCTGGGTCGGAAAGATCCCCATGAGGAGGGCATGGCCACCCATCCCAGTATGCTTGCCTGGAGAATCCCAGGGACAGAGGAGTGGGGAGAGGGGACTACAGTCCACAAGGTCATGAAGAATCAGACAGGACTGAAGTGACTTAGCACCAATTGTAAAGTCAGGATGTTTATGGTCCTTGCTGCGTCTTCCTCTAATTCTCCAGCCCACCCATTTTACAGATGGGGATGATGGGGCCAAGCAAGGCTGAGAGCCAGTCCACCACCTTATCCAGGTAAGGGCCCACTGCTGCCTGCCAGGTTTCCAGGCTGCTTCCCTGGATAGAGCTGGGGAACCCTGCCAACGTCTCACTCCAACCTTCCGGCACTCATTTACTCAGTGAATATTTATCGGTACCCACTGGGGACTTCGGTAGCACTGGAAACAAAATTTCACTCTGGGCTTGAAATAGGGACACCAAGGACTTATTGTATAAACTCAGCCAAATATGATAGCTGCACCAACACCTCCCTGTGCCTCCTCTGTCCTCTTTCCAGTCCTCTCCAGGGCCTTGGAAGCCCTAAATCACCCCCACTACCCTCCACCTCTGCCTGCTGGAAAACCTGTCTCTGGCACTCTGGAGCTCTTAGGAAAAACACCACTCCTCATCTGGCCTACAAGGTAGTCCAGTCCAGCCTCTGCCCACCTGTCCAGCCACATCCCCCTCCACTTCCCTCACCCCCATCTAACAAAACTGGCTTTCTCTCTGTTCCTCAAATATTCTCACCTTACTTCCAACCACAAGGCCTTTGCACTGGCTTTTCCCCAGTCTGTAATGCCCTTCCCTCACATCTCACCAAGTCTGGCCTCTTCTGATCATTTAGGTCTCTGTATGTCATCACCTCTGAGAGATCTTCCCAGAGCACCTCCATATCCTGTCATCTCTGGCCCATGGCTCTCCTTTTTTTTTTTTTTTTTTTTTGATGTGGAACATTTTTAAAGTCTTGATTGAATTTGTTACAATACTGCTTCTGTTTTATGTTTTGTTTTTTGGCCACCAGGCATGTGGGATCTTAGCTGCCCGATCACACCCACAACCCACTGCATTGGAAGGTGAAGTCTTAACTGCTGGACCACCAGGGAAGCCCCTGTTTTCTTTCTTTTAAGTATCACTTCTCTCTGAAATTTCCCAGTAACTGGCCTAATCTCACTCAATCTTTGTGGAAGGAATAAATGCACTCCGTGTGAGCTGTCAGGAAAAAGGTAACCCAGCCAGTGGATGCCTTGGGAGGACAGCTGCCTCATTGTAGAGGAGGCAGAAAGGCTGGCACTAAGGGACAAATTAGGAAATTGCCAAATAGATAGAGAAGAAAGGCGTGTGTGGTGAAAGGAACAGCAGAAGCAAAAAGGCCCAGAGGTGGGTGAGGTAGAACCTGGTATATCCTTCTTCCTCTGCCCTCGTCTCCCACCCACATTCCCTCACTCATTCCACTCTGGCTGCATAGCCTCCTCACCCATGCTGATTCTCACCTCAGGGCCTTTGCACTGGCTGTTCTCACTGCCTGCAATGCTTTTCCTTCTCATCTTGGCATTCTCTCTTTCTCACTTCGTCTCCATCTTTGTCTAAATGTCACCCTCTTAAGGAAGTCTTCCCTGACTGCATCTCCACCCAGAACAAGGCCCACCCCATCTCTACCAAACTCCACCCTTCACATACTTTTATCATCCTTGCAAATTTTAATAAATTTGACGACTATTTTCTTTCTTGTCGGACTTTACCAGGAAGATGTCAGTTCCCAGAGGGCAGGAGGGGCTTCCCTAGTGGCTCAATGATTCCACCTGCCAAGCAGGAGACATGGGTTTGATCCCTGGGTCAGGAAGATCCTCTGGAAGAGGAAATGGCAACCCACTCCAGTATTCTTAACTGGAGAATGCTATGGACAGGGGAGCCTGGCAGCTACAGTCCATGGGGTCACAAAGAGTCAGACACAACCTAGAGACTAAACAACAACAAAATAGGACAGGGATTTTTGTCTTGTTCACTGCTGGGTGTCTGGCTCTTTGTTGTTATTCAGTCCCTAAGTGGTGACTGACTCTGTGAACCCATGGACTGCAGCACCCCAGGCTTCCCTGTCCTTCACCATCTCCTGGAGTGTGTTCAAACTCATGTCCATTGAGTTAGTGATGCCATCCAATCATCTCATTCTCTGTTGTCCCCTTCTCCTCCTGCCTTCAATCTTTCCCAGCTTCAGGGTCTTTTCCAGTGAGACAGTTCTTCCCATCAGATGGCCAAAGTATTGGAGCTTCAGCTTTAGCATCAGTCCTTCCGATGAATAGTCAGGGTTGATTTCCTTTAGGATTGACTGGTTTGATCTTGCTGTCCAAGGGACTCTCAAGAGTTCTCCAGCACCACGGTTCAAAAGCATCAATTCTTTGGCACTCAGCCTTCTTTATGGTCCAAGTTTCACATCTGTACATGACTACTCTTGCTCCTAGAACAGGGATTAGCACACAGAAGGTACTCAAAAAACAGCTGTTGGATGAAAAGAGGAACAAACCAGGTATCATGAAAGCATGGCTGGAGTTTGTTTGTTTTTTTTTTTTTTGGCTGGTGAACCTGGAGTAGAGAAAACACTCCAGATGTTGCCCATAGTGGGAGTGGAATTCAGATCTGACCCTGAGGACTGTGGGAACCACTGGTAGATTCTTAGCAGGGGAGGAACTGAATAAGGATTATTTCTCAAAAGATAAGGCTCTTTGCAAAGCAAGTCTTCACCAGCGGGGGAGGGGAGGGGGCCTGAGAAAAGAAATGGGAGTAGATTCATTTGCCACCAGAAGAACTACATGTATCAACAAGGCTAAACTCGAAAACATCATGTGAAGGGAGGGGATAAAGAAGCAAGGTTAAAAAATGATACAGTTTGCTATTATTTATATCAAATACAAAAAAAAATCCAGAAAGGGATATTATGTATCAAGTTTTTGGAGCAGTTCAGAATAGTAGGCAGTATGTCTGGCATCCTGGCTAAGGTTTGCCACGTTGCACACATGCTAAGTTGCTTCAGTTGCATCCGACTTTTTGTCACCCTATGGACTGTAGCCCACCAGGCCCCTCTGTCCATGGGATTCTCCAGGCCAGAATACTGGAGAGGGTTGCTATTTACTTCTCTAGGGGATCTTCCCTACCCAGGGATTGAACTCACATCTCTCATGTCTCCTGCACTGACAGGCATATTCTTTACCACTGGTGCCACCTGGGAAGCCATCTGGGTCCAAATTCTGGCACCACTGCACATGGATGGTGAGACCCAGGGTAAGTTTCTTTTTTTTTTTTAATTCTTTTTATTTATTTAATGAATTTATTTGGCTGTGCCAGGTCTTAGTTGTGGCATATGGGATTCCCTGACCAGGGATTGAGCCCAGGCACCCTGAATTGGAAGCATGGAGTCTTAGCCACTCAGCCACCAGGGAAGTCCTGGGGAAAGTTTCCTCACTGCTCTGTGCCTTGGTTTCTTCATCTGTAAAAAGGGATGATCATAGTGCCATCTACCTCATAGGGTTGCTAGGAAGCTTAAATGAATTAATTCGCATAAAGCACAGAATGTGTGTGCATGCTCAGCTGCTCAGTTGTGTCCGACTCTTGGCATCTCCATGGACTGTAGGCCGCCAGGCTCCTCTGTTCATGGGATTTTTCAGGCAAGAATACTGGAGTGGGTAGCCATTTCCTTCTCTGAAAGCATGGAATAGGGCTGCAGTGATTGTTCAGTTATTTTTATTGAGGCTGTTTCTGTAGTGGGGGAGGGGAATGGAGTTGGGGATGTGAACAGAAATGACTTCCACTTTAAAAATAATGTTACATCTTTTACTTTAAATTGTTTATTTTATTTTGATTGAGGTGCAACTTACATATAGTAAAGTACACAGATCTTTTGGTGTTCAGCAACACGAATTTGTATATATGCACCTACCCCTGTGGCCTCTGCTCAGGCCACTCCCCTGTGGCATAAGGTTTACTTGTGCTCTTTCCCTGGCAAGCTCCTCATGTAGATTCTATGTAAATTAACTTTACCTATTCTTGAGCTTCATACTCTATGGAATCATTTTATGATTTTTAAAAATGGCTGGACTCCTTTTTTCTTTAAGTTTTTTTTTTAATATGGACTATTTTTAAAGTCTTTATTGAATTTGTTACAATATTGTTTCTGTTTTTATGTTTTGGCTTTTTGGCCACAAACATGTGGGATCTTAGCTCCCCCCAGAGCAGGTTTTGAACCCACACTCCCTGCATTGGAAGGCAAAGTCTTAACCACTGGACCACCAGGGAAGTCCCCAGATGTCTGGATTCTTTCACTTAATATTTATTTTGTTTTCTGTTACTGTAAAATTCACCCTTTTAAAGTGTACAATCAAAAAAAGTGTACAATCCAATGTACAGAGTGTACAGTGTATGTTTGCAAAGAACGTGATGTTTTTAATATTTATCCATCATACTGTGGCTATCAATCATTCATTCCTTTTTATTTCTAGTGGTATTCCATGGTATGAATGGACCACAGTTTCTTTCCTCATTCATATGTTGTTGGACATTTGGGCTGTTTCCAGTTTGGAGCTGTTATGTATAAAGATAACTTTTTGACCACACCGTGCAGAATGTGGGGACTTAGTTCCTAGATCAGGGATCAAGCCCACACCCGCTGCATTGGAAGCGTGGAGTCTTAACCACTGAACCACCAGGGAAGTCCCGTTCATATCTTTTTGTGCCCCCCCCCCAAAAAAAAAGTGTTTCCTTGGACTTCCCTGGTGGTGCAATGGATAAAAATTCACTTGCCAGTGCAGGGGACACAGGTTCAATCTCTGGTCTGGGAAGATTCCGCATGCCAAACAGCAACTGTGCCTTAACTACTGAGCCCATGCTCTAGAGCCCACGAGCCACAGTTACTGAAGCCTGCACGCTCTAAGACCCGAAAGACACAACTAATGGTCTATTAATCAGTAGCTCCAGTGCTGCAGTTCCTGAAGCCTGCACATCTAGAGCCTGTGCTCAGAAACAAGAGAAACCACCGCAATGAGAAGCCTGCACACAGCAACTGGAGAGGAGCCCCCACTTGCTGCAACTAGTGAAAGTCTGTGTGCAGCAATGAAGACCCAGTGCAGCCAAAAATTAAATATTAACAATGTGTACATGTCAAAAAATTTTTTAATGTTTCATTGATTGTTCTGAGGACTGCTTAGTCATGACATCGGTGCCTGTTCAACCCAATGGATCTGATCTGAGATGACTTTTTCTGTCTTCGGGGGGTGAGGGTGGACATCGAGAGGCCAAGAATGCTCCTAAACATCCTACAAGGCACGGGATGGCTCCCATTGCAAAGAAGGATCCGGCTCAGATGTCATGATTGTCGGGGTTGAGGTTGCCTAGTTAACCTTATTACAAACTGCCAGATCATTTTCTGAAGTGGTCTTCTCATTTCTGGTTCCTCCACAGCCTCTCCTCCAACCTTGGTACTGTGAGTCTTCCTTTTTAGCCATTTGGGTGGGTGTTTAAAAATCTTTTCTATCTTAAAATAATTCTGAAATGAATCAGGCCAATATGACAAATGTGAACATTTTTTCATCTTGGGTGGTGGATGTACTTTATCTGACTCTAATCTTTTCTGGATTTAAAGTTTGTGGGATTTTTTTGTTTCTTGTGGCTTTCTTGTTGCTTGTTGCTTGCAGCTCCCCCTGGCTGCATAGATGATGAATGCCCTGTTTGTTTTTTTTCCCCTTTGTTTTCCGAGACTTCTTTACTGTACTCAACTGGCTCCAGTCTCCTCCTTCTCCAGCATCGTCTCAGATAATCTAATACCTCCAAGGTTACCTCTCACCTGCTTTCCTGGAGCTCCTCTTCTTTCCCCAGGAACTGGTTTTCTCCAGGCTTCCAACTTACCTGGCTTTGGCTTCTATCTCCACCTATAGAAGTTCTGTTGTTCCATCGCTAAGTTGTGCCCAACTCTTTGTGAGAGAGAGGTTTTGGCTAAGTCTAATAAAGAGACCTGGCTTTGGCTTGAATTCCTGCCAGCAGTGCGACTTTGGGACCAAGATTAACTCTATCTGGAGCTCAGGTCAACCACAGGACAATAGATATGAACAATGGATGTGCTAATACACACAAATTAAATATAAATATGTTTTATGTGTTTTTTACGTGCAATTTTTAAAAAATCAAAAGTAATGCAAAAAAAAAAAAAATCCAAATAAAGACAGGCTTCCCTGCTGGCTCAGTGGTAAAGTATCTACCTTTCATTGCAGGAGACACAGGTTCAATCCCTAATCTGCGAAGATCCTGCATAGCAACTAAACCTGAGTGCCATGACTATTGAGCCTGTGCTCTGGAGCCCCAGAGCCATGACTACTGAGCCCACATGCTGCAACTACTGAAGCCTGCGAGCTCTAGAGCCTGTGCTCCGCAGCAAGAGAAGCCAACGAAACGAGAAGCCCTCTCATCACTACCAGAGAGTAGTCCCCACTTGCCACAACTACGTTGCCCACACTGCAATGCAGACCCAGCACAGTCAATAATAAATAAATAAATAAAATTATTATTATTTTTTAAAAAAGACAGGATCAGTAGTTCTGAACGTTTCCTTTTGCCTCAGGTGCCAATATGGCTTGAAGTAGCACTGTTACTGACCCTGTCTTTACTTAAAATTTTGACATTTTGCTCATCAGATATTTTAGCGAGATTTAAAACATTAATTTTGATTTTAAAGTAGTGCATTCAAATATTATTTATCTTGATGACTCAGTTTTTTAAGATTAAGAAAAGTATTTTTTATTTCTGGCTCTGCTGGGTCTTCGCTGCTATGAGTGGGCTTTCTCTAGTTGCGGAGAGCAGGGCTACTCTTCGTTGTGCGTGTTTCTCATTGCAGCGGCTTCTCGTTGTGGAGCACAGGCTCCAGGTGCACGGGGTTCAGTAGTTACAGCACTCGGCCTCAGTAGTTGTGGCTCTTGGGCTTAGTTGCTCCACTGCATGTGGAATCTTCCCAGACCAGGGAACCCATGTTCCCTACATTGCAAGCCAGATTCTTAACCACTGAACTGCCAGGGAAGTCTCACGAGTTTTTTGCTTTTTTGCTGTGTTCGGTGTTTGGTGCCCCCTTAAAATTTGCATGCCGCACCTTCATTCGGGCCCCGCTTTCCCACTTCCGGGTATACAGGAAGTGCTCTATAAGTGTTCTGATTTAATTACTTATGATGTAATTATCACATACAGTATCAACCTTATGTCATGTAAAGCCTCCCTCTGGATTGACTGGTTTCTCTTCATTGGGCTTTTTGACTGAAGTTATACCTGTGATGACTTTAGTGCTGAGTTTGTCTCAGACACGGACCCTTTGATAGCTTTAAACTAAATGAAAACGAAATGCCTGAACCTCTTTGGAAAATTGTGGAGAAAGATTTAATTGTGTTAAGGGCTTAGGGAGACTGGAAAGCTGGAGCAGGCTTATGGAGTTTGCCCTACTTACTTTCCTTCCTCTTACCCACCCCCCAAATCTCCCATAGCTGAGAAAAGACTGACAGTACCAGGTATGGCAAGAATTAAGAGTCATTGGAACTTTCACAGGGTGCTAGTGAGAATGTAGAAAACTGTCAGGATCTACTAAAGCCTAATACTCACATGACCTTCCACTCACCATTTCACTCCTAGGTACTTGCCCTAGAGAAGTAAATTCGTTTTCACAAAAATACTTGTATACGATTTATTAATAATGGCCGAATACTGAGGGGGAAATGTCTATCTATAGGTGAATGGAGAAACTCTATTGGCTACATTGTGGTATAGCCACACAGTGGGATACTACTCAGGAGTAAAAAAAGAAGGAATATTGCTATATACAGCAATGTGGAAAATCTCAAAACATTTTGTTGAGCAGAAGCCAGACACAAAAGACAATCTACTGCATGATTCTGTTTACATGAAATTCAAGAACAGACAAGATTATAGTGATAGAAATAAACATAGTGGCTGCCTGGTAGGGGCAGGAGGGAGGAAGGGGGTGTGGCTGACTTGAGAGGGACACAACAGAACTTTCTGTGGTGATGGAAATGTTCTATAACTTCACCAGGTAATTGTCACTCGGGTATCAATCATCAGAACTCATGGGACCGCTCAACTCAGTAAAGCACTGGCAGGATAAAAAGGCTGGGAAATTTTCATACAAAAGAAAAGTAAAAGTAATAACAACAAAAAAGTTTTATGACGAAAACATCCTGGTTTTGTTTTTTTCGGCCTGAACCTGCATGGCCGTTCGCACAGTGTCTGACCAGGACACGACTTTCAGCAAACAGGAATTGTGGCTTAGGACCATTTCTCTGACTCCCATGCCCTGAGGGGCCCCTTCTCTACTGAGGATGCAAAATGTCTCTCCACGGTGGTGTTATTCCAAGCTCCCTAGCCTTCTCAGAACCCTTTCAGAACCTCTACGCTGCAGGACCACTTCGAAAACTTCTTCCCTCAGCGTAGAGGTCTTATTTCATAAGAGCCAGACACTCACTCTGGGCCCACATCACAGCTTCGGTTGCCCGGACTAAATATGGTGGCACACGAGCCGGTCACACCCTCTACCACGTGACGGTACCGTACGCTCGCAGACGCCCGCCTGGGTCAGCCCACTCCGGCGCCTACTTTTAGATTGACCAATGAATCGGAGGCATGAAGCACGCCCTTTTCCCCTCTCCACCAATAGCCTCCAGACACCTCCCGCAGAAGCCAATCATCGCTCCCGCCTCTCTTGAATGAAAAGCGAGCGGCCCAGTGAGCTGAGCCGCACTCGGACGTAGGAGACAGGAAGCGCAACAGCTCGTGTCGGGGCGCGAGAACTGTAACCAGAGTCGGGCGGCTCTCTTCGCAGCACGCGGAGGCGAACAAGGAATCAGGTGAGCGGATGGCCCAGGCGCGGGGCCGCGGTGCGGAGACGTCGGATCTGCGGGCGAGCGGGAGATAGGAGACGCCAGGGGTTGAGGGAAGGAGACCGAGCGCGAGACAAGGGGAGGCGGGGCGGTTGGGCTGTCCGGAGCGAGTTGGCGGCCGTTGGGCATTAGGGCGCATGTGCGGGGGGAGGGCCGGCCGTTGGCGCGCGGGTACGGGCCCGCTTCCGGGAGGGGTTGTCATGGCCGCCTGCAGGCTGAACCCCACCTTGGGGCAAACACTGCCTGTTCTTGGAAGCCCGAGGCGATTTGGGGAGGGGTCAGGAGGCGACGCGGGGGTCTGGGGCCGCGGTGCGCGAAGCCGGAGCTTGTAGACGTGACGATCTTCAAGATCGAAAGACTCTTCCTCCGTTCTTGCTTTGCATTTCGGGGGGGGTGGATTCGTAGTTCCAGAGATTTAGGGCAAAAAATGATGTTCCAGTAAGGAACAAAGTCTTAGATGAAAATCTCTTTGGGGGCACTTCAGGGTGAAAAGGGTACGCTAAAGGGTCTGAGTTGTTACTTAGTCGTCTGTCAGCTTTCAAGTTGATCAGCTCTTGGGGCCTCTGCCACCTTCTCTGGGTGGAGCAAACAGCGCCAAATCTTTTCCTGATGTAATTTGTTTTGATTTTTAGGTTCTGTCTAGCCAGTCCCTAGAAATTTTGTGTCTCAAACTTAGTGTCACTAAATTTGTCTCCCCATTAAAACAAAAAGAGTTTCTTCGAACGCACTTTTTGGAATGCACATCTCTTTCCGTATTTGAAGCCCAGAGTAGACGACGCTGGCTCTTTTATGTCCAAGGCTCCCCCAGGGGTTAGTGCCTCCCTGTAGGGTGATCCACCTTCTTTTCCCTCTTTAACAATGCTCCCACCGTGGTTAACCCTCTCATTTGGTGTCTGGTTTTCCCTGCTGCTGGTCCCTTACCTCACTCCATCTTCTCTGGAGTAACTTGGTCTTGAGCAAATCCTGATTGAGTCACAACTAAAAACCTAATCAGCGATTTCTTATTCAGCGAATTAAGTATGAATACTCTGGGCCTAACCAGCTTGGTTTTCTGCCTCTTGCTTCAAGCAGCCAGTTCTTTCCAATCCCTGAAAGGATCTCGTGGTTTCTGGACTGCCCTTTGCTGATGCCTCTTCTTTTCTTTGATGTTTGAAGCGAGCCTTCCTGTTTTCACCAGTAGGAATCCTCAGTACTTGTATCAGATTGCCTCTTTCAAGAATCCTATGAGGATACTTGCTTAGCCCATAAACTCTGCCATGAGGCCCCGATTCTAATTACATTTATTCAGCCATTTGCTCTTCTTGAGTGCTTACCTGTTATGAACCAGGTCCTGTCCTGGGTGCTGGGCTGACATGACTGGAGGGGGTGTTTTTTTAGTTGGACCCAACTTTGGAATATGCCTTTTTGGAACAACAAAACAGCTTCCCAGATGTTCAGTGGGTAAAGAATCTGCCTGCAATGCAGGAGACACAGAGATGGGGGTTTGATCTATGGGTCAGGAACATCCCCTGGAGTAGAAAATGGCAACCCACTCTAGTATTTCTGCCTGAAAAATCCCATGGACAGAGGAGCCTGGTGGGCTACAGTCCGTGGTGTCAATAACCTTTGGAATGACAGAGTGACAAAACACCATGGAAAATGCCTTTTTGAAAGAACAGAGGTCTGAAAAAAGTGGGAAAAGCAAGTTGAAAGGTGCTGAGGCATGTTTGAGGCTCAGCAGCAAGGCCTATGTGTGAGGGTGACAGGGGTGACAAACAGTATAGAGGGAGTCAGGTTGTGCCGGGCCTGATAGTCTATGGTGAGGAGGACTCTGTTTTGCTTTGAACACAGTGGGATCCTGTGGAGGGTGTTGAGCAGAGGAGTGGCTTTCTCTGACTTAGCTTTTTTAGGCTCCCTCCAGCAGCTGAGGGGCCTTGAAGGGGGAGTGGGAGATGGAAAGCAAGGAGCCCAACAAGGCGGCTTTTGGCATAATCCAGGCACGAGGTGACGGTGCCCAAGTGCCTATCAGCTGACAATGGATAAAAGGAACTAGTATTCCAGTAAAAAGGAATATTCATTGGCCACGAAAAGAAATGGTGTACTGATACATGGCCACAATGTAGAGGAACCTTGAAAAATTAGGTGAGTGAAAGAAGTCAGACTGTCACATGTTGTATGATTCCATTATATGAAATGTTCCAAATAGGCAGATTCATAAAAAGAAAGTAGATTAGTGGTTGCCAAAGGGAGTTGGGGGGCACAGGATGGTAGCCTGAGGGTGCAGTCTTTGACATGAGGAAATGTGTGCTAAAGATGATTGTGGCAACAATTGAAAGTATTTGTGACTGCACAAGAAACCAGTAAAATGTGCGTTTTAAACTGCCTTGTATGGCATGTGAATGTCTCCATAAAGCTGCTCTAATCTAAAAAGAAAGGTGATGACAGCCTGAGAACCAGTGACGTAGCAGGGGTGAGAAGTGGCCTGATTGACCTGCTTGGATTTATTGGCTGGTGGGACAGGAAGAGAGAAAAGACAGAACAGTTTAGAGAATGGAGTTGCCTTTTCTGAGATGGGGGGTGGAGGGGAGAGGTTGTCCATGGAGAGGCCGCATGGAGGTGGTTAAGGCCCTGGGGCTGCATGGTCACAGAGGATGAGTGGCAAAAGGGCCACAAACTGGGCCTGGGACCCTCAAAATCCATCTTGGGAAGAGGGACTATTTTTAGTACTTCCACCCGCTACACTGGTCTTCCCTGGTGGCTGAATGGTAAAGAACCCGCCTCCCAATGCGGGAGACGTGGGTTCAATCCCTGGGTCAGGAAGAACCCCTGGAGGAAGGCATGGCAACCCACTCTGGTATTCTTGCCTGGGAAATCCCGTGGACAGAGGAGCCTGGTGGGCTGCAGTCCGTGTGGTCACAAAGAGACACGACTTAGCAACTAACATGACAGCAACAACCACCCCTTGACTGGAGGCTGGGGTGCAACAGGAAGGACAAAAGACAGTATTCTCATGGTCCCTGTAGCCTGCACCCACTAGGTGCTCTGTGTGGCTGAATTAAATGAAGCCAGGAAGTGATTGCACTTTGTATTAATTCTTTTTACCGTCTTGGCTGTATTCTTACTGGCTCCAGGCCCAATGGGAGGTCTTTTCATGAGAGCACTTAATTATTCCCTTGTGCAAACCACAAATAGCAGGAGCAGCTGGGGCTGGGTAGACATTGGCGAGCTCACAAGCTCCCATCTCTCCAGCATCCTGGCAGTTGCATCTCCAGGCTCAGGGTGGGGTCCTTGGGGAGTGACAGTGGAGGGGAGTCCTTGAGACTAGGTGGTCTGAGGCTATTCAGTAGAGCTGAGACCTTGATGCTGAGAAGGAGGCATTTATTTGTTCAGAGACCAGAAGCAATGCAGCAGAGTCGTGCCTGTGGGGCTGGGCGACCTGAGCTGGGGTAGAGGCTCAATAAGTATCAGCAGCCAAATGAGGCTGGGGGTGGTATGGAATGGGGTGGGCAGGGGCCACTGAGGGAGGTTGCAAGTGGAAAGGAATTGGGGTTTCACTCGGTGCACCTGTGATTGTGGCCTGAAGGTCCCGGGGAGAGGTGAGGCAGCTTGGTGGAGGGTGGTGGAGGTGTGGGCACAACAGGCGGAAGCTGGGGAGTGCTACACAGGTGGAGTGGTGGGACCTGCTGTGGGCGTCAGTGTCAGAGGTGAGTTGAGAGATTGGAGAATGATGTCCAGTCTTGGCTTCAGTGGCTGGGCGGCCAGACCGGACCCCAGGACCTCACCCACCTCGGACCTGTGTCAGCAGCTTGCAGCTTCTGTGCAGCTTGCTCCCTTTTCCCCCTCGCTCTGGGAATTTTCCTGCCTGCGTCAGTCACCGTTGTTGCTTTGTTGCTTCTCTGAGCCCTGTCCTCCCTCCTCTGTTCTCAGCAGCATGGCGGAACAGGATGTGGAAAACGAGCTTCTGGATTATGAGGAAGATGAAGAGCCTCAGGCACCTCCAGAGAGCGCTCCACCTCCCCCCAAGAAAGATGTGAAGGGTTCCTATGTTTCCATCCACAGCTCTGGCTTCCGGGACTTTCTGCTGAAGCCGGAGCTCCTGAGGGCCATAGTGGACTGTGGCTTTGAGCACCCATCAGAGGGTACGCATCCCTGGGTCCTCCCTCTCTTGGCTCTCCTCTCACTGCCTCGGCGCGGTCCACTCAGCCACCTGGTGAGGGGCCTGCACGGAGGGAACATCCATCCGGTTTCTGATAGCTCATGTGCTCTCTTCCCTCAGTCCAGCACGAGTGTATCCCACAAGCCATTCTGGGCATGGACATCCTGTGCCAGGCCAAGTCAGGGATGGGCAAGACAGCAGTTTTTGTGTTGGCCACTCTGCAGCAGATTGAGCCCGTCAACGGACAGGTGGGTGGACACCCTCCCTGCTAGGCGCTAGCTTCCTGATGCAGCAGGAATCATGGGTCCTCTTGTTAAAAATCCTGTTCCCGCATCCTCTTTGTGGACTTTTAAAATTAAGTTCGGTACTTAGTTTTACTGGAGCAGGAGATGGCAACCCATTCCAGTATTCTTGCTTGGAAAATCTCATGAACAGAGGAGCCTCACAGTCCATGTGAGTCCATGACATCACAAAGAGTTGGACACAAGTGAGCAACTTAGCATGCACTCAGTTAGTTGTTACCAATATTGCCCCCAAAATGGTAAGCCAAGAGGAAAAACTGAAAAGTGCCCAGTCTGATCACCCACAAGATGGCTGTAATTTCTACATGTGCTTTTTTAGATCGTGCACATATGTGAAGGTGGTCTTACACTGAACATGGTTTTGTTACTGCTTTTATTGCCAACACAATTGTCTTCTCATGCCTTGAATGTTGTTGTTGACTATTTTGAGGGGATAATTGAGGCACGTGCAGGTGTTCTGTTCTTGACATGCTGGGGCACACCTCCCTGGGTGTTACTGACCTTAGGGTGGGTGGTCTAGGAGGAAAGGGTTTCATGGGAGGCCGTGGTGTGGTTTCAGTCCTTGGCATTGTGGGCCAGGAAGGTGGGGTAGCCTTCCCCTGATGGTCATAGGCCAGCCAGGGGACAGGCTTGGGAAGCTGTTAGCATGGAGTGTGTCACCAGCTAGGTATCTCCCTGGCGTAGGGGGACACACCGGAGTAGCTATAAGGAGACGTAGGGAGGGCTTTCCCAGTGGCTCAGCGGGAAAGAATCCACCTCCCAGTGCAGAGATGCAGGTTCAGTCCCTGGGTCAGGAGGATCCCTTAGAGGAGGAAATGGCAACCATGGACAGAGGAGCCTGCTGGGCTACAGTCCATTGGGTCGAAGAGTCAGACGTGACTGAGGGACTAAACAAAAACAGTAAGTCTTAAAACCTGCTAGGGAAGAAAGTAAGAAGATACAGGGAGTGAGCAGCAGCTGATAGACTGGGAGAAGATGGGGTCATGTGGACTGGACTTTCCAGTGGCCCAAAGGGGTGGGGGCCGCCAGGGACCAGCACTATTGTGTGGGCTCTGGCCAGGGGAGGACTTTGGACATTGCCTTGAGGGTCTCTGCCCCACCCTGCCCCACAGGTGACGGTCCTAGTGATGTGCCACACTCGAGAGCTGGCCTTCCAGATCAGTAAGGAGTACGAGCGGTTCTCCAAATACATGCCCAGTGTCAAGGTGAGTCCCCCAGGCCGGGTGGGGTGGGGTGTGGTGTGGTGTGGTCCTCTGTAGCCTTGCTGGCCTCAGCTCTGGCCCAGCTGGCATTAACCAAGCTTGGCTGCAGCGGCTGCCTTTGAGGTTTGTCGTGGTTTATGCTCCTTAAAAGCCTGATGAATTATGAATGGCCCCCAGAGGCCTGTGCCAGTCTCAGTCCTGGGGCTGCTTTTCAGTGGAGCTGGGGCCAGGCTCTGAGGCCTCTCCTGTCCCCAGGCACCAGGTCTGGGGTGGCGGTGGGGGCTTTGCAGGGTCGTGAACTGAGTGGCTATAGTCACAAGAGTTGGGTGTGAGCTTTTAGCCACCAGATGGTTGACAGCAGCTTTCCCCCGCATAGGTATCTGTGTTCTTTGGGGGCCTCTCCATCAAGAAGGATGAGGAAGTGTTGAAGAGGAACTGTCCCCATGTGGTGGTGGGCACGCCGGGCCGGATCCTGGCACTTGTGCGCAATAGGAGCCTCAACCTGAAGAACGTGAAGCACTTCGTGTTGGATGAGTGTGACAAGATGCTGGAGCAGCTGGGTGAGTGTCTGCGCTGGGTCTGCGGGCTGTGGAGGCCCCCTGCATCATCCCCCGGACTTCAGAGTCACCCCCTGACAGGGCAGGCCAGAGGGTTCCCCAGAGTGGGGTCGTGTGGGTGGCCGGCAGTCAGGTCTCCTGGAAGCAGATTTGCGGGCAACTCCTGGCATTTGGCAGAGTGAACTGCGGCTTCTGAGCTGGATCTTGGAGTGGGACCACATGGCCCAAGATGAGCCGTGTCTGGGCACATGTCCATGTTAGCTGAGGACCGTGGCCCTGCCACCAGCTGGTTTAGCTCTAGGCCCCCGCCTGTGCTCAGGGAACCCTGACGGCTAGTGGGAGCTGGGGCTTATGCCTGGGAGGCGGCTGCAGCTCTCACTCCAGCGGCTGTCTCTGCCTCAGGCTCCCCACCGTGAAGCGTGGCTGGAGGCGCGCTGGCACGGCTGCTCCGCTCTGGCAGCGTGTAAGTGGATTGCCGCTCCTCCCGCGCCTCTGCTTATTACCCCGAGTCCGGGCTTCAGGCACCTGGGACTCCCCCCTCTGGCAGTCTGCGCTCACACCGCCCTTGTCATGGGGCCAGCAGCTCCCTGGCACAGGTTGGGAGGGACTGGATCCGGGTGGGGGTCGTGGCCTGGCAGGCGCTCACGCCCCATTTCTTGCTCTCCCTTCCTTGCCAGATATGCGGCGGGACGTGCAGGAAATCTTCCGCCTGACCCCCCATGAGAAGCAGTGCATGATGTTCAGCGCCACATTGAGCAAGGAGATCCGGCCTGTGTGCAGGAAGTTCATGCAAGATGTGAGTAATGGTGGAGAGCTCTGTGCGGTAGCTTCGGCCTCCGAGGGTGCAGGCTCTTGCCGCTCCCCAACATCCACGCTGCCCTCATGGCACAAGCATGCTGGAAGGCCGGCGGAGCCTCTTCCTCTCTTGTCAAACTGGGAGCTGAGAGCTTGGTCTACACCTGAACCGGGCCGGACCTTAGATCCAGCTGTTGGGAGACAAGTGTTAACGGGGGTACAGAGGCCTCTTGGAAGTATTGCCGCCACGGAGTCGCTTTTGGAAGGTTCTGGGCAGGCAGAAGGCCCAGCAGTAAGCCCCGCCTGGCTCTTCCTGCTCTCCTCCCCGCACAGCCCATGGAGGTGTTCGTGGACGACGAGACCAAGCTCACGCTGCACGGGCTACAACAGTACTACGTGAAACTCAAGGACAGTGAGAAGAACCGCAAGCTCTTCGACCTCCTGGATGTGTTGGAGTTTAACCAGGTGATGCTTCTGCACGCCCGTGGCCTGTGCTGGGCTTCCCGGCCTGGGGGAGGGAGTCTGGCCCTGACGCGGGTCTGTCTCTCCTTCCATCACAGGTGGTCATCTTTGTGAAGTCAGTGCAGCGCTGCATGGCCTTGGCCCAGCTCCTGGTGGAACAGAACTTCCCAGCCATTGCCATCCACAGGGGCATGGCCCAGGAGGAGCGGTGAGTGCATGCGGGCCGCCCTCAGCCCCTGGCAGGCCCGGTGGAGCAGATGCCACCCAGGGCCCCCGTATCTGATGGCCGCCTCTTGTTCCTCTTGCATCCAGTCTGTCACGCTATCAGCAGTTCAAGGACTTCCAGCGGCGGATCCTGGTGGCCACCAACCTGTTCGGCCGAGGGATGGACATTGAGCGCGTCAACATTGTCTTCAATTATGACATGCCTGAAGACTCAGACACCTACCTCCACCGTGTGAGTGGCCCAGGGGGGTGTCCCTTCCCTCCTGCCCCTTTTTCAGGGTTGGTGTTGGATGGGGACCTCTGTCTGTCTGTCCTCAGCCTGACCCTTGCTCCTATCTCCCTCCAGGTGGCCCGTGCGGGTCGCTTCGGTACCAAAGGCCTGGCCATTACTTTCGTGTCTGATGAGAATGATGCCAAAATCCTCAATGATGTCCAGGACCGGTTTGAAGTGAACGTGGCAGAGCTTCCAGAAGAAATTGACATCTCCACATACAGTAAGTGATTCAGACAGGGCTGGGGTGCTGGGGGGAGGTGGGGGACAGTGGTGGGGGCTTCTCTCCCCACTGCCCCCTCCTCACTGGCCTCCCCCATCCCCCGTGTGTCTTACAGTTGAGCAGAGCCGGTAACCACATGCCCTGATGACCCAGAGCCACTCTACTTCCCACGTGCTGCTTCAAGTCCTCTTTCTAGGTGACACTGGGCCTTTCATTTTACTGTTTAAAAGCTGTAGATTTGTGCAAGAATTTTTATTATGAAAGTCTGGCTCCCACAGTGTCTGTCTGTGTCACCTCACTGCATTTCGTGGACACCAGGGGCCCATGGCCTGGTCTGAGCCTCTGGCCAGCAAGACATGTCACCCTCTGTGTCAACATGAGATTTAATTTTTAAAGTGTCAACACTGAAAGGTTTATACAGATTAAACAAAAACATACAATGTCCACAGCCTTCACATCAGTTTGAACCCTCTGCCCTGGGGGCAGGTGGGCCTTACTTAGTACCATGAGCCTTCTTTGGCAAGGGGCTGAGAAGGGCCCTGCCCCTCTCCCACCCAACCTCAGTCTTAGCTTAACCTAGAAGCAAAGTCTCAGCACCTTGGCCTCTTGTTCTGTAGCAAAGACAGATGACAGGAAAGGGCCAAGCTGGGCACGAGTCTTCATTCTGTCTGGGCCTGGTGTACTTGGGGCCGCCCCTACCCTGGGTCCTGACCCAGGTGGAGCTGAGAGGCAGCAGGAAGTAGTCCGACCCTCCACCCTTGCTGGGTGTTCAGGGGTTCGGTACCAGATGGTGGCTGACACCCTCCTCTCCATGGTTTGTGTGGGGCTCAAGGCAGGAGGGAGAAGAGCAGAGAGGGAGGAGAGGAGGTCATCTGTGTGTGCAAAAGCTGCTGAGGCCACAGGAGCTGCTGGTTCGGCCAGAACTGCGCCTTCACATGCCAGACTCTGAGGGCCTGAGGGCCTGGAGGGAAAGGAGCACAACCTGAGAACTGAGACCAGAGACCCGGGGGCCTTCTGTCCTGCACCCCCCACCCCAGGCTCAGCCCTTACCTGAGTCTGATTGTGGCCAGAGCCAGACCCAGAGGTGGTTGTGGCGAACTCGGAGTACCTGTTCCCAGCAACCATGCAGGCCCACTTGCGGTACTCCTCTCTCACCTGTGGGGCACAGGGGCCAGGTCAGGGGAGGACGGGCCCCAGGACAGGAGAATGGGCCCAGCACCCCCCCCCCCCCCCAGCCCCAGCAGCCTGGCCTGCGGCCCACCTTCTTGTTAAGTAGGCAGTACAGCACGAAGAGGAAGAAACCTTGCAGGCAGTTGAGGATGCTGAAGATGTAGGACAGCACCCAGCTCTCTGGGTCGAAGAGGAGCAGGCCGAAGACCCAGGTGCAGCCCAACACGAAGAGCTGGGCGATGGCTGTGATAGTCAGCACCCTGCGGGGAGGTGGCCAGTTGCAGCTGGGGGTCCCTCAAACACCCACCCCTTCTGTCAGCCCCCCTCCCTGCCTCTGTCTTCTCACCTGACTTTCTTTAATTTCTTTATGTCAGGGTTGATTTCAGAAAACTTCTGAGTGAGTTTCCAGACAGTAATCACAAAGATGATAGCATTGCCCTGGGCAGGGAGCACAGAATTCAGATTAGGGGGTATCCTTGGAACTCGCAGGGAGAAAGGTGGTACAGGGGCTCCGTGTGGAGCCGAGTGCTTCAGATTTCCACGGGTGTAGGGTGGGGGGAGGTGAGACAGTTACCAAAACGATGAAGGTCACGGGTCCCACAAAGCTCCAGAGGAAGCCACCCTCGAAATTCAACCAGCAGCTGGGCAAGAAGGGAGGGTCTGGTCAGCACCCAGTCAGCCCAGAGGGGAGCAAGGGCTCCGTGCAACCCCCAAGCCCTGGCCCTCCCACCACCTCGCGCTCACAATTTCTCGCGGCCATAGCCCTTGCTGTAGGCGCCTGCCGAGATGCCCACGATGATCAGGGGCACGCCGTAACCAATCAGGCAGAGCCAGAGCTTTCTCAGGCCTTGGCCCTGGAACACGCGCACCACGAGGAAGTAGAGCTCCACGCCCTCGAGGCTCATCCAGCAGAAGGCGGCCAGGAAGCAGTAGTGCAGCAGTACTGCCACCAGGCGGCAGCGCGTCCCCACCTGCGGGGCGAGGGCGGAGGGACGGCGGTGACGTCAGTGGTGGGCGGGACCGGGGCTGGACGCAGAAGCAGTGAATGGGCGGGGCCGTACGCTTCCGCAGGCGGGAGGCTGACCACCCTACCCGGCTGGGAGTAGGCGGAGCTATTCCACTCCAGGCCCTCGCAGGTCTAGCGCCCAGGTGAGAGTGGGGCGCGCCACGGGGCGGGGCCTTACCTCGCCGCCTTCGTTTTCGATGCCTGCCAGGAAGATGGCGGAGCCCACGAAGAGGCAGATGCAGAGGTGCAGGTGCACCGTGGTGCGCGAGCCCTGGATGGGCCGCACCAACAGAAAGGTGAGGATGCACAGCAGCAGGCAGACCAGCGACAGCGCCAGTCCCACCTTGGTGATCAGGGCCAGCTTCGGGTCCTAGATGCAGGATGGGGCGGGCGGGACTCCATCAGCACCCTGAGGCCTTCCTGCCCTCCTTGTGGGCCCCACCACCCACACCCACCTGGGACCTGGCCTGCAGGACTGATCAGGTGGCTCAGCTACCTCCACCTCCTCTACCATCAACATCTGAATCAACCTACTATGTCTCTCTCACCCTAAATACCACCACCCCTACACCCATGGGTGCAGCAGGTATCCCCAGTTCCTCTGGATGAGTTCCCCACTACATACCCAGACTGTTCTCCTTAGAAGGTCCCCCGTGTATCCTCAACGGCTGCAACCTTCTTTCCCTACACTGATGAGCCCACCTCTCTGACCCTGGTCTCCATCTCATCTCTTGACCCTCCCACACCTGGCCGCAACTATGAACTCATCAAAACCCACATTTGTGTCCTTCCTGGGCCTTGGGCCTGGACAGCCAGCCTCCCTTACTCTGCCTGACCACCCAGGTATTCACATGGCCCAGTGTATCTGTGGACCCCTCAGGAGCTTTCAGCAGTATTTAACAACTTGATGGGGCTTCCCTGGTGGCTCTGGTAAAGAATCCACCTGCCAATCCACCAGAAAATGCTGATTTGATCTCTAGGTCAGGAAGATCCCCTTGAAGAGGAAATGGCAACCCACTCTAGTATTCTTGCCAGGAGAATCTCATGGATAGAGAAGCCTGGCGTTCTACAGTCTGTGGGGCCATGAAAGAGTTGGACATGACTTAATGACTAACAACTTGTTGGGGGTGGGCCATCAGAGGGGCACTGGCTGAAGCAAGGCCACTCTGTTTAGTTGCTGAGTCAAGTGGAGGTCTAGGGGTGCCAAGCAAGGGGCTGTGAGATGCGGTGTAGGGTCATCTGGTCTGTGCAACCATGCGGAACCTCTTGGACCATTCCACTGAGAACCAGCTGCCTGTCTCACCTAAGCCAACCATGCAACCAGTGGGTTTTTGAGAATGGCCCCCAGTCTGCTCACCTCCACGTCGTAGTGGGCCATGAGGATGGCAAAGCTGCTTAGGTGACTGCACTGGCAGGTGATGCTTCCGTTCCCACTGCCCATCTTCCAGCAGCCCGAGGTGGCCCAGAACCCGTTCCCATTGCTGTCTTTCTTCCAGAAGGCACAGATCAGCTCCTGCCGTGGCTTGAGCTCAGGCTGTTTCTAGGGAGAGGCGGTCATAGAAGTTAGCCTGGAAACTTCTCGTGGGTACTGGGCTTGGGTGGACCCCAAAGAGGGCTGCTTCTCCTTTGACAGTTGTCTACTGAGCACCGACTATGTGTGCCAGGCCAGGGGACCCGGGTGAACTGGGGAGACACAAGTCCCTGTCCTTCTGGGCTGACATTCTAGTGGGGGAGACAGACAGGAAATAATATACCTAATAAATAAGTAAACTAGACAGTGTGCTAGCAGGTGCTGAATGTGAAAGAAAAGAGCAAAGGGGAAAGGTGGGGTGTGATTACAGATTGTAATTTAAATAAGCAGGTCCAGGAAGGCCTAGAAGAGTAGGTGACATGTGAACAAGTTGACAGGTAAAGGACTGAATTGTGGAGGAAAGGTGTCCCAGGCAGAGGGCACAGTAAGTGTAAAGGCCCTGAGGCACGTGTAAGGAAGGGAGCACGTGGGTGGGGGTGGGGGAAGGAAGGCTGTTGAGGGCCCACGGGCACCTTGGCTATGGGATGAGCAGTGTGGCTGATTCCCCTACCCAGCCCAGGACTCACATGGAGGGTGAAGGCAAAGGAGACGTTGGAGTCGAGTTTCTCAGTGTCCGTGTTGCTCAGAAAGACGGAGCTGACCGCTGAGAGAAGCATGACCTTGGCACCTCGGACAGGACTCTCGTAGGTCTCTTTCAGCTTTTCCAAGTCCAGTTCCAAAGAGGCATTGGCCAGCAATTTTTCCATGTTCCGACTGGAGAGGATCCCCACCATGGAGGGGCCTGGGGGACAGACATGCTGGCTACCTCCTGCTCTGCTTGCTTCTGTGCCCCATCCTTCCTCTTAAGATGTCTAATTCAAGCTCGCCGGTCTGCCGTGATGCCGAGTCCCGCCCCAAGGCCCGGCTTCCTGTGCCTGCCCATTCTGAAGCTGTGTTGCTGTTGTTCAGTCCCGCAGTCCTGTCCAACTCTTTGCGACCCCATAGACTGCAGCATGCCAGGCTTCCCTGTCCTTCACCATCCCCCGGAGCTTGCTCAAACTCACGTCCATTGAGTCAGGGATGCCATCCAACCATCTCATTCTCTGTCGCCCCCTTTTCCTCTTTCCCTCAATCTTTCCCATATCCTAGCCATATCCCAGCTTCTCCCTCCCTTTCCCTGGAGTGCCCGCTCCGGGTGGCTGCCATTACCCGACTCCCCAGCTGCGGCTGCCACAGCCCAGTCCAGCAGCATCCGTGCGTGGCTCTGGCCCACGGTGACGTTCCCTTTCCCCTGCTCCTGGACCACCAGGGAGAGCTCTGAGGAGAGAGGAGGCAGTGGTCAGGGGCTCCAGGTGTGGGAGTGGGTCCTGGGGAGCTGGGGTGGGGCAGGACGAGGTCTCACCTGTGCCGTCAAGCGAACGGTAGGTGAAGGAGCCTTTAGATATGGCTTTGGCCAGGGTCCTCAGGATTCGTTCGAGGCCTGAGAGCAGGTGGGTGACTATGACGTGCCTGGAAGACTGATCCAGTGACTCCAGGTCTCCTGAGCTTTTCAACAGGTCATCCACTGACTCGACGAGGTTCTGTGGATGATGAGTGACAGGTCCTGGGTTATTGCACCACAAGGGCTACCCGAAGGACCTTGGTATCTCACCTCCCCTCACCCCACCCCCACAACTGGGGTACACACTGGAGAACCACCTGGGTTGCCTGGGGGACAGAACCAGGGGAATCATCAAGACACGGCAGTAGCCAGAAGATGAGTAAGGGGATTGAGCATATGCCTGTGTGCACATACTATAACAGCAACAGTGCTTAACATTTATCAGGCACTGGCTTTATGTCAGGCCCTGTTCTAAAGTCTGCGGCTTTTCTGGTGACTCAGTGGTAAGGAACCCACCTGCCAATGCGGGAGATGCAGGTTCAATCCCTGGGTCAGGAAGATTCCCCCAGAGAAGGCCATGGCTACCCACTCCAGTATTCTTGCCTGGAGAATCCCACAGACAGAGCCTGGCAGGCTACAGCCCATGGGGTCACAAAGAGTGACTGAGCAAGCACGTTCTAAGTCTGCACTGCCCTAAACAGTTGCCCTGAGCCCCAGATGTCACTTGAAATATGACTCCATGTTGAAATGATAATACTTTTCATCTATGGGGTTAAATGCAATTTTCACATTAATTTCACTTGTTTACTTTTTTTTAAAAAAAATCTATTTTTTAATTGAAGGATAATTGCTTTACAGATTTTTGTTGTTTTCTATCAAACCTCAATATGAATCAGCCATAGGTATACATATATCCCCTCCCTTTTGAACCTCCCTATCTCCCTACACATCCCACCCCTCTAGGTTGATACAGAGACCTTGTTTGAGTTTCTCTATGTCTGCTTCTCCATTGCTGCCCTACCATTTTTCTAGATTCCATGTTAGTATACGATATGTATCTTTCTCTTTCTGACTTACTTTATTCTGTACAATAGGCTCTAGTTTCATCCACCTCATTAGAACTGACTCAAATGCACTCCTTTTTATGGCTGAGTAATATTCCATTGTGTATATGTACCACACTAATCCATTCTTCTGTCGATGGACATCTAGGTTGCTTCCATGTTCCAGCTATTGTAAATAGTGTTGCAATGAACAATGGGGTACATGTGTCTTTTTCAGTTTTGGTTTCCTCAGGGTATATGTCTAGGGGTGGAATTGGTGGGTCATAGGGTGGTTTTATTCCTAGGTTTTTTTTTTTATTCCTAGTTTTTTAAGGAATCTCCATACCATCTTCCATAGTGGCTGTATCAATTTACATTCCCACCAACAGTGCAGAGCGTTCCCTTTTCTCCACACCCTCTCCAACATTTATACTTCTACTCTTTAAATTTATTCTTTAGCTTTGTATTTTAAAAATGCAGCTACTGGAAAAATTCAAATGACATAAAGGGCTCACATATTTCCCTTTTAAAAAATTTATTAATATAATCTTTTTAGAGGCTCAATATTTCTACCAGGCCAAGCACATATGACATATAGTATTTATATTGTATGCCAGGCACTTTTCTTTGAGCCTCACTCCTATTAGTTCATTTAAACCTTTTCCCCAAGTGGATGAGGCAGGTACAATTTTTTTTTTTTTTTTTTGAAGCAGGTACAATTTATGAAGTGAAGCAACTGAGGCTCAGAGAGGGGGAGTCACTTACCTGAGGTCACACAGCAAGAACTGGCAGTGGGTGGGATGAGGGGTATTTGAACTCTGTGGCCTTGCTCCAAAGGTGAATTCTCAACTGCTCCATTCCATTGACATTATATTCCTCTCAAACGTGTGTGTGTGTGTGTGTGTGTGTGTGTGTGGTGTGTATGGACTTCCCTTGGTGGCTCAGTGGTAAAGAATCCACCTGCCAATGCAGAAGATGCAGCTTGGGTCAGGAAGATCCCCTGGAGGAGGAAATGGCAACCCACTCCAGTCTTCTTGCCTGGAGAGTTCCAGGGACAGAGGAGCCTAGAGGGGTATAGTACCTGGTGTCGAAAATAACTAAACAATAACAATCTGTGAATTTTGTGTACAGATGTATGCGTTCGACCAGAGGCCCCTGCTCGGGCATCTCCACTCACACTGAAACCCTCCAGCCACCCCACACTGTCCTGCTTTTACCTGCATGGATGTCTTGGCCATGGCTGGTTTGAAGTCTCTGCTCATTTTCTGGACTCTTTCGAAGAAGGCAGAGAGACTCTGGAGAGAGGGGAGAGGTGGGGAAGTCAGAGAGCTTCATCCTGGGTGGGGGAGCTTTGGGAAAAATGAGTGATCAGGGTGAGCTGGCTGGAGGGATTTCCTGCCGCTGGTCCCTGCTGGGGCCTCTCACCTGGCTCTTGATTCCAGGGGGAGCAGTCCAGGCAGGGAAGGCGATCTCTGCGGGGGACAGGACAGCAGTTCATTAGCTGTGACAGTGTCTGTTTGTTGTGGGTGGGGGCTGGGGTCAGGGCAGGACAGGTACCTTCACAGATGGTGGTCATTTGCTTATCCCGGATTCCAGGTTTGGGCACCCAGCCTTGGCGGCAGTGGCACGTGTATGAACCCACAGTGTTGACGCAGACGGTGGAGTTGTCACACTGATGCTTCCCGGAGCTGCACTCGTCCACATCTGGGGACACAAAGAAGGGAGTCAGGCTCTGCCTCAGCCCTGTGAGGCCCCTGTCCTCCTTGTGCCCCCTCTTTTTTCCCATATTAGTTCCCCAGGAGGTGACGCCACCCAGTGTCCGCACATCCTCGAGTGGTGGACACTGAGGTTATTTATGGGAAGTGTGCAGAATTCTGACACACAGCAGATGAGCCTCGCACAGATAGGTAAGTTGTGAAAATACTGAAGTATCTGTTCTAGTCATTAGAAAATACCCGGATGCTGGGCAAGAGGAGGAGGGGACGAAAGAGGATGAGATGGTTGGATATCACCGACTCAATGGACATGAGTTTGAGCAAAAGCAGGTGATAGTGAAGGACAGAGAAGCCTGATGTGCTGCAGTCCATGAGTTGGCAAAGAGTCCGACAGGACTAAGCAACTGAACAACAATTAGCTGCTGCCTCAAATCCCTGGGAGCCTTCCCCTTGGTACCCCAGCTCCTTCTCCAGGACCCCCCAGATCTCACATTTAGCCTCAAAAGAATTAATGCCTGGCATAGCAAGACACCTCCAGCATTCATTCTGTTTGGTTTGTGTGGGTGCCACTGAATATGTGGTCGGATGTTTTGAGTGTGGGTCTCTAAGAGTGTGGGCTTCCCAGGTGGCTCAGTGGTAAAGACTCTGTCTGCCAATGCAGGAGCCTCAGGAGATACGGGTTTAATCCCTGGGTAGGGAAGATCCTCTGGAAGAGCAAATGGTAACCCACTCCAGTATTGTTGCTGGGATAATGCCATGGACCATAGTCCATGGGGTTGCAAAGAGTTGGACAAGACGACTTGAGCATGCATGCACACTCCAAGAGTGTAGCATCTGAGCTCCGAACCTTCACAGACGGTGTTGTTTGGGCCATTGGGGGACCCAGCAATAGGCTTCCAGCCAGGGCGGCAGCGGCACTCATAGCTGCCCACGAAGTTGAGGCAGTGGGTGGAGTTGTGGCATGGCTTTTCCCCCGAGGTGCATTCATTCACATCTGAAGACAAAGCCAGAGGGTCAGCGCCACCCCCACTTCTACTTCTCACTGTACCCACTTTTCACTGCCAGGTACCAAGGACCCCTCTGTGATTGCACGTGCCACCACCTGGTGACCCTCAACTTAACTCTTAAAAAAACACCTGTAAGATGGGCGTGGTAGGGGCCATGGTCCTCAATTTATAGGCAGAAAAACTAGGAGTGAAAGTGAGTCACAGGGGCTGGACTTCCCGACCAAGGATTCTTGCCTGCTCCCACTGGGTCCCTGGACCAAGGTTCCCCTTCTAGGAACCGGAAGTGAGAGCTTCCTCTGCTCGAATGTGGCAGATGAGGAGGGGGTGAGGCCTGGGAGATGTTCGCAGAGCCAAGTTTGGGTCCCGAAGTCTCTGCTGTCTCCCTGGGCTGTGGTGGGACCGTGCGGGGAGGCGATCCTGAGGCAGGGCCCCGGCAGACCCTTGTCATCACAGGACCCTGAGTCTCTTCTCTCTCCTGCTCGGGCTCCGGGAACCGCCTCGGCTCCTTCCCCAGCTCCGGGCCCACCTCACCCTTTCTTCCTGGGGTTTCTACCTGTGCAATTCCTCGGGTCCTTTGGGTTGAACTCCAAGCCGGGTGGGCACTGGCAGGTGTAACTGCCCTGGGTGTTGATGCAGATGCTGCGGCCTTTACAGACTCTGGGTCTGTGCTGACATTCGTCCACGTCTGCAAGGGGAAGGAGAGCGTGATGGATACCTGCGGCTGTGGACAGCCTTCGGGCCTGGAGTTTGGCCACATTTTCTGCTATAGAAGCATCCAGAAGGGCCCGCTCTCTCTTCCTCAGTGAGCGGGGGCCCTTCCTCATTCACATGGAGGCATCCTATGGTGAGCATGGTGGCCCCGATGTTCTGTTGTCCAGATGTGGCCAGAAGTGGCCCAAGTCCTCCCCGTCTGCCAGCTCTGGCTCCCTCAGCCTCCCTGGAAAGCTCCCAGCTGGGGTAGGGACATCACAGCTGCCTGTGTCCCAGTCTGAGGATTTGGACGAAGGACTGGGTGGGCCTTCCTGGAAGCTGAGCGCAGCTGTGTTCCCTGAGCAGGGCCCATCTTGGCTCCCAGTGATGCACTTTGTCCTGACTCCCCCAGGGCGAATGCTGCCAGCTGAGTACTCCTTGGATCCTGGTGACCTTGGCAGGACAGCGCTCTCCCGTCCACACTAACTCTGAGACTCCAGCTCCATGAAGATGGACCAAGATCCACCACTGAGTCAGGCAACTCAAGGACAATGTTTTTGGGGCAGTGGGCACCAGGCTGTGCTGGACAGTGGGCTGACATCTGGCCGGGCAGCCTTGGGGGTCTGAAGGCGCCTTTTTCTGATTCCCATGAAGGCTTCCCCCAGATAGGCAGGAAGTGGTGAGAATCCATATCTGAGCAAAGTTCACAATGAGCAAAGGCTGTGTGGCTGGAGCATGGAGCAGGTGCTCATGGGTGAAGGGTCGCAGGTGTTTCTGCCATCTTGGCACTTGGCCTCCCACCAGAGACGTAGACCTGTGCAGCCTGCTGGGTGGGACTCAGCCTCCACCTTCTGTCCCCACGTGGTCTGGGTCACTGTGGGGCCTGCACTGGTCTCCTCAGTAAAGGGTCAGGTCAGGGGCAGTGGTCTTCAACGACGTCTTGTCATCTGGTCCAGATGGAAGCCTCTTTGTTCAACCGACTCTTCCAGTGGGTTGGGGGTTGATGTCACCCTGGGACACCCCTGACACAACATCCTCCCAGGCCTCGGTCATCAGAGCTGCCTCAGGTCTGTGAACTGGAATTACTGGGGAGGGTCAGGGTGGAGCCTTGGGTGGGGTGGGGAAATAGATGGAGGCTGAGGAGCTGAGATGTGGGGTCAGGGTGACAGAAGGCATCTTCTCCAGGCAGGTTGCTGGGCCAGGGGCATAGTCAGCCAGGGACAGTGGACTGTTCCTTGAATCTCCCTCCTCCAGCATTTCTAGACAGGTCCCCAGAGTCCACCATGACCCAGGGAGTCAGAGGGCCCCAGGGGGAGGCAGGTCTCCTCCCAGCAGTCATTAACAATGGCAAAGAGGACAGGTATTGTTCCAGGACACACAGTGCTGAGTATCTTGAATGTCACCCCTCCTTTGTTTTATGCAAATAAGATGCTACATGACAGTGGGATGCTCTGAACGTTCAGAAGAGACCCTCTGCTGAGGTTCTGAGCCTTGGGGTTCACAGAGGGTTGGGAGATGAGGTGGATACACAGGATCGCCCTCTGATGCCTGGAGAAAGTAGGAGGAGGAACCCAGAAAGCAGCCCAGGTCTGTCCATAGCAGACCCCACGGCCTGGACATGGATGGACATGTGCTCAGGTGTAGCAAAGGCTGGAACGCTGAAATGGGGGTGCACAAACAGTCCAGCTGAGCCTGTCAGAGAGCTAGGTCTTCAGGCAGCAGGCTTTAGTCCCAATCAGTAGGCTGCTCTCTGCCTGGCACCCTCCCTGAGACCCTTGGAGGTCCCCTTCCCAACTCACTCTTGTTCATGCATGTCTCTAGAGGAACTCACAACACTGGGTGGGCGGCACACCCAATCCAGGCATACTGAGTGGGGTCCATGACCACCATGTACTGTTGTGCAGGTTGATCACTGCACAAGAGTATCCAGCCAAGAAGGTAAGTGAAAACCAGCTCACACTCCATTCCCCAAACACACGGCTCAGTGAGATGACAGGGAGCTTTTCCCTATTCCACATGAAGGCTCTGGCCAGGCCACACGTTTCCAGCACAACATCCACCCACAGAGGACCCTGTGAACCAGCAGAGACCCCACAGATGCAGGTCCCCTCTTGCCTCCCACTGGGGAGGCTCTGCCGCCCTCTTCTGCAGGGCAGGAGGGAAGGGGCTGGGACCAAGGTTGCAGGCTCTTTGTGCAGCAGTGTGGGTCAAAGGACCCTCCTCAGAGTCCTCTGGATGCTGGGCCCAGCCCCCTTCTCACCTATCACCTTCACTCTCCTCCCCTCCCCATCCTCTGTATTCAGGTCTAACCATCTCCATGGAGCCCTCTCTGGAGTCCTGTCTGCCCACTGCTGGTCTCCCCTGCCCCTTCCCCTATCATCTCCCACTGGAAAGGGGGCAAAGCCTGGTGATGTGTGGAGGCCAGGCTCCTCCTGGGCCCCTGGTGAGGGAGTGGACGGACAGGAAAGCCGCTCCTGAGCACCCACCCTGGGGCACAGGCCCCAGGGATGGCCATCCTGGAGAGGGTGTGTTAGATCATGACGACCATAATTTAAAACGCCAACAGCCATCAGTGTTTTGTGCTTTATTATTCTTATTATTTATACCCCAGCAATTCTATGAGGTAAGCACCACTGTCAGCCGCTTTTACAGATGGGTAAACTGAGGGACAGGGCAGTGAAGTAGCTTGTCCAAGATCACACAGTTAGTAAAAGGCAAAGCTACTTTTGTTTTTATCTGTAAAAGACACTCTTTTTTGTTTGTTTGTTTAAAGCATAAACTCACAATTGTATTATCACATCTCACATGTTAATGATTTTTTTTTTTTTTTTGGCTGAACTGTGCAACATGTGGGATCTTAGTTCCTTGACCAAGGATTGAACCCATATCCCATATATTGCAAGGTGGATTCTTAACCACTGGACCACCAGGGAAGTCCCAAACAGTGATTTCTGAATCAGTATCCTGGCTAGTGTCACACACAGAGCTATCAGGGGGCAAAGCCAGGACTTGGGTCCCTGGTTCATCATGCCACCCTGCCTCTCTGTGTAAAAGGCACAGGCATGTACACCTGTCCCAACTCAGACCTGGGTGCCACACCTGTAACCAGGATGCTACAGGCAGGACTCAGCATTCGGGTGGCCCCAAACCTCAAGAACAGAGAGGTGGGAGATGCAGGGTCATTCTTACCTTGACACGTGTTCTCACTCTCATTCTGGAATGTTGTTACCCCAGAAGTAGGCTCATATCCTGGGCTGCATGTGCAGTAGTATCCCCCTTCTGTGTTCTGGCAGTCTGCTGAACTTCCACAGTACACTAGTGAGGGTGGCCCACACTCATTGATGTCTGGAACACAACAGGACAAAGGGTTACCTCCCAAAGGCTTGAGTTTGGTCAGTGCAGAGCTCCCCAACCCCTACCTGACTCCCCAGCTTTGGGCCTGAAGCTTAATCAGTATCTTTTTAGGAAGAATTAGACTCTCAGGCCATACTGCTGAGACTGGGCTGTGGCTGGAGCAAGCCATTCCTGAAGCTTGTGCAATCAGCTCTGTTCTTCTTGGCCCTCTGGCTGCCACCCCAGATTTAGACACAGTGGGAAGTGCTGAACTGGGGTGTGAGTAGAAGCCCTGTGTCCCCCTCCTCAGTCCTGAAAGGACAAACTGAGGCACAGACTCCAGACTCCTGGAGACCCAGCTGCCCTCTCTCCAGGAAGCCATGTTTATTCATGTCTTATCTCTCCATCTTCAAATCTTTTCCTTTCTCTTTTTTTCTGTCCTTGATGACGGACCTGAGGACAAAGGCTGAGGCCCCCAACCAACACCCATGTCCCCCAGAAACACTGGACTCGACCCCACAATCTCTGCATGTCACACCGTCACCCCCAAGCCACTGTACCATCACAACTCTCCAAGGGGTCGGTGAAGATCTCCCCAGAAGAGGAAATGAATCCTGGAGCGCAGCGGCAGGCACTGCCATTGACACATGAGGACTTCGGAGGGCACCGCAGAGCACAGGCTGTGGGGATGGAGGCCTTGGTCAGAAGGTGAGGGCTGAGCCAGGGGCTGGGGAGGGGGGCAGGATCAACTCCAGGAGACGGGGAGCTGGGGAGGCGTGACCCTGTAACCGGTTTGTCTCCTGCTTGGGCTGAGGGATGTGGGCGGAAGTCTAGGGCCCCTTCCCCAGGCTCCAGCTGTGGACCAAGCTGCTCCCAGCAGACTCACCCTTGCTGTTTTGGGATCCAACTTCCAACTGAGTCAGCAAGAAGCACAGCACTGGAACAGAGAGGGCGGGGCGTCAGAGGGGTCATGGAGCAGGGATGGGCAGATGCAGTCCTCAGAGTAATGCAAACGAGGAAGATGGGCTCTCGGCCCCTCCCAGGCTTGGGCCCTGTCTCTCTCCGTTGCCCAAGGAGAAAGTGGGTACGTGGCATCTGCCTGCGAATGAACACCCAAGGCCAGGGGATCTGCCACCTGTCACCTGGAGGTGGGTTTCAGAAACAGAGGGATGGCGGGCTTCCCTGGTGGCTCAGTGATAAAGAATCCACTTGCCATTGCCGGAGACACGGGTTCAATCCCTGGTCGGGAAAGAACTCATATGCCACGGAGCAACTCAGCCCATGTGCCACAACTACGGAAGTCCGAGGACCCTAGAGCCTGTGCTCCACAGCGAGAAGCTGCCACAATGAGAAGCCCACAAACCACAGCTAGAGAGTAGTTCCCATGAGCCACCACTGGAGAAAGCCTATGCCCAGCCATGCAGACTATGCACAGCCAAACAGAAAGACAGAAACTGAGGGATGAGTGAGAGCTCCAAGCTCCGAGGGGGTCCCAGCTCCCGTGGACCTGTGTGGGCAGCAGCTCAGTGAACAGACGAGTCAGGCAGCCCCAGGCCTCATCCTGGACTGTGGTCAGGCGACCTCATCTCTCGGAGCCTCAGCTTCCCCTTCTGTGGAGTGGGGATGATGACAGGACCCATTTCCTAGAGTATTGTGAGAAGCCTGCAAATATCGCAGTGTACTGTCATCAACGTTTCTTTTCTTTTTTCTAAGTTACATTGGAGTGCAGTTGATTTATAGTGTTGGGTTAATTTCAGGTGAAGAGCAAAGTGATTCAGTTATATGTATACATATTTCATTCTTTTTCAGATTCTTTTCCCATAGAGGTTATCACAGAATGTTGAGTAGAGGTCACGTTTCTTTATGTAAGGAGGGGGTTGGATCAGGTAGTTTTCTCAGATTCCACCCCCAACCCTGAATCTAAGATCCTCCAGCTCCCATACCCTTCCTCAGGGACACAGGTTCATGCACCCCACACCCATATCTGTCAGTCCTGACAGCTGTCTTGGGAGCCAGTGGTGACATTTCACCTTGGGCTCCCCCTGCCCCCACTCCAGTGCACCAGAAGATGCTGTGGGTTCACATTGGGGATGTTGCTGGAAGGGGGTCCTCTCTGGCTATACTTACCACCTAGGGGCACCCCACTCTCAGGGCCTCTTCAAGTCATCAGGGCCTTTAGAGATAGGGATCTCCTTACAATTCACCAAAGAGAGACAGACAAGAAGACATGGAGAGAAAATAGAGATGAGAGAGGGGGAGAAAGAGAGAGATGGAGACAGACAAGGACAGACAGATGGAGAGAAACAGAAAGGCAGAAGTTAAGGCAGTGATAGAGATGGTCAATCCTAAAGGAAGTCAACCTTGCATACTCATTGGAAGGACTGAAGCTGAAGCTCCAGTACTTTGGCCACTTGAGGGGAAGAACCGACTCATCGGAAGACTATGATGCTGGGAAAGATGGAGTGCAGGAGAAGGGGGTGACAGAGGATGAGATGGTTAGATAGCATCACCAACTCAATGAACATAAATTTGAGCAAACTCCGGGAGACTGTGGAGGACAGAGGAGCCTGGCATGCTACAGTCCATGGGGTCTCAAAGCGTGGGACATGACAGTGACTGTGCAACAAGAGAGAGATGGACAGAGAAATAGGGAACTCAGAAACAGAGAAACAGATTGGGCAAAGAAACACAGAGATGTGGAGATTGAGAGGGAGATAGGAAAACAGGAGGGAGGGGTGGAAACAAAGGGAAAGGGAGGGAGGGAGGAGGACAGTTCAGCCGCAGCGGGAAGCATGGAGGGCTTGGGCACCCAAGGCAGTCCCTGCCCACCTGGGAATGCTGTGGAGGCAGCACAGACCCCAACAATCCAAGGAGACCCAAAAGGGGGCAGTGGGCGGAGGGATGGGGGCAGGAGGAAGGGCAGGCATGAGTCACTTCCTGGGCCAAGGGAAAGGATGACTCACAACTCGTTGCCCCTGGAGGGAGCTTCCAGGGGAATTCTGGGGTCTATCATTGTGAGCTTGAAGGGCTGAGAGGGGGCCAGCAGACCGGAGGGTCCCCTGGCCACTCAGTCTCTAGGTCCAAACTCGATACCCCCCAGGTTGGCGGGGGGCATAGAATCCCTCCCAGAAGCCCTCTCAGCAAGGGTAAGCTGAGGTTGGAATGCCCTTCCCCTTCCTCGTTTGAGGATTTCTCTCGTCCTCCTCTGTGGTCACAGGGCTTGGCTAGCTCCCCCCTGCGCTGGGACTCAGTTCCTCTTTGCAGGACAGACCCAAAATTACTGCCACCTGCCCCCCCCCCCCCCCACCGCCCCGCCGCCGCAGGAGAATGCAGCCTGGGCTGATTCGTCCCCATTTCCCAACTTCCTGCTCATGGCTGCCCAGTTTGTGTTCATTCTGCAGATGGATAGATTGAGGCCTGGAGCCCAGAAAAGGCTCAGGAAGAATCTGGTGAACAGAGGAGTTTGGGAAAGGTGGAACTGGGGCTTCGCTGGTGATAAAGAATACACTTGCCAGTGCAGGAGACGTGGTTTTGATCCCCGATCTGGGAAGATCCCACATGGCGAGCGGCAACTAAATGCGCCACAACTATGGAGCTTGTGCTCTAGAGCCCGGAGGTAAAACTACTGAGGCCGCGTGCCTCTAAGAGCAGCCACGATGAGAAGCCCGTGCACCGCAACGAGAGAGCAGCCCTGGCTGACAGCAACTAGAGAAAAGTCCTCGCAGCAGTGAGGACCCAGCAAAGCCAAAAATAAATAAAAAACAAAAAGTGACAACTCTCAAAAAAAAAAAAAAGAAAAAGTGGAATGGGGTCAAGTTTCCCAGACCCTGCAGGGGGGGTGGGACGGCTCTTCTGAGCCCTGTGCCCTCCACCTGGGTGGGGTTGGGCTCTGCTCCCCCACCACAGAGGCTCCCAGGCCAGGATTTCTCCATCTGAGTCCTTGGAAGTCACCCAAACAGGAGCTGGAGAGGAGCTGCTGGTCATCTGCGCCCAGTCCCATCTGGTTTGCATTCCCCCTGCCGAGCCCGGAGCAGCTAGATTCCTGGGGTGGGGGCAGGGCAGGCATCCTCTCTTTGCTCCTCCTCCTCAGACCTTCCAGTCTACCCCGAGACCCACCAGTGAAATAATAATAATGTGCGTCGCTTCAGTTGTGTCTGACTCTTTTTGACCCTTACGGACTGTCGCCCACCGGGCTCCTCTGTCCATGGGATTCTTCAGGCAACTGCAGTGGGTTGCCATGCCCTCCTGCAGGGAACCTTCCCGACCCAGGGATCTAACCCACGTCTCCTGCATTGCAGGTGGATTTTTTACCGCTGAGCCAATAAAAATATTGTTTACTTAATTCTTCCTTAGTTTATAGTTTGCTTTGGAATAGTTTGCTTTGGAACTCAACACAGCCCAATAAGGTGAAGACCAGCCTTACCCCATTTTACAGATGTGCAAAGTGAGGCTCAGAGGGAGTGAGAGTCAGCTCCGGTGACACACCGCTCCCCCCTCCATCAGGTGTGCCCCACACAGGCTCCTCTTTCTAGCTTCCCCGCCCAGAAGCCACTGAGCTCATGCCTGCCAACCTGGGCCAGCACGGGGAATCCCATCCCAGGGCGACCTGGGAAGCCCTGGTTGGTACCCCAAGCACCATTTCTTCATTCTCTTTGTTGCTTGGTTGCTTAGGCAACCAGCTGCCCAGATAACCGTTAGAGCCACCCTGGGTGGGGCGGGAAGGGAGGCTCTGGGGAAGTCACAGCAAAAGTTCAAACCTGCCGCCGGTGCCGGTAAAATCTTCTCCACCCACCTGCAGCTGAGTTCCAGCTGGGTCCAGGGGAGCAAGACTGAGGGTCTCTGGGGCTGATTTTTGCCACTAAGACAGTGCAGGACATGTTGGGGGTACCCCCGCCTGGCAGTGCAGAGGTCCCGCCCCCGCCCGCCCCGTCTTCCAGCCCCCCAGCATCTCCCTACAACCTGTGTTAAGAGCCGCCACCTGTGTGTGTCTGTGTGTGTGAGAGAGAGACACAGAGGGTCTCAGCACTCCCTTTTTGCCCCTCCTCCTTCCCCAAACCTGTCTCCCACTTTGGGAGCAGTTCAGAGAGCTCAGAGATTTCTCTGGGAGACGGGGACAGGCGCTAGAAAATGCCGGGGGATCCCGCCACGGTGTGGGGGTGCCTGGCCCCAGGCCCCCTCAGCACCCGCCCACATGCCCGGCCATGTGGCTCCCTTCAAGGCTGGCCCCAGAGCTGCCAGCTGCACCTCGCATTTCCCCAGGGAAAAGAGGGCGCCGGGGCACCGCACGGTGCTGCCCGGGGCTCCCCGGCCGCTTGCCCCCACCCCTCAGGGCCCCAGAGGGCTCACCGTGAAAGAGAAGAAAGGGGCCACTGTGGGGGCCTCCCATGGTCCGAGCTGCCGCGGGGTAAGCAGACGATGGGGCAGGGCTGTTTCTGTCGCCGAGCTGGGCAGCTGTGCAAGCTTTCCCAAGGCCCGCCTGGCCTTTATAAAGGGGGGCGGGGGGGAGCAGCCGCGGGCCCAGGGCCCTCCCCGGAACTGGCGGGGCAGCTGGAAGCCAACAGGAAAGTGGAGCGAAAACACAGACCCAGGGGCGCCGCGCACACACACTACGGTACAACCTGCCCTCTGAATGTCTGCTCTGTCTGGCCCCCAGAGAAAGCGGCTGGCGGATCCCAGGGGCTAGGGGGAGCAGGAGGAGTCTTGCCAGGACCTGCTAGTCTTGTCTGGCCGGAGGCATGTAGGCTGGGGAGGGGCCGCGCTCAGAAATAGCTCGGGGCTCCCACGTTTCGGGGACGACCCTGTGTTGGCTGCCTGGTCTTGCTGACTCTCCAGCGTCAGTTTGCGCGCTAACAGGAACTTCCTCCTTTGTTTTCCAGATGAGGAAACTGAGGCCCGGAGAGGCCAGAGTCTACAGGAGAGCTGTGCGGGGGTGGGGCACAAAGGGGCCCTTCTTGGAAGCCAGGCTGGCGCCGAGAAAGCAGAACTGCGGGGCCCCGCGGCTGTCGAGGTCCGAGGTTGGGGAGCTGGCCTTTTCTGGACCAGCGTTTCACCTGGTGGGAAACATATTTCAGGGGTTCATGGACACTGCCTTAATCAACAGAGAAATCACATAATAGGAGAGTTGTTTCCTTTTCTAATTAGACATGTGACTGACTTGTCTCTGAAACCATCTCATCATTTAAAACAAACAGACACACTATTATTTGTAAAACACTTAATCTGAGCCAGGCCAGATTCACCTAGAGAAAGTGAAAAAGAGTGTTAGCCGCTCAGTTGTGTAGCTATAGCCTGCATGAAATTCTCCAGGCAAGAATACTGGAGTGTCCATTCCTTTCTCCGGGGGATCTTCCCGACCCAGGGATTAAACCCAGGTCTCCTGCATTGCAGGAAGGTTCTTTACTGTCTGAGTCATCATGGAAGCCCTCTAGTAGATTCAACTAGAGTTATCTATCTATTTTAATTCACTGACTCCTCAAAATTCCTTTGAGGCAGGTGTTGCTATGATTCCCATTTTGCAGAAGGGGAAAGTTGAGGCACAGTTCACAAGTGGCTAAACGGAGATCCACAGGCAGGCAGCAGGGTCCCCAAGTCTCTGCAAGGAACCCAAGGTCCAGCAGAAAGTCTCAGTTGGGTGCTAATGTGTCTTTAACACCATGGTAGCCCTGAAGTTTTTCCAGGTAGAATTCATAGCTTTATGTTCCTTGTGTTATTATGTATTTGTTAAGCTTACAGACTATCTGAGGCAATGAGAAGGGTTTTTCAATTAGGACATCAAAAGAAAGATTCTTTTAAAGGAATGGATTGAAGAATGCAACAGCATAGACAATTAAATAAAACATTAAGTACATAATAGTCTAAAGGGGGGAGGATTGTGGTCATGGAAAAAAAAGGTTACCCTAGGCCAAAGACAGACAAACATTATCCCAGGGGTGGTGGAGCACCCCCAGTTGTAAAATTAACCCCTTCCTGCCCTTGCTGTCATTTTGATCTGGATAGGGCATGGGAAGGGGGCCCCATCAGGGAAACTGGGGCCTCTCTGGGCCTGTTTCCTCAGGGGGAGGGGAGTGGATATGGGAGGAGACTGGGAGGGGAGGGGGCCAGACCAGGCCCAAAGTGGATTTTTGGCTTTTTTCCCTTAAAACTGGAAGCGCCAGGGTTGGACATCCTCCCCTCCACCACAGGTCTGACAGCTGGTGCTTACAAAACCTGGGGGTGGGTGGAGGTGGGGGTTTCAGCCTGGGGAGCCGCTGCCTGCCCGCCCCCCCTCCTCCCCCAGGGATGTGTCTTGGGCCCTTGGAGCAGTTGTAACCAGCTTGGGACTCAATTTTCCTTTCTGGAGAATGGGACTATAATGCCTGTCTACTGGCTTCACAGAGCAGGTTGAGGAAGGAACCAGTGATATGATAGAGAAGGCTTGGGGAAGGCATGAAGGGGGACATTACTCTCCCCCACCCCCACCCTGGCTCCTCCCCCCCCACCGCCTCCATAATCTGGCATAATCAGCAAGTCCTACAGCTCTGCCTTCAGATAGACCCAGAATCTTTCTACTTCTCCTTCTTATTGGACCCCACCCTGGTCCAGCCATGTTATCTCCTGGGTCTGTGTTCCAGCTTCTGCCTCCCCAACCCCCACTCCTTTCCCCTCCAAGAGGCCCAAGGGTGCCTGAGGCAGGTCTCATCTCTCCTCTGCTCAAGAGCACTCCATGGCTCCCACGTCCCTCAGAGTAAAACTGCCTGTCTTCTTTCAGCCCATAAGACCTTGCCTGTTCTGCTGGGCCACCTCCCTGCCCTCACTTTCTCCCACTCTCCCACTCTCACTTGGCCACAGTTTTTCTTCTGGAAAACACTGGGAGTGATGTGGCCGCAGGGCCTTTGCACAGGCTGTTGTCTCTGCCTGGAGCACTCTTATCCAGAGAGCCAGATAACCTCAGGGTCCTCTCTGTCTCCTCTCCCTCCTTGCCCAAACATTCCCTGACCTAACCTCCACCCAGGCCTCCATGTCGTAAATCTAATTCTCTGGAGACTCCCTGCTTTCTGAGTTCTCTGTCACTGTTCGCCATCCCCCCCCCCCCATCGTAAAATCTACCTACTTAATTTGTTTACTGTCAGACCCCCACCCCCACCCCCACTAGACTGTCAGCCTGGAGGGCAGAGCTTTGGTCCATTTGCCTTTCTGCAGAAGAAGAGCTTCTCTAGTGGCTCAGGGGTGAAGAATCCACCTGCCAATGCAGGAGATGCAGGTTTGATCCCTGGGTCGGGAAGATCCCCTCAAGAAGGAAATGGCAATGCACGCCAATATTCTTGCCTGGGAAATCTATGGATAGAGGAGCCTGGTGGGTTACAGTCTATGGGGTCGACTTAGCAACTAAACAAGACACAGAGCAGAGCCTGCACCCAGTAGGGCTCCACTGAAGGAAGCCCCCTGCAGCCTTCCTGCTCTGGCCCCTGCTGAGGTGTCATGGTGTTTCCCCCCCCACCCCCTGCCCTGAAGTCCCAGCCCCAACGCCCCTGGACAATCTCATGACCTCTGGTCCACAACTGTGTGGGGCAAGGAAGGAACATGGGTCCCTGTTGGTCAGACGGAAAACCAGTACCTGGGTGAGGTGGGGTGGGGTGTGATTGGGCCACTGGCCTGAGATTCCTCAGCTAGGAAGTAACTGATCCAGGACTAGTCAACCAATCAGAATGATAGCTGTATATACTTTATATTTTTAGTATTATAGCTGCCATGTAACATGCCATTGGGCTTCCCAGGTGGGACTCAGTGGGAAAGAACTCGCCTGCCAGTGCAACCTACTGTAGTATTCTTGCCTGGGAAATCCCACAGACAGAGGAGGAAAATGACGTGCGCAGTCACGGGGCACCCCGATCTTCTATCAGAGGTCTGGGGCAAACCCAGTCTCTTCCGCTTTTCGACTGGGTGGTCTCGGGCGGGTGATGTGGCCATTCTGGTCCCCATCTATGAAATGGTCGGAATCTCGCAGCGGGGCTGATGGGAACCCTAAGGGAGGGAGTGAGTTGTCGGGATACAGTTGACAGTATGGGCTTCCCAGGTGGCTCAGTGGTAAAGAACCTGTCTATCAGTGCAGGAGATAAGGGTTCCATTCCTGGGTTGGGAAGATCCCCTGGGGGAGGGTATGGGAACCCACTCCAGTACTCTTGCCTGGAGAATCCTGTGGACAAAGGAGCCTGGCCAGCTACAGCCCATGGGGTTGCAGAGAGTCGGACATGACTTAGTGGTTAAATAGCAGCAGCAGCGGCAGCTGAGGTTATACAGTTAGTGAGTACATCAGGGGCTGTTAGGAAGATTTCCTTCTCTTTGGTACTGTCTGGGGTGGGGAGGGAGGGGGGACCCCAATATCCTGCCCCCTGGCTTCTGGCGCCACCAGCCCATGCCCAGCCACACTTGCGAGCCTGGGCTGAGGCAGGGGGTCAGATGGGGTCTTTGGGCGGAGAGGGGCATAACAGGAAGCCCCCAGTTAGGGAGACAATGGCAGAGGAAGGGGCGGGCCAGCCCCCACACAGATGAGCCCAGCAGTCGGCTCCAGGAGGGCGGCACAGCTATTGTGAGGCCAGACAGCTGTGCCTGCGCCAGGAAACCCCGGGGAGCAAGGGAAGGGGGTGGGAGGCCGAAGGCTGAGGGCCAGCCCTGACCCTCGATCCCGGGGAAAGAAAGGCCCAACGGTGGGTCCATTGTCTCCTCCTGCAGGCTGGACACCTGGGTTCCCTTGAGGCCAGCCCTCCAGAATCCACCTGACCAGGGACTCCTGGCACAGACCCCACTCAGCCCCAGCTGGCATCCTCCTAACCCCTGGCCCCCACCCGGCCTAGCCCGCGGTGTTGGGAGCTAGCAGCTGAGCTGGGCTGTATTTATAGTTCCCTGGCTCTGCTGAGCAAACCCCTAAATATAGAAGCTGAGCTATTTGGGGCCACGGCCCTGGGGCAGCGTTGGGTGGGGGGTGGGGGGCCACGGCCCGTGTGCCTTTTTAGCCTGGACCCCTGGGACTGCCCAGGCCTCTCAGTCTTCTGGGACTGGGGTATGGGGGAGGGGTCTCAGGGGCACTCTGTTGTACCCCATTTGAACGGGGGACAGAGAGAGATGTGGCGGAGGAGCGCCAAGTCAAAGAGGAGTGAAGCGAGAGGCTGTGATGCCTCAGAGAGGCCTGTCAGGGGCTCAGGAGCAGGTATGGGGTTCCCAGCGCCCTGTTCCACCTCCTCTCTCACCCCAAACCAAAAAGTGGGTTGAGCTGTTGCTTCAGTGTTCTCAGCTTCTAGGAAATGAAGGCCTACAGGAAACTGCAGGGCACCTTCAAACCCCAAACAAACCCCAGAGCTTAGCAACCCTCTTCCCCTTCCCCATCAGCCCTGAGCTCACTGGTGGCCCCAG